TTGTTGTACTTCGTTCAGTTACGTATTGCTGGATTTGCAGCGGTAGTTCTTGGAATGGGTCTTTATCATTTTGTTGATTGAACAGTTGCAGTAACACGCAATCAGGTTGATACGCAAGTTTGACCCAGATTTTCTTCCAGAATCTTTGACCTGTGATTTTCTTTTTGTTTGGTTGACGTAGTTGCATCTCCCAACCTTCCCCAGCGTGCGAAATTCAATCGTAGGGAAGGGGTTCCAAGAGTGTACACGGAGGTATCCTCATCGAAAAGAGGAGTTGGTGGAGTTTCACCTGATTCTGACCTTTTCATTTCACCTAGAATACAATTGATTAATTTTGGTTGCTGTTTAATATTTTGATTGATATCTTACCCATTGGTAGAGTAAAGTCTGGTTGAGTCGGAGCGACTGTTTCACTTTGATCAAATGGATTTATGCTTGATGGATCCGCATAGGCCTGGTTAGTCACTGGTGGTGGAGGTGCTAAGATTGGGCAAGCTCCACCAAAACTATCATCTCCTTTAGGGCGGATAACCACCGTAAAGTCTTTCTCTTCATCCGAATCCAACGATCCAGCTTTGCTCATTTTTATACGGAGTGCTTTGTGGTACTGAAGGGGGTTCTTGCATTGCAAGGAACGAATCAAAAGCTTCCTCATTACCAAAACCAGACGAACCAAATCCATCCCCTGGTTCATCTGCACCCCAAGTGTCAATACCACCACCGCCACTACCTCCAAACGCATCAAAAGCACCTCCATTTCGATTTTCATCTTTTGCTGATTCAAATTTTGCAGTGAAAGCATCAAAAGCGTCATCCTGCTGATTTCCGAATGCATTTGAATTCTGCGAAAATGGCCCCTGTAGTTGAACTGGTTATCCACTGCAGGGAGTATGGCGAAACATTAGTTTCTGATATTTGTGCACCAGCTGTGGTAAAACTGTCACTGTTTGATGCGAATATATTCGTGGATGAAGAATAGGCTACCTCCATTGGGGCCTGATAGGAACTATTATCTAAAATTGTCGGCGTTTGATAGTTCTGATTGGTTTCCATTGGAGCAAACTCTTGATTGGAGAAGTCCTGTGTAGGAATTACACTGGGGTTTGTTGGACTTGTCTCTTCAACTGCTGCGAATGGATTAAAAGTTGCGCTTGATACAGATTCTTTGCTCTGACTGTCACTGGTGTCCATCTGCATATCTTGTTGTGGCGATAGGAAGTCTGCAGGTTGTTGTGGTGGAAACTTGTACGTCAGCAATATCAGCAACTTCAACAGGAGCATCCACCACTGGTTCAATTGTGTGCTACAAGGGGTTTTGCACAACGGTTGTATCAGATGGAATAGAACTCTTTCGCGAATTACTCTCACTTGATTCTGGATCAGGTTGAGGAGCATCTAGAGTATCAGAGAGTAAGTCAATAGCAGCTGGTTCTGGTTTGTATAGATTCATTATATCAGCAGCTGATTTTGGTGCTGTTTGGAGTTGACCGAACATATCCATGATGTCATCTTCTTGTTTGGGCGCGGGTGGTACAACCGGAGGTGGTGGTTTTGGTGGAGGCGCGGTAACATGAGGCGCTGGAGGTTTGGGGTGGAGCGGCTGCTGGCGGCTGCGGCGGGGGACTTGGGAATGTTTGAGCAATTACGGGCGGAGGTGGTTTTTGTGGTGGTGCAGGTCTTGGCGGAACTGGGCGACTGGGTGGTGCTGGCCTAGTTGGTGGCACAACAGGTTGCGATGGAACTACTGGTTGTGGTGGTATTACCGGTTGAGGAGGCAAAACAGGCTGTGGTGGAATGGCAGGTCTAACCGGTGGTGGAATAAAAGTCTGCTGTGGTGGTGAAACCACTTCAGGCATAGTATACTGCGTTGGTTGGGATGGTTGTGGCATCGCAGGTTGTTGACTCAACATATCTGGTGCTGCAGTTGCACTCTCGGTAAAATCATCACCCATCATCAACAAGTCATCTTGCACAATGGAAGTGGGTTGATGCCCTCCAATTGTCTCCGTTTTGGCATCACTCACATCCAAAAGATCCCCAAATTGTGGTTCTGGTGTAGGACTAGGTGAATGCAAATCTCTCATGGAAACGGGACTTGGTGTCCTTGTGGGTGGTATCCTGTCAAGCAAATGACTACTAGCAGCATCCATCTCACCCATAACAGACATAAACAAGTCCTGTGTTTCTTTTGATGGTGGTGGTCTAGGTGGTGGTGGTCGCTTTGGTTGCAAACCATTGGCCTCCGCATCGGTTGCCACAGAATTTGTATATTTTAAATCTAAATCTGTGGGTTTCTGCGGAATAGATGCAGTGGTATCGATTAAAAAGTCCGCTTGCATTTGACTTGCTTCCGTAAATATATTCCCTGTGTTGGCAGCGAATGCATGCGGTTGTTCGAACATCCCAGTTTGCGCGGGTTGTGCCTCACTGGGTTCCAGATCCATTGGATCGAAAGCAAACGGATTAGTTGCTCCCCCTCCTTGCACCTGCTCCGGCGCCATCGTGGCTGCACTTTGCGACAAGAAGGGATTATCGTTCATACCGAATTGATTACTTGCCGCGTCTGGGAAGCAATCATCGCTCATGAGGAACGGATTCGAGTTGCCCGCGTTCGGCGAGACATACTCATCCTCAGTAAACAGGAAAGGATTGGCCGCCATTGTGCTTATCTGTTTATCTTTACGATGCTTAAATCAATTCCGATTCGAGGGCTTCAATTCCGAAGGTCCCGGTTGCAATGTTATTGGCAATACTCGTATCAAACGGATCAATATCGTCGTCTTCCTCAAAACCAACGTCGAAGCTAACTTTACCAGTAAGCGGAGTCAATAATTTTACGTCTGATTGACCAGTCTCGGCTTCTAGAATATTTTGCTGACTTGGTTGACTCCACCGCTGGGTAGGTTCGTCTCTAAGGATCAAAATCCGGATCGGTTAAATTTCTCTTAATAGGTGCTTGAACAATCACAGGAGGCGCGTTTGTTATCAGTTCGGATTCTAACAAACGCAGTTCCGTTTGACCCGGAAGTATATTACAGGCAATCGAGGTATCGAACGGATCGATATCCTCTTCAAAACTTGTGTTTTGTGCGGCAGGGGTTAAAACCTTTGCTCCTATGTCGTTGTCAAGACCTAATAAATCAAGTGGTTCCGGACTGGGTGGTTTACGATCTGTGCTGCCGGTTGTAACGGCAACGAAGGTTTTCTTGGTGCCCGTATAATCTGTTCGATTTCTTCTTTAACCTTAGCGACTGCAATTTGTTTCTCGTCTCTTGGGTTGAAGTCACAAACAGAAACTTCTGAATTTAGTAGTGCACTTTCGATTTGTTTCAATTCCGCTTGACCAGGAGCAATACTCTCAGCAAAAGTAGTATCAAACGGATCTAGATCCTGTTCTGGTATTGAATTCTCTCTTACGTAATAAGGTGTTAGTGGTTTAGAAACTTTCGAATCGTCTTCGTTGGCGCTTAATAAATCTGTTTTCGTCAAGGGTAAGTCAAAGGAGACTTTCCGATTGAAGGAAGGTTGTGGGTTATCGAATGCTCTTGGATCAAAGTCGTCGTCGTCTTCGATAGGTAGTGTCGCTGCTAAAACCGGCGGTGCGGGCCGTGCAGGTGGTTTTACAACTTGTTGAACAACTTGTTCACCTAGGAGTTCTCTTTCTAAGAATTTTAGTTCTGTGCACCCAGGCGCAGCAACTGCGTCAACGGCTGAAGTATCAAATGGATCAGAAAAGTCGAAATTGTCGTCGTCTTCGTCAGCGTTTTCTTTCGGTTGAATAGCTTCTCCCAATTGAGATAAATCAGTATTGGACCCACCTAGGAGATCACGATGTGATGTCTTCAATGAATTTAATTCACTTTCGTTGACTCTGTCCAATGAAGACAGTGATTCTCGATCTCCGCTTGGGTTAGTAAGTTGGATACTGACACTTGACCGTCTGATAATTTCAGAGTAAACTTCGTCGGCACGTGGATTAAAGTCCAAGTCGTCTCCACTTTCAAGAATTTCCCTTTCAATCTGTTTGAGTTCCGCTTGTCCCGGGAGTATATTTTCATCGAAAGTTGTATCAAATGGATCGTCGTCCAACGGTTCTTCGTCACTAGTTGCTTTCACTTGTTCTTGACCAAAAGCGTTCCAGTTATCTGCTGGAACCTGGGCTGTCTGGGTTTCCAAAACAACAACTTGTTTCGGTTTTGATAGACTTTCCGCCGCTAGAAGGGCAAATTCTTGATCATCTTCATCTTCGGGTGTGGCAACTTTTTGTAATACACCGAATTCTTCTAATATATCTTGTCCAGGGTCTTTTTCAGGTGAAGATTTCTGGGTAACTTGTTCAACTGGAACGCAAACAGGTGCTACGATGACCTTGGAAAGATCGATGGGCTCAGCCGCTAAATCTTCCGGTGCGTCGTCGTCAAGTAAACTTGGTTTTGCGGCTTTCGGTGGAGTATCAGCTGAAATATAGGAATCAGTAAACAGGAAGCTAGGTTTTCAATGGGATTGAAGATTTATTACCTTGAGTACTTTCTGGAGGAGGTTGATCCGCATCAAAACTCCCTAATAGAAGATTCTGTTCTTTGAAAACCTGGCGTCTAGCATGTAGGTCGCTTGACGGATACACAACTGGGTGCCTGGACGCGCCCAGTGAGGATCTCAACTGCAGATCCAAGTGGGACTAGTTTTTTACCTTTCCTTTCGGTATTGGGACCAAGTATAGCCTTTTCAGCGTATGTGGTGTCGAAGATATCGTCGTCTGGTTCGTTAGTTGGTGATTCTAAATATTTTAAGTTATAAAAATTTTTTTTTGAAATTTTGGTTTTTTGATCATACCTGGAATGTAAGCAAGTTTAACTTCTCCTGCAGCTACCGCATCGATGTACGCAGTATCAAAGATATCATCTTCATCATCTTCCTCGCTCTCAGATTCGGATACCTGTACGATTGCAGCCTCAACACGTAATCCCGCACAGCCGTTTCTCCCTCTCTCTGGCTTCCTCCTCAGCACGTACCTCTGCCTCTTTTTCCTCCTCCTGCTTGCGAACCTCACTAGGTGGCGGAACGCGTTGATAGAAAGAGGAACTCTTCCAGTTCGGTCACGGTCGTCGCAGGTCTTTTAAGGACGACGTCGACGTCCGAGGTGAGCGAGAGGAATTTGCGCCACTCTTCGTTCTCTCCGCTGCCGGATGGTTTGTCGACGGCGACGTTCGGCGCCGCGGGTGGTTCGTCCGCCTCAACGTGCTGCTGCTGCGCGTGCTCCCGGCGATAGGCTTCAAGCTCCTCAGGCGTGAAGGCTCGTCGTCCGCTTACGCTTAGTTTTCTTTGCCCTTTTCTTTTTCAGGCCCATGGCAGGTAGCGAAGGCATATTCTATTCTAAGTTGCGTAGAGACTGTAAGCTTTATCAATTAAATCAGCGTTATCACTTTGTTTAAACGAAAATCTAAGATAAAATATAAAAAAAGTGCTGATTATTCTAGGGAATATTTGCTAATCGTCTAGTTGCGCGTCTGACGTTCACGGTTTGTACTGACCTTACCGGAGTTTTGTTTAGCATATCTTCAAAGTGATGATTCCACACATTTTGCGAGGTGTAAAGGCGCGCTCTTGCCAAAACCGAACGGGCATTGCTTCCAACGTTCGAAATCGATAACGTGTGCGGGTATATTCGATTGTCGGCAGTAAATTTGCATCGCAGCGACGCGTCGGGTGGGGGTGGGTTACCTCCGACGAGGTGGTGTATGCGGCGCCTAGAGCTGCCGGCGAGGATGGTTGGAAAGTGGTGCAGGCGGGCAGGAGGCAGTCGAACAATACCGTGCGGCACTGGTGGTGTCGCGAGAGCCACGGAGCGCGCTCTCGACGCGGGCGCTCACTGTGCCGCCGTCGACGTGACTCACACGGTGCGAGCGTCGCGACTTAAATATTGATCCGCGTCATGACGCGCGTCACTTTTACACGCCTCGCTGCATCGTCATGCTCAGCACCGATCAGACATCTTTAGATCATTATGGAATTAACAATCTCTTTTAAAATCTTCTCTCTCGCGTTATTTTGTTCTTTGTCGTTATTTTCTGGTATCGGTTAAGGATAGAGGGTTGATAAATTGTTGGTATTGCAGAGGGATACTTACGCTAGGACTTACTTCCCCTCATAGTCTCGTGACCAATTCCTTTGTCCGATCAGGTTGTTTGTGATTTGCGTGATATGCACGGATAACAGAATTACATGCAAATGAAGCCGCCCTGGGATTTTACTGCAAGATAATTTATTGGTTTTGGTGATGCGGTGGAGCTTTTGCGGCGGGACTGTAATATGGTGGTTAAGGACGCGATGCCGAGGCAAACCAGTATTGATTGTACTTGGGATAAAGGGAACATATGTCCTTCCGAACCATGGATATTTGATATAGCGTCTAAGCGGGATCTTAATGTCAAATGTCAGGAAACTGGGATAAATTAATCTATGCTTATCACACGAAAAGTAGTTTGGTAGTGATTATGGATATTTTGAGTGAAGCTTTCTTTGGCATCATTTGTGTTTCCAGGTGTGGAAACGACACTAAAATGTAACATATTCGTTTATATGGTTTAGCCTGCGAGAGGGGCCAAGAGAACCTAAATATACGAGTGTTTTTCTAATATCTTCATCTCCTATTTGTGTCAAGTTGAAGTTCTGAATATTTTCTGAATGTGTAAAGGAAAAAATAGTAAAAGAAAAAATAGTTTCATTGATTAAAATTTATTTGCAATATATTTATCATTATAGTTGGTTTAGTTGTCAAATAATTCTTTACTATAATTTATGAAGAAGGGGCAGAAGATTCTACGCCCATACCAATGATTTGGTAAAGTAAAGTGCCCACGCCAGTCAAAGTATTACCGAGAAGAAGGCCGAGCGCATTGCCGACACCAGTGAGGAAGATGTTGAAAATTCCGTTGGGGCCAAACAGGAAAATAACAACAGAGTTTAGTCCTAGGACAATTAAGGTCAATATACCATATGGGCCTAAGAGTAACCCGTAGACTACTGCTGGAACTGCCCAGAGGGAGTTACCAAGATTGGTCAAGGTATTCCATAAGCCAGTGGTTACTCCGGTTACCGCACCTCCAAGGCCGGATCCGCCGGCGGTATCATCAGCGAAGCCTGTTGCCACAAGGGCCAAAGTAAACGGGCCAGGTACGAATTTTGCACTTACTGTAGAAATAAATCAGAAATGGTAAACGCGTGTATTTTTTTATAGGTTCAGACGTACACCATTTTAGAAAGGGTGATGTACTTGCTACTTGAGACTACAAAAAGTAGAATAAGATTTGAACACGACAATTATTACCGCAGTTTTTATACCGAAAACAACCAATGATATATGGGGTATTGATAAATAAATTTGAAAAACAAGTTCCATATTCTTATCTAGTACGAAAATTGAATAAATTTGCAATTTTAAACACTGCATGATTAGAAAGATTGCGAAGCTTGAAAAACAAATTATATCTATACAAGGTTTGTTGAATTTATACATATTGGCCAATTATTCGTAATGCACTTTACATTACGAAACTTTTTAACATACAATTGTATGATGGCTTAAAAAATCTTCAAAAGTTCGATTCAAGTTGAGATTTTGTTTAAACTATTTGGTGATTATTCGTACTGCATAATAATTGAGTTTTAATATTTCCAAAATTTTTACTCTGGGTTCAATTCTGCTTCCGCGACTCCATCAACGTAGTTTTTAATTAAAAAGCAATTTATGGTTTGTGTCACATTTTTATTATAACTTTTAGTTTTCATCTTAAAATTGAAAATTTTATTTTATTTTGTTTCTATTTTGGGTATATATAATTTTTTGCTTTTAGAAAAAAATATTGTTATTTTCTTAACAAAAACAGTGTCCAATGTTCTTTGCTAGATTCTTAACAATATCTGTACAAAATTTTAATGAAGATCGGTTGGTAATTTTTGCGTGAAAGCGTAACAAACAAACATATAAAAATATTAAAAATTCTTCGCAATAGACTTTTAAATTATGTTACGTAAATATTAACTCAACAAATTAAAATTTAGATGATTTATTGAATATCACCATTCTTATCACCAAATGAAGATAATAATCTCCAATTGTCCACATTTAGAAAGAAATAATAAGTATTAAGTAAAGAAAGAGGTACGAATTAATTTTAAATTGTATTTATAAAGATATTTCGTGCTTTTTTTTCTTTCGTAAAATTTTAGGAAGGCGTGAAATTATTTAAAAACATATTTTTACTCAAATGTTCAGAATTTTTATTATAATTATAATTGTAAACGTCTCAAGAATCAATCTAGGAAGTAGTGTTTCCATATTGTGCCGTGGATGAGAAGAATCCTAGCAAGTTAGTAACTCCCACAAGAACGACACCAAGAAGTGTACCAAGCTGTCCAAAGAGTCCATCAACGGAAAAGAGCCTGGTTATACCAGCGAGCAGTAAAAAGAGACATACATAGCTAAGGCCTAGGAGAATCCAGCATGAAATCAGTAATCAAGGCCCTTTCCTTAAATAATGACTCGTAGATTAAAGCTGGAATGACACGCAGAACAGCAAAAATATTTGTGGCAACATTTTGAAGTCCATTGACAACTTGCATTGCCGAGTTTCCATTTCCGGCTGTGTCATCAGCAAGGACAACTGACACAACGGTCAAAGTGACCAAGATGGCGAGCAATTTAACCTGTAACAAACAGCAAATAGTATTAGGTTATTAGATATCTCAACTAATTTATTAATTAAATTAGTAGCAGGTACTATTTACGACAAGTGTGCTTACCATATTTTCAGAGTGGTTCTATGTATCGTTTGGGCACGAGGAATAGAATGTTGAAGTTTTGGGTCTGCACCACATTTATATCCGGATATAATGATATGTATCTATACTGGTATCTTGTTAGATATGAATTCTCATTATAGGATTTTATTCATATCTTAAACTATTCAGCGATTGTTCAAGGACATATTTAAAAAAAAAGTTACCGTTGGGTTTATTAAATTGGTTATGTTGTAGTTTTGATAAGTTTTTTAGGAAAATTTTAGGTTAATTCAGCGTTTTAGGCGTTATGACTTTTGGGAATGAGAACAAGAAGTTATCAGTCCAAGTTATCAAGAAAACATGGTTTTTATTTGATATTAATGTAAAATATATCACAAATTATGATGAAGAAATGTTTACAGATGTTTTTACATATATTTCATGTATGATTAACAAAAAAAAAATTAATTTTCTCGGTTTCCTAACATTGGAATAATGAAATCTGCCTAAATTAAAAAAAAAATTTTTTTAATTGTATTAGAGTTTTGGTAACACTCTGGTTTTAACAATTCTTGCCCTGCACAATATTATATATTAATATTTGTGATAATTTTTTGTAATTTTGCAAGGAATTAGTAAATTAGTTGATGCCGTAGACAATAATGGTAACTAAGTCGTATTCACCAATCCAAGTATAAGTCCAAGGTACAACTTAAGTTTAGATGGCAAAAAACTGTTAATTACAGACATCTCTTAATAATTTAATTCAACTAGGATTTGGTAAACTTTGTAATAATAATTCATAGTTTAAATTCAATAGCAATAGTCTTTATTAATACATATATTTGTAAAATAACATTTGAATCATCTGCCTAAGCAGTACCTGAAGACATGCCCAACAAAGTACTAACAAGCACGAGCACGCCGTTGATAACGTTACCCAGAAGGGTAGCCAATGCATAACCGAATTCAGTAAAGAAGATCTGAATAATACCATAATAACCTAAGAGTACTCTCAGCAATTCGGTGAGACCAAATACGATCCATGTAAGCAAACCATTTGGGCCTATGAGTCCCTCGTATAATCCTATTGGTAAGACAGCTAAAATACCCCATACACCTTGCCCCACACCAGTAAGAGATTGGCCAAGGCCGCCTAATGATGCACCTAAACCGCTATTACTTGAGGCATCATTAGTCAAGACTGTGGCCACCAAAAGGGCGAAGATGACAAAGAATTTCGCCTGTAAACAAATTATTAATTTATTGAAGCAATCGACATTGATGTACATACCATTATGTTGCGTATCGTTTGAAACCAGCTACAGAATAGGTGAGGTGTTAGCAGCAGGCAGGTTTTATAGCCGGATATAATCAAATAATGATATGTATTCACACTTCTTATCAAGCCTGAATACATTTGCAATTTTAAACGCATATATTAGTTTGAAATAACAAATTGTTATCGTGTTACTCGAGGGATATATCGAAATAAATTTGCACAGCCAATGATGAATAGAAAATAGGCAAATTTCTAATATTTTTCATTTATTAGTTTTGCATTTTTGATAACAATAACAATGCAACAATTTAACTGCAATTATGCAATTATTAATACTCGGTTAATAAAAGAAGGTATATAGTATTTGCCAATTCAATGAGTCCATATACGATACGTAGTATACGGATACTGGTTGGAGAAGAACCAGTTACCGCCCAACATGATCTTTGGTGATTAGGTAAGGACGCCGTAGACGATGACTGTGACCAGGCCGGATTCACCAATCAGTGCAAGGTACAACAAGTTGGGAAGACCGGTAACGGTTGCCAAATAGCAAAGCCCGCGTTACCAAGGGAGGAAACCAAACCAACTATGAGATCTAACTCTCCGCCATTATTTCCGGCATTAGCTGCATCTTGAGCGCGAACGGAAGACGCCAGGGTAATGATTGCCAAGACTACGAAGAATTTTGCCTTTAAAATATGATATTTTTAAAATTAATTTTGAAATACTTTTATACTAACAATTTTTGAAGATGTTGCAATTGCAATAAAAAAAATTGCAATCTATGTCTAATGTGTTATCAGCAGACACTTTTTAGTTTGCATGTTATATTTTTAGTTTTTGATAACATTGTACAAATATACAGTTGATTGTTTGAATTTTAAAGTTTTTCAATTGCAACATCTTCGAAAATTGTATACAAACTCTGAATAGATGTCATTGAGGCATCGCATTTAACTTTGCACTAGAGTCCGACCGAAACTGGATTTTAGCCGAAACCGAAACCGAAACCGAAATTTCGACGATTATTGACGATGACGATATTTCAATATAGTATTAATATGAGCTAACCAAGATGGCAAGTACCCATCGCCATTAGCCGCGAAGTTAGCCGAGCGACGCACGACACCACGAAAAGTGAGTTTCGGTGCGTGGCCGAAAGTTTCGCCATTTACGAAACCGAAACTGAAGCCGAAACTCGAATTCTTGGCCGAAACTGGCCGAAACCGAAATTTCGGTCGGTCTCTACTTTGCACTCTTCAAGCAACAACAACAAGCACAACCAACCATGGTACATATATATTTTAAGTTTAAAAATTTTACTTTTAATATTATTATTTTTTTATTATAAAATATTAGCAGGCGAAATTTATTGTACTCTTGGTAACTTTTTCTCTTGTGTGGCTTCTGCGATCGCCCAAGGAGAAGGTGACTATGAAACTGCTCTAACTCCACCTTTGAGTTTTTGGCAGTTCTCTGGGAAATGTTGGAGTTGCTATTGCGAGTACACTGGGCGCCTTGCCGGCTCTGTTGTATCTTGGTCTGGTTGGAGAATACGGCCTGATTGTTTTGACTGACATATGTTGCGGTTCTATCCGCGAGTTCACCCTTAACATACTGTCAGCCGGTGAACAACTGGCGGGCAGTGTGATACGCGGACTCATCGAGTGGTTGAGCACAATGCTGAATCTAGCATATTTCGATGTGTATAGTTCTTAGACTTGTTAATTCGTTGTTATTGTGTTATTATTGTGAATGCAAGATTGAAACAAAATTAAATTGATGGTGCAAATGATATTTTCATTGTAATTTGAATTTTCCGATGTCTCTGTGTTACGAGTAGTATAGTAACGATGTTCGTGGCTTATTTCGTTTCGTTAGCGGTTAAAATTTACAATTTTACAATTTACAATTGTATTATTGCAGTGAATAGATTAAAAGTAAAATAGATTAAATTGCGAATTTAAAAATATTGATAACGAGCACACTATCTTATTTTGTTTATTTCTTTGTGGGTGAATTGACGCGCATTCAAAGTTGTAGACTAATTAAATTATCAAAATACAAATTTATAAATTCCGATAAACAAAAAAACGCGAAAAAACAAAATATATTGCGCTACCTACATTTTTTTATCTATTTTGTTTTGGCATACAAATTTATGTTTAAAAATGATAATGACAAAATGTTACTTTTTTGCTTATCAATTTTGCATTGAGTTTTACTGAAAAAAATATTTGCTAGAAAATATCATTGAAGGCAGTGCTCTAGTTTTTAAAAATTGTGTGGAAAACAATACGTTCTGATTAGTACATTAGTGCTTCATAACATATTTGATTTTGTTTTCGTTATTCATGTTTTCAATAGTACAATATTGTATTTTTAACGTGATTATGAATTGCAATATTATAATGTCACGATTTTCATATGAGAGAGAATTTATTTTTCTTTAATACCGAATATTTTCATTTACTTTAGTTTTATGTATAACAGGCTTAAGCCTTTACTAAATAGAAAAGATATACATCAACGCTTCAAAATGCCAAAACTGAGTGCCGTAAAATTGGTTTTGCAAATCACTTTTTTTAAAAATTAGTTAGAAATTTGTTTGAAGTAACATCTTTTATTTAACAAGGGTACTTACGAAAAGGTAGTTATTCGTTATTTACGCCTATTTTAAAATTATCTGTTTTCAAAATATCCATGTTTTTTCAGTAAAAGTAACTTGTTTTTACAAGATAAGCCGCGGACTGCAGTACCGGAGGCATGTATTATGCAAACAGTATATAAACCACAAATACGCAATGGCGCAGGCTAACTTAATCAGCAAAATTTGCAATAAATCTACATAATTTGTTTAAAACAAACAAATTAAAGTTGCACTAGTGTAAATTAATTTTGGATGGATCGTAAAAATTGAACAAAACGCAAATTGACATATTTAGACTAATTAAATTACTACACGCAAATAAAAAAGCAATTAAAAATTATTTAAAACCAATCCAATATTCGTATTTGTACATTTAACATAAAACGTAAAAAATGTAAAGTTAAATCTATATCCTAAATTTACTTTAGGCAACCGTAACCACACTATTTCATTCACTAACAAAATTGTCACGAGACGGCGCTTGGAACGAATTCATTCTATTATATGAATTCATTGTGAACCAACTGTGGTATGATGATTACGCTTGTAAATAGGTTAATGATGTTTGTGGTGTTTGTTATTTGTCATATAAAACGATGAAAGCAAGCCTTGCACAAAGGCTATTCAGGCCTACCGCTTTGAACACGTTCGAAAGTGCGATCGCACAGCAAGCACCTATAAAACTCCAAAACCCGCCACCGGCAGCCGAAGAGTCCGATGGTGAACTCTCCGGTGGTGATTCAGACCGCTCGAATACATCTCGAGAAAACGACGCTGGTCGTGACTCCAGCGATGGCGATGAAGTCGAAGTAGCTCCGGAGATGGACGAAAATCCCGATCGACGAACTGAATGCGGACAATCACGAAGAAGAGCCAGATCTCGAAGGTCAATTTCAAGTCCTCCGCGAACAACTCTACCGTGAGCGCATTGCACAGATTCAATTCCAACTGGAAGAGATCAGAAATGAACGCTCGCAGTAATATCTCGCGCCACTAGCTGAACTAAAAGAAAATATGAGAATACGCAATGAAGTAGCCGGTATTCTTCGCGAACTGCGTAATGCAAACATAGAGCATAAGTTCAAATCAATCAGAGAGCAGGCAGCTGCGCGAACACGGGCGGCAGGATTATTACTATGAAAGAAGAAGAATTAATCGAAGGTTGCCGACTGGAAGAAGGACAGACGCAATGTAAATTAGTTAGGTGAGGAATGGGGACAAGATCAAAGATCAGATCTAGGAAGAAAGCTGTTACTGTAGTGGAGCCTTATATTGTTTAATACTTACAGGATATAATTAGAACTGGACAGACTATTAGAAGGCCTGAAAGAACGAAACGACATCAGAATACATTTGTTACTATAAACGGGAGATCTAAAAGGAGTGATTTATAACTGTACATATTTATTATTTGACTTTTCTTTATATAATATAACAAAGGCCGATTTACGGCGAAAGAAAAACATGTTTGCCAGCACCAAATAAAGTGTAAGATAAGATCAATTTGTTAAGTTCATCATAATCATCAGCAATAAACATAATAATTTAAAACACTAAGGGAAAAGACACAAGACATTACTTCATTAGCGCATGAACGACGGCTTTCGTTCAGAATTTCTAAATCCGGTGTAGGTTTGGGCTGATTGCCGGCAAAATAGGTTGGCGGCCGGTGATTATAGCAAAAAGTCATCAATGAAACACTCCAACCTAAAAATGTGAATTTAAATTGCGCGCAAGAAGTTATAAAATTAATATTTTGAGAGAGAAATACGCCTTATCGTCATTGGTGTCGCTTAGTCAACACAATACCATCAATGATATGTGGATTACTGCTGGACGAATAGTCAGCCATAGCCTGATTGAACTTGACAAGTTGATCGACTGCTTCATTTCCAGCTGGAAGCTTCGCCAGCAGCGTCAAGGTTCATTTACTCCAGTTTGGTTAGTGCTCTCATCAGGTTTCGTATAAAAACAAAAATTTTTGTTTAATATGATTTTTAATATTTTATTATTTACCTGCATGCGACCAGCTGTATCAACTAGAACAATGTCGATCTTCGAGTCTCTGGCAAATCGAATGAAAGCACCCGCTTAGCTACGGCGTCTTTACCATAGCCTTCTCACATGGCTGTACCATCCGTTCTTCACCGCTGGCGTTAGTGGATGTAAACGTGAGATGCTTCATAGCAAGTTAAGTAGCTGCTCAACTTCCAGCGGAAGGTATGCGCGACGATTAGCACTCCGCATATCGTTTTCAATCAGCCAAAAGCAGATCTTCGCAAGATTTGTACTTTTGCCCACGCCGTTCACACCGCAGAAGGTCATAACATACGGCCGTGATTGTTTCTGAGCTTCCATGCAATCACGTAGAATATCCACGCGGCGTTTGGGGCTTAGGATTTACGCAAACTTTCCGGTGAGTGTGAAGCTTGACGGTGTTCATACCACGCTGTCAAAGTTCCAGCACTCGACCCTCGGTTGACGGCGGCCAGTTCGCGCAACGCTTTTCAGCGATGTCGGAGGCAACGTTTTTGGCGATGAGATGATCCTTCATCTTGTCCAATACAGACTGCATGTCGGCACGTGTTAGGTTTTTTGAACCGACGAGTCCCTTGAATAGTGAGAACATACCGCGTGAGGATGATGCACACGTATTTGTTTACGTTTCTTTACTTTGAAGTCTTTGTGGGCATCATCTTCAGCCTTCTTCCTCGAGGATTCCTTCAGTAATCTTTTTATGACACCCGCCATTTTACCCACGATCACAAAATTAAGGTATAAAATAATATTTGCCGCTTAACAGATTTTGTACGGTACACTCTTCATCAGCAGTGAAATGACTCTTCATGTCCTCTGGTTTGCCGGTGGTTCTTTCCAAGTTTTCAAGATCTTTAGTAGTGCCGCCCAATTCCCAAACGCGCGGCTTTTTGCCTGCTTTCTCGCTTGGACTCATGGGCTTTGGACTTTTGTTGCCTGACACGCCATGATGACACTATGTTGAAATCCGTTCTCTGTCTCCACCCCAGGTGAAGACTTTGGTGAGATATTCTTATTTGCTATAAAATTTTACAATTGAATTCAAGTAATTGGATAGTATAAGTTTTCGCCCTACTATCATAAAATTAACTTCTTTTTTCTTATTTTTATCATCGCCCTTGCGCTCAATGATGGATGCAACAGTCTTCTTACTCTTCACACTCTCCTGAAAAGACTTCATCTGTTTGGGGACTTTTGGCATGAGATGCGCTTCATTTCTAAGCCATAGGAGTTACCAATGCGCGTCAAATCGCGACTCTCCTTCATCAGCCAGATCATTTTTGTATTTATCACGAAACTCTAAGTGTATATCAGTAAGAAACTTGTCCACATAGGAGAGTTGTAGTATTTTTTGATATGCCACCACAAACACCAGCTCAAACTCATTGTCCAGTTTGTACTGAAGCTGCAGGCCATTGTGTTCAAATGTATTACTGCCACTTCGCTCCTGAAACAGAATCAACAGATGTGCAAGACATTAAAATGACTGTCAAGTAATGGAAGAAAAATGGGAAGCATGAACCTTATAAGTCTTAATCAAGATGTTGAGCTAACAGAATGCGACAGTTTGTAATGTAAACTGCAAATGCAACTCACGAACAACTGAACTAAAAGCAATTGTTGTGTGATAAAGAAAACAATAGTGCTTTGCGGCGAAGCTGGGGGCTGCGAGGACGTTCTTTGCTGAAGATGGAAAACAAATCCAACATATTTGCAGTTTTGCACGTCACGTTTAGCTTAGTGGTTTGTAATTTCACTACTGCGTGTTTTTGCTTTTCGTCACACACACAGCGACATCCAACATGACGTTTCACACGTTTGACCTAGCAAGGCGCGTGAGCACATTTCATACGTGTCGAAGTCGCGTCGAGGATTAGCCTTGGTTTGGTTGCCTGACCAGAGTGTCATCTGTATTTAGAAATTGCAACAATATTTGAATCGCAGGCCGCGTGCTAACTCCTAGTCTAGTCTGGGTCGGGTGTGCGATTACAGCCATTATCAGCTTCGTCGTGACTTCGCGTTGTCGTTTCGAACGTTCATCTACGCACAGGTGAAATCCCACAGGTACGGTCTCGTCCCTGAGTGGGGTGTAACATGTCCTAAAGCTGTAAAATATTCACTTCTGCGTTCGCGGGAGCACAGCCATTCTTATAAATTGTTTTGTCGGTATATTGTTGGGAGATATTCACTTCACGTTTTTGTATCAGGCTGGCATTTGAATTTTTAGGTCACCTCGTATCTCAGGATGGTTCTGTGATATAAGTTATGGGGTTCGTCGTGTCACAAATCTGAATATTCATCACGCAGGGTGGCGAAAATCCTGTCTAATAAGTCTAATAAGAAATTGCCCAATATCCCGATAACCGATAATGTATCTTTAAAATGGACCCCCGTAGTCCCAGTACTGCAGGCGGCGGAGGTGGTTAAATATCTCGAGAACCGTTTTGCCGGGCCTGGTTTTACTTGCATATTTGGGCAGCGATAGTTTTTCACGAAATCAGACGAAAGTGCTGATAAAGGCACTCTAAAGTTGATTGTTTTGAAGCATTTTTTGTGTGTATGCCTGCCGGTTGATTGTTGAATACGGGGCCGTGTGCGCCTTCTGTCGATGCTCTCGAAAACATGTTTACTCAAAATAAGCTGTAATACAATTCACGTATAAATCTTTAATAAATATAAATATGGTTTACGTATTCAGCGAAGAAGATAAATGAAAATTGAATTAAATTTGTCGCGTTTGTCAATCCCATTAAGCCACAGAGAAATGACAGGTCCGGAAGAAATGCTGTACACAATTACAGTTTTTCTATCAAACAAGTAGGTGATTTTAGCACCCGTCACTAGATGGCGCTAACAATGTTAAGTCAGAATGCGGCTTCTTCTTCATTGTCAGCTATTTCTGTTCATCAATAGATGGTACAGCTCATTTTTAAAATTTATTTTAGACTGCAATTTATTTTCAGTTTGTCTTATTTAGTGTTGTGTTAGTGTGATGCGACGTTCGCCGGTATAATTTAACATTTAGAGCAATCTGCGTTAAATATACGTTCGAGAATCGTCTTCTAACCCGGTTATCATTTGAAGTGTCCACCTTATCCATTTTCCAGTCATCTACGTGCTCACTGCAAAAAATAGATATAGTACAGAATTCATTAATTTTTTTTGCTGAAATTGTAAGTTGTGTGGGTTAATTCTATTTATTTTTATGCGGTAGTTAACTAAGCTCAACATGTCTTTTTATTACACTATCATACTTGTAAACTTTTCCACTTCTATTATGATTAATTTTTATTTAATTTTAGAACTTGGAGCGTAAAATATCCATTAATACATACTGCAGTGGAACGTACAAACGAGACATTCGATGACATTCGTTGTGATATCACCGGCTTCGCTGCGATATCAACGAAAGGGAGACCAAAGGGACGGTCTTGCGTGGAGTGCAGGGGATTTTGCCTTGAGCCTGGCTTATCGTAGAAGGACCATTCTTACAGTGAATTGTAAGTATTAAATTTCTTTATCATTCTTCTAAATAACTTTTTGCTTGATTATCTCACAAATTGCCCCCAAATTGCATTTTATGTTTGAAGGGACTAATTTTTGGTGGTTTTAGGGATTTTGCACCTATGAGTCTGATATCGTAGAAATACCATTTCATATGTGATTTTTGTATCAAATTTTTTTATAGTTTTAAAATAACATTTGTAATTATTTCACAAATTAACTAAGAAATTGTATTTTTATGTTCCGAGATTTAATTTTTTTTTTCATGAAGTTTTAAGGAGTTTTGCTCCTGGGTCTGAGGATCATTAGAAGGGGCCATTTGACATCATATTGTAAGTAATTAATTTCTTTTATACTTACTAAATACTTTTGAATTTATCCTCACAAATTACTTTAAAATTGCATTTTATGTTTGAAGGACTAATTTTAGTGGTTTTAGAGAGTTTTGCACCTGGATTGACATCGTAGAAGGACCATTCTTGCATCATATTGTAAATTATTAGAATTTCTTTATCATTTTTCCTAAATGACTGAGATTACCTCACAGAATTGACCCCCAAAAATTGCATTTTATGTTTGAAGGACCCAATTTTTGCTGGTTTTGAAAGTTTTGCACCTGAGTCTGAGGCTTGTCATAGAAGGACCATTTTGCATCGGGTGTAAGTGGTAAGTTTCTTTATCATTTTCTAAATAACTTTTGTGATTATCTCAAATATTGACCCCAAATTGCATTTCATGTGTTCGAAGGGACTAATTTTTGTGATGGTTTTAGGGGTTTTGCACCTGAGTCTGACATCGTAGAAGGACCATTCTGGCATCAGATTGCTTAAGTATTAAATTTCTTTATCATTTTCCTAAATAATTTTTGTGATTACCTGCAATTGACCCCTAAAATTGCATTTTATGTTTTGAGAGGACTATTTTTTGATGGTTTTGGGGATTTTGCACCTGAGTCTGACATCGTAGAAGGGACCATTCTTGCATCATGGCTGAGTATTAGTTTCTTTATCGACACTAAATAACTTTGTGATTCTTCTGGAAATTGACTTCCAAAATTGCATTTTTATGTTCAAATTACTAATTTTTGATGGTTTGAGTTTACCTGAACTCCACATCATGCAGAAGGGACCATTTTTGCATCAGATTGTAAATTAAATTTCTTTATCATTCTCAAAGAACTGTTGTGATTATTTACAAATTGACCCAAAGTGCATTTTTATGTTTGAAGAACTAATTGTGTGATGATTTTAGGAGTTTTGCACCTGAGTCTGACATCGTGAAGGACCATTTTTACATCAGATTGTAAGTATTAGAATTTCTTTATCATTCTCTAGTGTCGTCAATGTATTCTTTATCATTTTCTGTGCTTTTTGTGATTATTTCACCAGGTGACTTTAAAATTGCATTTTATATTTCAAATTACTAATTTTTGATGGTTTTAGAGATTCTGCACCTAGATTCATGCGTAGAAGGACCATTTTTGCATCCAGATTGTAAGTATTAAATTTTTTATCATTCTCAAAGAACTGTTGTGATTATTTCACAAATTGACCCCAAAATTGCATTTTATGTTTGAAGAACTAATTATTGATGATTTAGGGTTTTACTGAGTCTGACTTGTCAGCTGAAGGGACCATTTCTTGCATCATATTGTTTATATTTTAATTTCTTTATTATTATGTAAATAACTTTTGGCGTTATTTACACAAATGTACTTTAATATTTATACACGTGTGACAATAAATAATATTTTACTTTGGTATTTCTGATTTTTAATTTGTTCTGTTATTTCAGCCCGATTACATATTAAACGATCCTTAAACCATTTATTTTTTAAAAGGGTGCATGCTAGCGCCACATCTGTTTATTGGAAACTAAAACTATTGAAAGTTTTGAGCTTTATTCCGTCGCCACTAGAGGCAGCACATTTACTAGTTGCCGCGAAACTTTATCAACCTCCTCAGCTTTTCTGCTCTCAGATATTCAATCATTATTTTTGTCGACTCTGAGGGCAAAATTGACACAATTGAACTCGACAATTCAAACCGACTTTTGGTATTCGGATCGCGAAAGTGTAAGAACTGATATAATTTCAACTTGGTAATATCAACGGATTAAATTAATGTTTAAAATTCATTTATCAGCAAGTGCAGCTTCTGTATGTGGGAATTTTAGATTCTGTTTCCGAATTTTGTAAACTAAACTTCTATATCGACTATTTGTAATTATTTTTCTTAACATTGACTGTTTTAGGCTGTATTTAATTTTAATTAAAAAGAATTTGTATTTTACATGTAATAGGGCCTTAATCTATAAAGTGTGTTACTAGTTTCCGATTCTGGTTTAATCCTACTTTCAAGTCCGAAAGCGAATTTAATAATTTCAATTGATACAGAACCTGAATTTACTGAAAAGGTTCGTCATAAAAGACCAAAACATTTTTCTTTTTATGTCAGATATTCTAATTATCGATAAAATTACCAAATAGAGGGCTAAACGGTTGGCATAAACCAAAAAAGTTACTAAAATAATCGATGTAGAATTAAATTATCAATCATAATCCGAAACAGAATTTAAAATTTCAACTTTAATTTCAACATAAAAAGAAATCTTGCCTTTTTATAACAAAATCTTTTTCTTCAAAATTTTTTGTGCCGTTTTGTCGTTTTCAATAATGATGCCATCTTGTCAGAATTCTTCTGGGATCAGAATATATGATTATTTTTATTCTAGCCCTTTTAGTTGTCGAGATGATTACCATTTAATCTTCATAAATTAGTAATTATCTCGACAACCGAAACTGGGAATATAACTACATATTCTTGATCGCGAAATTCTAGACAGATGGCATATTTTCTCAAAATGAGAGAAATGGGCACAAAAATTTTTAAAAAAATTTTGATATAAAAAGAGCAAGGCTTCTTTACTCGATGAGGTAAAGTTGAACCCTGAAAGAAAATTCTGTTGAAGGCTACTGATATATAATTTAATTCTACATCATTTCAGCTAATAAATTTTAGCATTAACCGTTTAGGCCCTATTTACGAATACTCAGCTCATACGATGTATCCCGTCGGAATCGTCTAATTTATGAAGATTAAATGGTAATTATCTCGACAACTAGAAGGGCTAGAAAAAAAAGTAACACATATTCGCGGTCCTTGAAGAATTCTGGACAAGATGGCATCCTTATTGAAAAACAAAAAAAATGGCACAAAAATGTTGTCATTGAAATTCCAGTGAAATTATACACAAAATTCTTTTGAATAGTAGGATCACTTATGAAAGTGCAGTAGGCTGCACAGATCTCAACAATCTTGAATAGCAGCGTAGTTTTAGTTACTCGTGGATAGATGACACTAGTAGCCATTTTAAATTAATATTGATACAATATAAAAATTAATTTTGAACTATTTGGCATACTTAGCAGTGGCATTTCCAATAAAGATTAAGGGATTTATATGGATTAAAATAAAGGAGTAGCGTGTTGCGAGCTAAGTTCTCCGTTTGGAACAAATAAAACCATAAATTTATAGTCAAAATATAAAACTACCTTTTTATTCAAACATGTAGAATATACAAAATCACAAACACAATTTCTTAATGTATACAGCATTTTCAACAATACAAGCAAGAAAACAGGATAATAATATGCAATTATATAATTCTTTTTCTATAACTTTTAACAAAATAAACAAAAATGATAACAATAACAGCTTCAAGATGTTGTAAATTCATTCAATCGTGTTTGGAATCATCATCAACACCGGCAATCCAATCTTCAATTTCTGGTACACTATAAACCAGAATGAATAACAGAATAGTAAAATATAAAATATTATAAATTGCCAAAATATAACATACGTTCTTGGAACTTAAGTCCAGTTGACACATCCATCTTCAGTAATTAAAACATAATCCTCAATACGGACTCCTCCACCAGTAGGGTAGACTGGGTACGGTAGTACCAGGGGGACGGTAGTACCAATGCAAATATCTCGTGAACAGTTGAGCACAGCCCTATGCGTTCAAGGAGTGATAGCCGCATACAAGTTGAAGTATGTAAGTTGTAAGTTGAGTCACACAAAGCCAGTTACACGCGTGTAGGACGTTTTTTTGATTTTTTGAGATCAAAAGTAAATATTTGATTATAAATTGTTTTTAGTTTTTAAATCTTGTCTTGCGTGTTATATTATACGTGTGTGTTTATTGAAAATGAATGGTTTTTGAAGAATAAAGGTATGTTAATCAAATTCTTGTATCCCTATTATTTTTTTTATAATTAAATATAATTTGGAAAATGTCCACATGGGGACGGTTGTACCAAATAATATGGGGACAGTTGTACCGGTATAAACGACCCCATGCCTTGTATTATTTTAAAGTAAAATTTCTTTTTCTTTCTAAACGTAAAACGATTGCTTTATATTAGATGCCACGAGTACGTAGTCGCAAAACAGGAAAAGGCCAACATGATGATAGCGCTTATATCAATGCCTATGAGTGTATATTGAGTGTAAGAACTGGGCTCATGAGCAATGCATTGACGGAGAACCCAGCTACGTATGCAATAATTGTGATTCCAACTAATTTTATTGTTGCACACATAGCAGGACATTTAAGTATAATTTTAAAAGTGTTTTCTTTATTGTAATAAATACGTTTATTGTAATAAATAAGTTTTATTTCTGTATGGTACGATCGACCCCACCCCTGGTACAACCGTCCTGAGGTCTGAGGTCGGTTGTACCATTTCTCACCCACAACAAAATTTAGATTTATGAAGGTACTTGTAAACTTGAGGGATTAAAAATATGGGCAAAACGTAGCCAGATGATTAGGCATTAAACTATGACAAGTACCATTGGGCTAAGTACCACGGAACCTCTCCAGTTGGTCCCTATTGATAAACATGGTCATCTCAGAATTAGCCAATGCTTCATCCAACAACTGGAAAATATTTAAGTAAATTAAGTATACATATACATAAATTAAATTAATTATTTTTACAGGATCCATAAAGATTCTCATTTAGGGCACCGTACGAAGGTAGCGGTAAAAGTGACTCCCATTCAAGGCACCGTACGAAGGTAGCGGTAGAAGTTACACCCACCCAGTTTTGTACACAATGCAATAAATCAAACCTATATTAGTCGTAATTCGTAATGTTCAAATTTTCGCAGGTTGCAGGTCGAATTCCTGCATGAAACAATTACTACGTGATGGAGAATTTAATTCCGCATCTTTTGATGCTGCGCTGAAGTTATTGAAACGCCAAAGTCGCGTGCAAACACAAAAAAAATCAAACATTGCACGAAAGACGGTGAGAAAATCATCTTTTACTGCAAATTTTCGCGGGTTGCAGGTCGAATTCCTGCATCTAACAAATACCACCCGACGGAGAATTTAATTCCGCAGCTTTTAATGCTACGCTGAAGTTATTGCGACGCCAAGATCGGGTACCAACCCGAAAAAATACAAACATTGCACAAAAAACGGTGAGTAAATCACCTTTTAATGCAAATTTTCGTGAGTTGCACGTCGAATTCCTGCATCAAACTAATACCACCCGACGGAGAATTTAATTCCGCATCTTTTGATGCCGCGCCGAAGTTATTGAGACGCCAAGATCACGTTCAAACCCGAAAAATATAAACATTGCAGGAAAAACGGTGAGTAAATCACCTTTTAATACAAATTTTCCCGGGTTGCAGGTCGAATTCCTGCATCTAACAAATACCACCCGACGGAGAATTTAATTCCGTATCTTTTGATGCCACGCAGTTATTGCGACGCCAAAATCGAGTACAAACCCGAAAAAATACAAACATTGCATGGAAAACGGTGAGTAAATCATTTTTTAACACAAATTTTCACGGGTTGCAGGTGAAATTCCTGCATCTAACAAATACCACCCGACGGAGAATTTAATTCCGCATCTTTTGATGCCACGCCGAAATTATTGACATCCTAAGATCGGGTGCAAACCCGAAAAAATAAAAGCATTGTACGAAAAACGGTGAGTAAATCACCTTTTAATACAAATTTTCGCGGGTTGCAGGTCGAATTCCTGCATCTAACAAATACCACCCGACGGAGAATTTAATTCCGCATCTTTTGATGCCGCGCTGAAGTTATTACGCCCCTAGATCGCGTGCAAACCCGAAAAATACAAACATTGCACAAAAACGGTGAGTAAACCACTTTTAATGCAAATTTTACGGGTTGCAGGTCGAATTCCTGCATCAAACAAATACTACCCGACGGAGAATTTAATTCCGCATCTCTTGTTGTCACGCCGAAGCTATAGAAACGCTTAGATCGCGTGCAAACCCGAAAAAATACAAACATTGCAAAAAACGGTGAGTAAATCACTTTTTTATGCAAATTTGCAGGTTGAATTCGTGCATCAAACAAATACCACCCGACGGAGAATTTAATTCCGCATCTTTTGATGCCACGCCGAAGTTATTGAGACGCTAAGATCGCGTGCAAACCCGAAAAAATACAAACATTGCACGAAAAAGAGTGAGTAAATCATCTTTTAATGCAAATTTTCGCGGGTTGCAGGTCGAATTCCTGCATCAAACAAATACCACCCGACGGAAAATTTAATTCCGTATCTTTTGATGCCGCGCCGAAGTTATTTATATGCTAAGATCGCGTGCAAACCCGAAAAAATACAAACATTGCACGAAAAACGGTGAGTAAATCACCATTTAATGCAAATTTTCGCGGGTTGCAGGTCGAATTCCTGCATCAAACAAATACAACCCGACGGAGAATCTAATTCCGCATCTTTTGATGCCACGTTGAAATTATTGCGACGCCAAGATCGCGTACAAACCCGAAAAAATACAAACATTGCACAAAAAACGGTGAGTAAATCACCTTTTAATACAAATTGTCGCGAGTTGCAGGTTGAATTCCTGCATCTAAAAAATACCACTCGACGGAGAATTTAATTCCGTATCTTCTGATGCTGCGCTGAAGTTATTGAGACGCCAAAATCGCGTGCAAACCCGAAAAAATTAAAACCGAACAACGGTGAGTAAATCACCCTTTTATGCAAATTTTCGCGGGTTGCAGGTCGAATTCCTGCATAAAATAAATACCACCCGACGGAGAATTTAATTCCGCATCTTTTGATGCCACGCTGAAATTATTGAGACGCCAACATCGAGTGCAAACACAAAAAATACAAACATTTCATGAAAAAGGGTGATTTTTTCATGCAAATTTTCGCCGGGTTTATACGGTGCCCTGAACACGAGTCACTTTTACCGCTAGCCTCGTAAGGTACCCTGAATCGAGTCACTTCTACCGCTAACAAATACAACCCGACGGAGAATTTAATTCTACAACTCTAAACACCCCGCTCGAGTTTGTGTGACGCCCAGCTCGCGTTCAGTGATTAAAAAAACGTACATATTACCAGCACGTGGGGATAAGTACAAAACAAACACTTAGTTACACATACCACATACCAGTATTTCACTCGTTGCAACACTCAGAACTATTGTTGAAGGTGATAAAATCTGTGAAATAAATAACATTGTTAAGCGGAAATGCGGGAAGGAGTGTCAATATTTATTTTATTTTAAACGGGAGTCGAACGACGAAGCGAATGAAATTCGAATTCAAACTTAGCTCGTAAGTCAGGCATCGGAACTCGAAGGCAATTGCTAAAACAGAGATGAGAACGATAGTTAGAACATTGCGTGTAAGTAATGATAAAATAAAGCAGAGACAAAACATGCAATAAAACTTCTGCGCGAAGTGTAAAATGATATAAATGCGACACGAAAACGTGTTTATACACAAACGAATGCTGATACTAAATGAAATAGAGAGGAACGGATTGTAGATTGGCAATCTACATCAAATATTCTATATAATAAGCTAGGTAGTTGCAAAATTTGCATCGCAAAACACTATAAATGACTCCTGAACACGAGTCACTTCTACCGCTGCCCTTGTACGGTGCCCTGAATACGAGTCACTTCTACCGCTGCCCTCTTTTAAACTAAAATCACAAACGACAAACGCAACACAGAATATGAAAGTTAAGAAAATTCTCTACCAGGTAACAATTAAAAATAATTTTATTCCGTAGGATATATGCGATCAAAACTAAACAAAAATATGCTACATGCGATATGAGCAGATTGCAACGCGATACAACAACCTTGTTTATACACAAACGTTGATAAATATCCCATCCATAATTGAATTATACAGTAAATAAAAACAAACAAATTTCCAAAATTCTCCTAAAAATAAAAATGAAAAACCTTTCAGTGAGATGAAACAAGAATTGTACTTAGCAAATGGTTTATGAATTATTCTCGACCTTTCCTATTTTCCCAATTTGAATACCGTATTTAATGCAGAATTTTCCGAAGAATCTTCAATCCGAAATAATTGGAATTGAAAAAACCGACACAAAAAAGGAATAGGGATGGTTTGGGCGGAATTCCGCTGTATTGCATCTTCAAGTACAACCCTTGCGCTTTTGTAAGCGAAGGAAAACTAAACAGTTTTGAGATCAGCGGGTACGCGACTATCTTATGTATTTGCAACACACGGTAGAACGCGATAAATCAAAACAACGTGAATACAAAGTAATGGAGGACGCAGAAATTAAAACGAAAAATATAATTAAAATATAAACTCACCAATGCAAAACTTTCTTAAGACTCCAAAATTTTATCTCTCAGATTTCAAATTATCTATAAGACGCTGCGATAAAAAGTTTACGAGATATTCGCGATTGAATAAAATGGGCAAAATTGAAGTGGCGTTTATCGACCTTTTACTGTTGGAAATAAAATTATTTCATATTTTTATCTGTTGAGCAATCTTTCATAATCAGCAATTTGTTGGTTGCTATCTCTTTTAGAAGAATAAATTAAACAATCGTCGAAAAAGTATCAAGCTGTTTTTTTAAAATGTTACTTTCATCTCAGATTTCGATTTAGCTCATCCTATCTTATAGAGAATAGTCCGTAGATTAAGACGGGGCGATCAGATCTTAACCGGCATGTATTCGACTATATAAAATGCGCAAAAAGTAAAATAACATTTTTTTCTTACACTATTAGTCGATTTTTGATCAAATATAATGCGAATATGGAAAGTTTATATTTTTACCTGACAAACAATTTTCGAGTCTTTCATAATCAGCAATTTGTTGGTTGCTATCAAACAAGAGATATTAATTATCAAAACTCGTCGAAAAAAAGTATCAAGCACCCCTTGGCAATTTTTTCTTAAGAATGAAAAAATCTCTCAGATTTCCGTTTTAACTATCCTATCTGATAGAGAATAGTCCGTAGATTAAGACGCTGCGATCAGATCTTAAAGCTCTTTTAGTTTACGAGATATTCGCGATTGAATAAAATGGGCAAAAATTGAAAAATGTCACTTTTAGCGTCGCGTTTTCTCGACCTTTTACTGTGGAAATATAATTATTTTATATTTTTATCTGATAGAGAATTTTCAATCTTTCATAATCAGCAATTTGTTGGTTGCTATCTCTTTTAGTTTAAGAGATATTAATTATCAAAAATCGTCGAAAAAAAGTATCAAGCACCCCTTGGCAATTTTTTCTTAAGAATGAAAATTTCATCTCTCAGATTTCCGTTTTAACTATCCTATCTGATAGAGAATAGTCCGTAGATTAAGACGCTGCGATCAGATCTTAAATATCTCTTTTAGTTTACGAGATATTCGCGATTGAATAAAATGGGCAAAAATTGCAAAATGTCACTTTTTAGCACTTTTAGTCGCGTTTATACACCTTTTACGCTGGAAATATAATTATTTTATATTTTTATCTGATAGAGAATTTTCCAATCTTTCATAATCAGCAATTTGTTGGTTGCTATCACTTTTAGTTTAAGAGATATTAATTATCAAAAATCGTCGAAAAAAAGTATCAAGCACCCCCCCTTGGCAATTTTTTCTTAAGAATGAAAATTTCATCTCTCAAATTTCCGTTTTAAGATCCTATCTTATAGAGAATAGTCCGTAGATTAAGACGCTGCGATCAGATCTTAAATATCTCTTTTAGTTTACGAGATATTCGCGATTGAATAAAATGGGCAAAAATTGACGCGAATGTCACTTTTAGCACGCGACTTAGTCGCGTTTTTCAACCTTTTGCAACTGTGGAAATATAATTATTTTATATTTTTATCTGATAGAGAATTTTCCAATCTAAAGTATCAAGCACCCCCTTGGCAATTTTTTCTTAAGAATGAAAATTTCATCTCTCAGATTTCCGTTTTAGCTATCCTATCTTATAGAGAATAGTCCGTAGATTAAGACGCTGCGATCAGATCTTAAATATCTCTTTTAGTTTACGAGATATTCGCGATTGAATAAAATGGGCAAAAATTGAAAATGTCACTTTTAGCACTTTTAGTCGCGACGACCTTTTACTGTTGGAAATATAATTATTTTATATTTTTATCTGATAGAAATTTTCCAATCTTTCATAATCAGCAATTTGTTGGTTGCTATCTCGAAGAGATATTAATTATCAAAAATCGTCGAAAAAGTATCAAGCACCCCCTTGGCAATTTTTAATATGAATTAAAATTTCACCTCTCAGATATCCGCTTTAACTATCCTGATAGAGAATAGTCCGTGGATTAAGACGGTGCGATCAGATCCTATTTATCTCTTTTAGTATACGAGATATTCGCGATTGAATAATATGGACAAAAATTGAAATATTTCACTTTTTAGTACTTTTAGTGGCGTTTTCTGACCTTTTACTGTTGGAAATATAATTATTTTATATTTTAATCTGAAAGAGAATTTTTCAATCTTTCATAATCAGCAATTTGTTGGTTGCTATCTCTTTTAGTTTAAGAGATATTAATTATCAAAAATCGTCGAAAAAAGTATCAAGCACCCCCTTGGCAATTTTTTCTTAAGAATGAAATATTTCATCTCTCAGATTTCCGTTTTAGCTATCCTATCTTATAGAGAATAGTCCGTAGATTAAGACGCTGCGATCAGATCTTAAATATCTCTTTTAGTTTACGAGATATTCGCGATTGAATAAAATGGGCAAAAATTGAAAAATGTCACTTTTTAGCACTTTTAGTGGCGTTTATCGACCTTTTACTGTTGGAAATATAATTATTTTATATTTTTATCTGATAGAGAATTTTCCAATCTTTCATAATCAGCAATTTGTTGGTTGCTATCTCTTTTAGTTTAAGAGATATTAATTATCAAAAATCGTCGAAAAAAAGTATCAAGCACCCCCCCCTTGGCAATTTTTTCTTAAGAATGAAAAATTTCATCTCTCAGATTTCCGTTTTAGCTATCCTATCTTATAGAGAATAGTCCGTAGATTAAGACGCTGCGATCAGATCTTAAATATCTCTTTTAGTTAACGAGATATTCTCGATTGAATAAAATGGGCAAAAATTGTAAAATGTCACTTTTTAGCACTTTTAGTCGCGTTTTTCAACCTTTTACTAATGGATATATAATTATTTTATATTTTTACCTGATAGAGAATTTTCCAATCTTTCATAATCAGCAATTTTTTGGTTGCTATCTCATTTAATTTAAGAGATATTAATTATCAAAAATCGTCGAAAAAAAGTATCAAGCACCCCCCCTTGGCAATTTTTTCTTAAGAATGAAAAATTTCATCTCTCAGATTTCCGTTTTAGCTATCCTATCTTATAGAGAATAGTCCGTAGATTAAGACGCTGCGATCAGATCTTAAATATCTCTTTTAGTTTACGAGATATTCGCGATTGAATAAAATGGGCAAAAATTGAAAAATGTCACTTTTTAGCACTTTTAGTGGCGTTTATCGACCTTTTACTGTTGGAAATATAATTATTTTATATTTTTATCTGATAGAGAATTTTCCAATCTTTCATAATCAGCAATTTGTTGGTTGCTATCTCTTTTAGTTTAAGAGATATTAATTATCAAAAATCGTCGAAAAAAGGTATCAAGCACCCCCCCTTGGAAATTTTTTCTTAAGAATGAAAATTTCATCTCTCAGATTTCCGTTTTAACTATCCTATCATATAGAGAATAGTCCGTAGATTAAGACGCTGCGATCAGATCTTAAATATCTCTTTTAGTTTATGAGATATTCGCGATTGAATAAAATGGACAAAAATTGAAAAATGTCACTTTTTGGTACTTTTAGTGGCGTTTTCTGACCTTTTACTGTTGGAAATATAATTATTTTATATTTTAATCTGAAAGAGAATTTTCCAATCTTTCATAATCAGCAATTTGTTGGTTGCTATCTCATTTAATTTAAGAGATATTAATTATCAAAAATCGTCGAAAAAAAGTATCAAGCACCCCCCCTTGGCAATTTTTTCTTAAGAATGAAAAATTTCATCTCTCAGATTTCCGTTTTAGCTATCCTATCTTATAGAGAATAGTCCGTAGATTAAGACGCTGCGATCAGATCTTAAATATCTCTTTTAGTTTACGAGATATTCGCGATTGAATAAAATGGGCAAAAATTGAAAAATGTCACTTTTTAGCACTTTTAGTGGCGTTTATCGACCTTTTACTGTTGGAAATATAATTATTTTATATTTTTATCTGATAGAGAATTTTCCAATCTTTCATAATCAGCAATTTGTTGGTTGCTATCGTTTTTACTTGAAAAGATATTAATTATCGAAAATCGTCGATGAAAATTATCATCTTGGCATTTTTTTCTTAAGAAATAAAATTTCATCTTTCAGATTTCTTTTTTAACTACCCTATCTTATAAAGAATAGTCCGTAGATTAAGAAGTTGCGATAAAATCCGATTTATCTTTAAAAAAGGATAGGGATGGTTAGGGCGAAATTCCGCTGTATTTCATCTTCAAGTACAACTTTTGCGCTTTTTTAAGCGAAGGAAAACCAAAACAGTTCATTTTGAAATCAGCGGGTACGCGACTATCTTATGTATTTGCAACACACGGTGGAACGCGATAAATCAAAACAACGTAAATACCAACTAATGGAGAACGCAGAAATTAAAACGAAAAATATAATTGAATTATAAACTTACCAATGCAAAACTCATGGACTCCAAGGCATGGCAAATACTGTAAATAAAAAGAGAAAACATAAGGTAAAACAAAAGTATTTCAAACGGTTTAGTGCTATTATAATCACACAACGGAAAAAAACAAACAATCTGTGCTGTTTAGTTATAACTTACATCAGCACGATGGGTCATCCTCATGATGAATATCAAATCAACATGGGGGCGATCCACTTAACCGTTATTTATGGACTATATACGAGCAAACAGTGAATAACATTACTTTAGTCGATTGGTGATCGAATATAATGCAAATTTAGAAAGTAGATCTCCGGACAAACAATACGAGTCGGTATCCTCATACGGTGCCCTGAACACGAGTCACTTCTACCGCTACTCTCATACGGTGCCCTGAACACGAGTCACTTCTACCGCTACCCTCATACGGAGCCCTGAACACGAGTCACTTCTACCGCTGCCCTCTTTTAAACTGAAATCGCAAGCAACCAACGCAACTAAGAATATGTAAGTTTGGAAAATTCTCTACCAGGTAATATGTAAAAATAAATTTATTCCGTGGGGTATATGCGATCGAAACTAAACAAAAATATGCTACATGCGATATGAGCAAATTGCAACGCAATACAAAAAACCTTGTTTATACACAAACGTTGCTAAATATCCCATCCATCTATGAATTATACACTAAATAAAAGTGACTTACACCAACAGAATGGGCCATCCTCATGATTAATATCAAATCAACGTGGGGGCGATACACTTGACCGGCATTTATGAACTATATACGCGCAAACAGTAAATAACATTACTATTGTCGATTGAGGACGGTATATAATGCGAATTTGGAAAGTATATGTCCGGGCAAACAATACCAGTCGCCTAAAATACGAACGGATCAACCAGAGGCCGGCACGAAACTGGCTGCAAACTATGCAAGCAAGAACGCGACAGTTTATGACAAGAAAGCAATAGATGCGCAAAGCCGGCGACACATCGATGACACGCGACCTTCTGCGCGACTTGCAATAGACACGTACCTGTGATAAGAACTAAACGAAAATGTGCTGCATGCGACAGCGCGACGAGAATCTTACGCGGCGAATGCGATAAGAAAGTTGTTTATACACAAACTCTGAAAATAGATTTGTCTTCAAAACGAATACAATTCTATTTTACGATTTTTAGTTCATCCTAGTGCCATCTCTGAATAGAATCTCGCATCTCGCACGGCAAATGTGATAAAAAAAGTTGTTTACACACAAACGCTGATAATAGAGCTATTCAAAACGAATACAATTCTATTTTATGATTTTTAGTTCATGCAAGTGAACTAAAATTTAAATGATGAAATTATAATTTATGATTTGAGTTTTATTGAACATCCGAAATAAAAAAATTGAATGGCTCTTTTCAAATTTTCTGCGGAATGCTTAAAGACATATCCGCAAAACTAAGGCTAAGATATCAGTTTTCTAATTGCAGGAAAACAGATACTAAGAATGATAAAAAATTTACTTACCAGTGTATCGAACACCCGAAATCAAATGCGAGTAAATACTGAAATAAAGAAGAAACAACATTAGTAGGAACACAATTTCGGACAATGAGTTCCGGCGGAACCAAAAATTTATAGTTAAAATATCGTCTTATTCACACCAATTATTTAAATGAGTATTCTTACCAGGTAGCACATTGATTCGACGAGTTCTGTTTAAGATAGAAATGGTTCGCACAAGACCAAAATTAACTACAATATTATTTACAATCACACAACGAGACCAGCCGGCGTGCGACGGCAACCGATCACAAATACACGCGTAAATGTAATAAACACACAAAATATCGAATTCCGAAGTTTACACACGCGAAAATTATGTAGCGGGTGACTAAACACAAAATTAACACTAAATTCAATGAATTATAACGCGATATACCGAATTTACAATGAGAAACACAAATACTCGCTGCAGTAGTATCACTTGCTGCACGAAGTAAGAGATGCATGCCGGCATCACAACTGTGCAGCTCGTCTTTTACTCGCAGGAATATTTTTAGTAAAATATGCATCGCGGCGTCCTCTGAGGAGACTTTATTGTACCACATGAAACTACAAAGCGTTTTCAAAACGTTTGGCGTGCATTTGAGGCAGTGAGCGATTAAATATGTGTCAGTAGTGGAAACGCATTTAAATGACCGTGTGTCACACGTACACGAAAGTGCGCATGAAGTACCTTATCTTCAAAATAAATATTATATGCTGCACGAATAGTAAATTAAAGTATATATTGTCATAAACTCACATATTATCTTTAAAATTGCATAAAAAACTGACGAAACATGTTTGACTCCCTAAAAATCTGGATTACATATTTAATATTGAAGAAATTAAAAAAAATTATGTATTCTGCAAAGAAATTAAACTTTAAGGAAGTTTGTTATGCATTTTAGGCACAGTTAAAGAGCTTGACGAGTTTAGAGGGCATGCGTAGTACAACGCCTTTGTGGAACTAAAATAATAATTAAACATTCAAGATAGGAAAGGGTGGAATGTACCGACTTCTTCCAAATATTCCATAACTATCATCTTGCCATGCAAAAGTTGTCTTTATTATATAATAGTTTATTCAAAGAAACGAAGATTCGATATTAATATACATTTATAATAAATGCAAATCTGATAGATGGTGACTATTTTTACAAATTGTTTTAATTTTCGAAATAAACATGATTAACAAGTGTTCCTTTTAGCGGGTCAATGTTTTAAATTGCATCAGTCATTCGAAGTGTTCCAAGTGCTCCTCAAAATGAACAATGAATATGAACGTTTAAATTATTTGCGCTTCTACTCCGAGAAACAAAAGAACATCGTAACTTTAAAAAACGCTTGCCGCAATGAACAGCGTTTTAGTTTCTTTTGATATAACTTAACAATGAACATTAGGACATTATTTTTTCACATAATACTGCTTTACAAATATAATAATAATCGATATTACCATGTTTTGTTTGCTAGTTATCACAAATATTTTGGACATTAATTTTAACCCTTTGAATTTCGTCTTGATAGTGAAGTTTCTGTACACTTCTCGGATGTTGCGAATAATAAATGGACATTTATTCACGAATGTATTATAGAAAAACGAAGGTAAAATTAAAAATCCATGATATTTATTTAGACAAGAACGTTTTGCTTCTTCAAATTTCATGCATCTCAAGTAACTTAAACCAGCATTAGTTTCGTTTTCTTTTCTTCTCTTTTATCTTATAAGCTTCGTTTTACACTAATGTAAATAATATAAAAATAACAATTAGGCTTCTTTGTTTACCTAGTATTTGTTTCTATCATTATGTTTTGTACACTTTCAACTTTATCTGTTTTCATCTTGCGCAACGTCTCTTCAAGTCAATTGTTTAATATGTATGTATAGTTTAAAATGTTTTATTTTACACAACTCGGGAGAAATCGGGGGAAATCTGAGAACAGATGGACCGGTGAGGGGTAGGAAGGTCATCACTCACTGAACGTCTCTTTAAATCCTTCACGTGGCTTTGCACTCAAAGTTTATTAGTCGCGCGTCACCTGCGATTCGAGCCGTCGTTCATATCGTAGAGTACTTGCGCTATCGTCCTGGAGGACTCTACGTTGCTTAGGGCTACATTTGCTAAGTGCGGTTCGTACGGCTTTAAGTACCTATAACACAATAAATGAATTAGAAAGGATCAAATACAATGCTGAGCTTTAAAAACAAACCTTCTACAATTGTTGCTGTAGATTACGAGATTTCTTAATATAAGAGAAGCGGTCAATCGAATACTTTTCGTGACTGGTCCTTCATTATCGTCCTGAAAATAAATAAAACACTTCAGTTTACAAACCAAATAAATATACATTGGCAACCACCAATCAATAATACATGCAAAACCCAATATAAAAGAAAAAGAAATGCAAGTGCTGAAATTGAAAGCAAAACCAAATATGTAAAAAAACACTCAATCGTCAACAACCCCCTCACCTGATCGGAGGCGGCGCCTGTTCTTGGCAAAGCAGGCGCGCCCTGCTTTGCGACACTCCTCTGCGCAAACAAAAGACAAGCACAATTTTAACTTCACATTCACTCATCGCTCGCTACGTCTGACATAAATGCAATCAAGAAGAAGTTTATGTCCAAATACAGGAAAGCGGAAACGATTTTAAGCGAAACAAGGTTTAACCCAAACTTACTTGCAACTCCTTAGGGTTTACGAATTCGAGCGCGTGCCGTTTGATAGCATGGAATGCAGCATCTGGTGCGTAGCCAGGATGCTGCGTCGTCTGTGGTGGTGGAGGTGGGTCTACTTTACCCGTCTGTTGTATGTGCTTGCGCTTAATTTGCGCTGCTTTCATCGACTGCAGAAGAGATAATTGTTAGTATATGATTACGTAAATGAAAATATGTTGTTATCTACCTCTAAATTGCAATGCTTATCATTGATATGTGTCATCAAAGAGAACCGCTTTCTCTTCATGTTATCACATCGCTCCCATTGACACAACAATTCATCGGTCGTCTCCGGGATGTGCGCCTTACACACGTGCATATACACCTGATTAGCCGACTTGAATTTCGTCTCGCTGAGCATAAAAAATTAAAAATTATTATACGATCATAAGCAAGATGACTACAAAAGCTTACATTTGGCAATCACCCCATTCGCAAACAAACAACGCATTCAACTCTCTGGGACTCTTCGCTTTCGTCTTTACTGTAGTTGTCGACGAGGTGGTAGCTGTCCCCGTTGACACAGTTTTCGGCGTAATTTCAACTTCAATCCGTGGTTCAATTATTGTGGTTTTCTTTACGTCAGGTTGTGGCGAAGCCGTACCGTTTGCTGTGGTTGCAGTAGTACGCACTGCCGGCGAAGTGACAATTGTGCTCACCGAGCTTTGCTGCACCATTGGTCTCTGCACTTGTGTGACAACCATCTGCTGCCCTTGCGGCGTAACCACTACCTTTTGATGATGCGTCGCTGAACCCGAATTCGGTTGCAAGATAATGATAGTTTTCGTGCCTGACGTTTGTTGTTGTGGTGCTTGTGCTAAAAGCACAGCTTGATGTTGCCCGGTCGAATTGGGATGTTGCGCAACAACAAAACCCTGCGCACCAGCCGCCTGCAGAACATATTGACCTGGCTGACCACTGGGCACCAGTTGGACTTGTCCCTGTAAACCTTGCAAACCTTGAAGACCTTGAAGTCCTTGTAGGCCCTGTGACAGAAGAATGGGACCCATTCCTGACTGTACAATGGGCGTACGTTGCTGCGCTGTGTTTTGCACAATGACAGTTTGCCCCGAAGGTTTCGTCTGAACCACTTGAGCACCTGAAGCTTGTGATACGATAATTTGACGTGGTTGTGCCACAATCATCTGTTGATTATCAACAAACACCTAAAATTTCAGAAAAATCATGTGAAAAATGTTGCTATAAACATTTATCTTGTACTTACGGGTGTATGTTGAACACTAGCAGATTGCGTTTGCTGTACAGTTTGAGCCACCGCAGGTGGGGTTGGTGGTGGTGGCGTTTCTGCAACTGGCTGCTCCATATCCTCTTCGTCCTCATCTTCGAGAATATCAGCCGCCAAATCGGCAAATAACTTAGCTGCAGCTGTCGACGCAGTCGCAGGTTCGTCCCCGTTCGATGAAGAAACCGAGTCTGGTGCTGGTGAGCCAACACCAATACTACCGTTCACGTTATTCGCCAAATGCGGGCGTTTTGCGTCTGATTCCACAATGCTATCAGTCGCAGATCGTTTAACACCCGTCTTCTCTTCTGCCCCCCTCGCATTACTTGCTTCCGCACCTTTAATATCTTTATCAACATTGTTCACAAGATTCTCATTAGTCTGCATTTGCAATTTATCCACGTGATTCTCGTTGGCATTCTCAAGTAACACAACTTTATCAAACATTTCCATCTTCTCCACCAGTTCTAGGCCCTTGTCCCCTATGCGTAGCTCTTTACCCATCACGCCGTTGAGAATCGGCGGGTCTTTATCCACCTTCTTCTCCAGCAGATCCGCTAACATAAGTGGCTTTTTGATGACAGAGTTCTTGGTGGAGTCTTTGGAATTGCTATCATTTGTGTCCTCATTCATCGTTGCTAGTGTAAGTGTAGGTGCGCCATTAAGTAGGCCTTCAAAACTATTCGAATTATCGCCGTCGCCGTCTTCCGTTGAAGACACACCACCAACACCAACATTCCCGACGCCTATGCTAGACGCCACCGAATTATTGCCTGTCGAGTCGCTATCCTCGTTGTCAATTTTCACCTTGCTCTTATTATTGCTCAACGGTGCAAGTGGAGGTGGAGGCTGCGGCGGTTCTCGCCGTGTTTTCGTGTTTAAACTCTGTGTGGTGGACGACACCACCGGATCAGCAACATCACTGTCGAGGAACAATTGTCTCGCGCCATTAAGGCGCACATTTTTCATACCATCGACTTTCAGCATTGTTTTCGCTTCCAATTGCTGTTGCTGCTGTTGATTTTGTTGCGCAGCAAGCAAACGTTGCTGCTGTTGTCTTGCAGCCACCTACATAAGTCACACGATGTTAATAAACAATTGCATTCTCAGAATTGTCAAACAATTACATTATTTTCAAACTGATTACTGGTTACTTAATTAAGTCAAACAAAACATTTAAAAATGCACAACACAAAATCGACACAAGACACAAAAACCTACACTGAGATTGACTTTTACGCTTTTATCAAGTTTCAAACAATGCAAATTACAAATAGTTTAAATAGTTTATTAGTTTTATTGTTAGTGTGTTACCTGAGCTACGGATTGGCAGTCTGTCCTCATGCTCACGACTGGTGCAGTCATGCAATCGTTTACCTTAGTCGCCAACAAACTCTTGATGAGCGAGGTGCTGCTCTGACCTTCTTTAGCGCCAACCGCCGACGCAGCGCTTCCTCCCGAAGCGGTCGAATTCGCGCAGCCGCTGCCCAGAAGCGCTTGGCTCAGATGTGGATGCGCCATCACCTTTATCCACACACAAAAACAACACAAGTCACGCACGTGTACGACAACCAAAAATGACGCAAAAAAAAATCAAACAATTAAAAATAATTATAATGGAAATAAATGTCCCAACTAACCCAAGTAATATGCGTACAGTATTAATAGAATAGAAAAAGAAACAACGGACGACACATGAAAGGATAACGTTACAGAAATAAAGTGGTGAAGTGTTTGTAAAACGTTCAAGAGAGAAAAGAGTATGTGAAGTGTCGCATTTACCTGACTCTTCGCGATGTCCGCTTTGGCCGAGACCGCAGCGCATTCGCGTGGTTTGGGAGGCGCACTCAGTTGTGCTTTCAGGATAGACGCAGGTGAAGCCGTCGGCTGCGGGAGGAGCGCATCGGTGTCGGGGAGCGAAGAGGAGGGGGGCTTGCGACGCGCGACGACCACCTTTGAAGCGGTCGTCGGCGACATCGCCGCGAGGTTTGTTACTTGGGTAGTTGACGACTGAACATTTATCACCAGAGCTTGTGCGCGCACCTTTATGCCCTCATAGTACTGTGTCTCGTTGTTGACCGGCTTCTCTGGATTGGGACCGATCGTCCCGCCAAACACGGACCTAGACCATACATCAAAAACATCAATCAATTGCAAATTACAACTAAATTTCAAATACTTACCGCACGCATCGAGGAAAATGAAGCGGTGCAATCACTCCACGACGACCAATCTTCGCGCACGAGTTGATATAATGTTTATACAATTCCTGATGATCAACTTTCCCTGCCGCGCTTAGTTCGTACGTCGCCCTCAACCACGTCAGAGCAAACTGTTCGTTTTCCTGGAACGTCTGTTGATGGGCGAGTTTTTGCTGTAAAGGAACAGGCGTGCTTGCTTGTGATGTCGTCGTCAGAGTTGTGGCAACTGCAGGTGAAGCACTAATCAATCTTTGTGGTGCAATCGACACCTGTCTTTGTGGGGTTGAAGGCGCAGACAACTTTGTAGGAGTCAAAGTTGTGCTTGCATTATGAACCGGAACTGCAGCTGGCGCACTCGGGGAAACAATCGTCGCCGCGACGCTCACTGTTGGAGCAGACGGGGTAGTTACAGATGGAGCCGCACTTCCCGCCGCCTGTGGCTGCACATTCTGCACCCCCGTCACGGTTTCCACCAGCTTCATGCCGATACACGCTTTTGGTCCGTAACTCTTCCCTTCGACTGTTACCAGTGATACTAGTGTATCCACAGCTCCATAAATATTCACAATATAGTTACAAGCTCGCTCGCCTAATGAAGACAGCGAGTATAGACACTCCAACGTGTAGATCAGCAGCATTACGTCGTGTATCGTTAGGAAAGAGCACACGCGCTCGTATACGCTCGCCTCGAGACATCGAAGAAGCGCGTCTTCGTTCGCCTCGTTTTGTGAGAGTTTATTCAGCACCTCTAGTGCCGTAATGCACCAGTTACGATCGTCCGTCTGAAGGCCACGTGTTACAACCTTCATGAGCACGCCAGCAATGCGATTCTGATCAACATCGCGCACGAGAAACTCAGCGGCGAGATTACCGAGCATCTCCAATCCAAGATTCATCAACTGATTCCACTTGGAGCACGCGCACAGCAATGTAAACCGAACAAAAGTTGTATTACGCACCAGCACCGGCACGTTCTCGTCGAAGAAGCTCAGGTTGCGCAGGATGGTCGCCACCTGCAGCACACGCTGGCCCATGTAGTCACGTGTACCGAGATTGCGGCCGAGGTTAAACAATTCACGATCGGTCGAGTCCGTGCTCAGTTTTAACTTAACGCGTTTGCCTTTCGGCGCACTGTTCGCACCACCGTTGTTCGTACACTCATTCGCGCCACACACACCACCCCCACTACCGTTAACGTCCGTTCTTGTCGTCGTGGTAGATGATGCATGCGGGCCTTGCTCGTCGAAGAGGTCCGCATCGATTATATCACGCAGTGCACCCGGAAACTCCAATTCGAGATCCAGATCGACATCGCCAACAGCAAAGTCCTGAAAGCGCGTGAGGTCTACGATGGGCACAATATCCTTATGGCGGCGGCGTGTAGCTTCGCGCAGGTATAGATTCTCGTTGGTGAGATCCAGGAACTCCTCGGTATCCAACGTGTCCCGCCAGAAGCCACCGATATTCTGCTTGCGGATGTTACCGTAACTATCCGCGAGGACATTTCGTAGAGAGCCTTTGATTGAAAAAGAAAGGAAAAGTTAAATCAATCGCAAAACATGAAAACGAATGGATACCACTTACTATGATTGAATACCCCTGCATGAGCGAGGAGGTAATCCAATAGGATTGGGTGTTTTTCCAGCTTCAGCGTGTGTTTGCCGTCGTTCGAGAGTAGCGTGCACACATTGATTGCAAAATCCTGCTCGTTGGGCAGTGGCGAGAGCAACGACAAGCCGAGGCGGTCGTAGTCCGATGGTTTGTACAGATTTGTCGACAAGTTGTTGTATTCTCTCGCCGATTCTACATTAAAACAAAGAAAAAATAGAATATTCATAGTTATTAATAAAAATTATTGTTTAGAAAAATTCTAAATGCTAAAAATGTTTATTTTGTAATTAAAATAATTTCATAATTGAAATAATTTGTGCGCATGTATAGAAAAAAGGCTGCTTCTCCTCGCCCGGCAACTATCGATTAAAAGTAGTGCATCCGCGCGCGTTTTACGCGATTACACGCATAAATATTGAATCATAAGAGCATCGCATCGTCGGTGGCGGCGCCGGTGACAAATGTAATCGACGCGTGCCGCTCGTAATCAATAGCCTGCACGGCGGCAGTGGCGGGACTGCGGTCGCGCGCTTCTGCCAGTCCCAGTCGCGCGCCCGCACTCGTCGCACATCGCTCATCATATATATCCAATGCGGCGCCATCCAACACAACATATCCACGCGCCGCAGGTGCACATCGCACATTGCACGAGGACGACGCCGCGCGGCGTGTGATAATCATGATGCGGCGCGCGAGCGCGCTTCCCCAGTTTGCCCCATTTATGTTCCCGCCACCGTCTGCGATATCATAATCCATCCAGATTCAGCTGCTGCCCGCCTGGAAAAAATCCAGGCGAACACATTCTATTGATCCAACGCAGACGGTGTGTAGTAGATTGACAGACAGGCAGAGAGACGGACGCGACTGTGAAACTTTCAATATAGTTTTTCGGCTGTTAAGGCGGCGATTTTCAGCGCTGCGCGATGCCAACGCATTTATTACAGCAGGGTGTGGAGTTTATTTTCCTGCGCCTGTGGCGGCATGCGGTTATTTATAACCCGCGGAGTGTTGAGTTTAAAATACCCGTAGCACAGGCGCGGAGTGAAAATTTTACGAGCGTATTTCTTGCACAAAGCTTCGCTTTACCGCTTTTAATATTTCTGACAAATGGCTTGTACACATTTACACCGAATCAACGTTAAACTGGTTTGTTTGGCTATTGATTTTCTGGCGCTTTTTATTATTTCATTTCTCATTCGCATTAATGCCGATGAAATATTTCATGAAAACTTCAACAGTTTGTGTGCTGCGCAAACACAACTTATTGATTTTGCTCATTCACGAATACAACAGCTTGGCATTTACATTTTAATCTTTTTTCGTGTCGGTTTTTTTTATTGAAAAATAAAATTTGACTCACCTGCAATATTGTGCTGATGATAATTGTAATGCGATGGCACTGCGTGTAGAAGTTTCGAAGATCCCCGTTTGTGTCGCGACTCCTCATCGTCGTCGCTGACACGGTCACCCTCCTCGCCGAGAAAGTGCACCTTCTCCCATCGTGCGAGGAACCTGTGGTAAACAACAACAAAACATTAGCGCTTGACGCCCCTGCAGCATGCACACCGACGCTTAGTAGTATATAGGGTCGATGCCGCCTGTCGCTGGCGACACTGACCTAGAGAACCGCGAGCCGCGAGAGCGTCGCGCCGGCCGCGGCCGAAAAGCACGTGATAGCACCGCACCGCATCGCACACACAGCCGACGACGACGGAGCAGCAGCAGCACACGACGACTCTCCACGTGGTTGCTGCTGCGTTCCGCCCCTCCGCGCGCTGCGCCCGCACGTTCTTACACATTTCGCCGGCTCTCGCGAGTCGCACGCGTCCCGGCCCGCTTAGAGTGTGTATGTGAGCACACCGCGTGCGCCTAGTGTCGGTTCATTCATCGCGATCGCACCGAGCGCCGTGAATGAGCGGAGAGGACCTCATTCGGCACCGGGCGCCTGGAGGAGGCGGTAGGGTGCGTGGCTACGTGCTGCCTGTGAGCTGTGGGCAAGTGCGCGGCAGCGCAAGACACCTGCGGGCGCTTAAAATTGATATTTTTGCCCGAACTCGGGAAATAGTCGTAACAATCTGCTGGGGTGATTGTGGTAGAATTGAAGGGGTTGTTGTCATTGCTAGAGATAGGTACCTACCTTAGGTAAATTTGTTTCAATGCTATGCTGGCGTTGACGCAGTTGTCGGGTATCTCCAATGGCTCGAAAAACTCAGGCCAGGAATTTCTCGAATTCACCTGCAAGAAAAAAAGAAACAATTGAATTGAAGTGCTATTAACAATTATATAAAAGACAACCAAAAGAATATAGAGAGAAGAGAATATAAAGAATAAGAATTGTATTAAAATTTCTAAAAGATCTTTCACAGTATTCTAAGGACGAAGTAAAAAACTTTATTCACAGAAAAGTTATGAAGAATCAAAACTCGAAGAGAATATGAACATAAAGTTATAATTTAAACTTTTAAATATGCAAAATGACTAATAAAGACATTTGTTTTGATGTCGATGATGATTGTTGACTTTTTGATTGAATAACACTACATATATTCATTAAGATTAGCTAATCAGGGTTGATTGTAAATTCAATCGTAAAAATGCAACATCATGTATTAAATTAGTCGTAACAGCTAGAAATATGCCTATTACGACCTATTCTTATGTATAACGATAGCTGCTAACAAATATTAAAATGAAAAACGCTGGAAAACAAGAAAAAACATCTTTTAACCTTTAATTACATAAAATACTTGTTGTTATTCATAAAGTGTCATTAGCAATTTTATTATAAAACATGTAAATGTGAATTATCAAAGAAAATTGCACATAAATTCTGTTTAGCACGTAATTCTAAATATTTAACTTCGTTTTTCGAATTCACCTATAAAATATACGATATATCAACACAAAAATGTAGAATTAGCTCAGCGTAATAAAAGCGCATTTCAATTCGAAATGTTGATGTCGATTGCGACCTTGACGCTTGAGTACCCTGCACCGCGCGGTGTACAAAAGCGACCCGAACGATTAGTACATAATTATGCGCGAACGCGCGCGCGATGCAACAAATCGTCGTAGCTGCTGCAGCCGCGTCGGATCGCGCTCGCGCCAAGCTGTTTACATGCGGCGCGACCAGAGTGCCGGCAGTTGCCATTGCTACGCTACGCACGGCGCGAACACGATGTCTCATGTCTCATACCCACACAGCACAGACACAGACGACAGCCGGTGCCACCGCGCGCGCCGCACCGTGCGCTAGAACAATACACGCGACCCGACCCGCCCGGTCGTGCTACCTCTGTGTGCGCGGCGCACGGTGCGAGAAAGCGACGCAAAGCAAACCAAACCGCGCCACAACAGCAGCGCGCTCCGCCGCAATGCCACAAGAGAGCCCGCGGTGCCGCGCGATTGTTGCGCTCGCTTGCGCGCACACGCTAACACCCGCCCGCAGCTTCGGCTGTTGGCCGCGTGCAGTATCGAGTTTCGTGGAGCGAGTTTACCGACTTAACCCGTTCGCACTCGCCGCGCGCGCGTTCATGCTTCATGCTATTTTACAACCGAAATGATAAATTTATAACCGTGCAATATTTGTTCCTTAAAACAACAATAATATCATTACCAATATTAAATATTACAACCGAAAATCAAATTAAAAATTTTAGAGAGCCGAACGTATTTGTAATAATTGCATTATTATCTTGCACATTGGAGGAGTTTAAGTAGGTATAATATAACAGCGCAAAAGCAAGAAACGAGTTCAGCGACCGATTGTGTCGGCAGTCGCGGCAAAAGATCAGAACACAGAAGAATCCAAGAAGCGGCCAAGAAACTCGTTTCCAACGCGCGCGTTGCATCAACATTCTCGCGGTGCAATAACAATGCGCGCATCGCTCTTACCACGTCGTGCCTCATTACGAGACTCAACCCAAACCCAAAACCCAAACCATTGTCCTGCCATGTCCCAAACGCAAAAAAACTAAATTTAACCGCTTTAGATCCCCATGGTACGATTTGTTATCAATCGCAGCAGACCACCCCCGCTAATACATAGCACGTGGTGGAGTCGGGGCGCCGCGCGTACTGAGGACAGCACACACCAACTGACGGCCGGTGCCGCGGCGTGTGCCCACGACACCGCACGTTGGACTAGGTCAGGGTCTCTCTCGATGCTCTCTCCGCCACACGCGCGTAGCGGCGGCGACGGGTCGTGGTGATTCCCGACGTCTCCCCACCGATCGCGAACAGCAGCGGCACACGGAAGCCCGCTACCAGCCGGCCAACCATCGCAGAATGCGGACGCACTTCCGCGAGGAAACAATCTCAAGCAGTGAAGAAATGAGAAAGTATATCAGAGTTGCTAGGCAACGAAAGTTTTCAACTCGTACTCAATGCAAATAAATTGATAACAATGTTAATGATCCTTTGTCTGGCGCTTTGTGTTTCGACCATTACCATGTGCTCACGCGCATAATATCAAGGCGAGAGGAGAGAAATCATCATTAACGCAAAACATACATTAATGATATTATTATTATTACAAAGGAAATTGTTCAATTATTAATTAAATTATGTTACCAGAAGGATTATTCATTCTTTGCAGTGACTAGAATATAATAAAATAATAAACTATAACTATTTTGACGATTTTGGCATTGGAAAATTCCGCGTCGCAGCGTAAAAACAAAAATCATCATTTCCCGCATTCCCGGCGTGTTAGTTTCGCGCATCGGCTAATGTATTTTACCCACACCGAGTAGGATATGATGCGCATCGTAAAATCAATATCATATTATATTTATGTTTCCTTCTCATTGCTTTCCAAGCGCTGAATTGCTCGTTATATTACTTTTTCCCAACGTTTCCGAGAAAGCAATGCAATTTTTTGCGCAAAAAGAAAGTAACCGTGCGCGTATCAAACAAATGATGATCATTCACACGTGCGTAGTGTCCAGTCGCGGCGGCGGGAGGTTGGGCCGTCGCACTGATAACGACTTAACCATGACCTTGCGCGCTCGACACACACACACACACATGTAGGATCGCACCTTCCGCATGCAGGCGCAGACCTGCGGAGCACATGGTCCGCCCGTTTCTCTCGTGGCTCTCGCGCGAGAAACACACCAACGACGGGCGAAAGTGTGCGCCGACGCGTAAACAAACAAAACGCAACAATATATATATGCGTAAAAATGCATCATATTGAATTTAATAAACTGCTGGCTACCATTTTGTGCTGTGGCATATTTTATGATGATGGCAATCAAGGTCAATATGCGTGCGGTGTCGAATGTCGTGAGTGTGGTTGATTGATGGAAGATAAAATTTATGATAGGTACCTTTATCCATCCGCCCTGCTCGGTGCAAAGGGTGTACAGCATGTAGAGGTCCACTTCGCGTCCATTCAACTTGGGCAGATGACGAAACGGCGTCCTAAAAGTGGAAATATGCATAAATTTACATTACACAAACGTAACGCGCGCACGTTATGTATAAATAGACGTCTTGTGTTTTTTCGTCTTTTTTATGTGTAGTATACTTGTTAGAATAATGCTAGTATGGTATTTTCGGGTTGTTATGGTTATTGGTAGTTGACTTACCTTCTGGTCTCGTGGAAGTGCCGGAGATCCCGAAGGAAGCCGTCGCGCTCGCCGCGATAGCCCGCAGGCTGTTCGACCATGGCGATGCTGGGCTCAGAGAGAGACGAATAATCCTATGAACGCGCACGTGATGTCGGCGCTGAGGGCCTGGATAGCTTCGACGCCGGCGTCGGCGTCACCATGGCCGAGGCGGCCGCCGGCTACGCGATCTCACTGGCTCGGCGCGCGGACACGCACGGGACGAACGGCGCGCGACACGAACGCACGCAGTTCACCGTGTGCCACTGCTGCCCTCGCGAGGGATGCTGTGTACACCTGGACGGGTGGCCGCCGGGCCGGATCTCAATTGCGCAGAAACGCGCCCGAACGCGGCGCCGCTCTCGCAGAATCGCCTTGGCGCTTGGCTCCGCCGCTGCACACTCGGCACACGCACGCCGCTGCTCGCTCGGGCCCTGCTCTTCTGCCGCCGCGGTACGGCTAGCGGCTGGCGGGTCGTGTGCGGGTGATTACGCGGTGGCGCGCCGCGAACGTGTATGCACGGTAACGACTCGACGCACGGCGGACGCAACACAGTGTTGCGGCGCTCGGTTAGCCCATGATGCCTCCTGACGACCGCTATGATTAAACATGGCTGCCCGGCCGCGCGACTACGATTCGTCCGTAAACCGCGCGCGAACGCACCGCGCGCATTTGTTTACGACCGCGCGCACTCACTCCGTTGCCCGGCCGACGTTACGCCGATTTTGCCGATGACCGCACGTGAAGCACACAACGCGCCGCGAACCTGGTTTTAATCCCGGCACGATAACGCGATTGGAAAAATTTTCTTATTTTGACAACACAAACAGTTCAAAGCGGTCTGGTGAGCGCAGTTGAGCGCGCCTCCATTGCAGAGCGAGTCAATTTTGGTTTCATTGTGCGCCGCGCCATCTGCGCTTCGGCAACCCTCACTACACTGCGCCATCTACCTATACAAAGTACAACAAAATAATCAATTTTAATATTACACTATATGCAACACAGTCCATCTTAAAATAAGATCTGCAACCAATGCTACACCCTCACGAGCTTAATTAAGCTGCGCAACACAGCGCAAATATCAAAAACACGTGTTTCTTCTGCTAATCACCGCCTTCCATCCCGAGAAAAAGTTAAGTAAAAATGGTTTACAAACGCAAAAAGATGCATTATGGTGATACTCACCTGAAGCGACGCTGGCGCACCAGTAATCGCACTAAAGACTTGGATGAGGTACGTTCGCACAATCACAATATTTGCACCTTCAAATTTTCTTGTTCCAGATCAATGCCGACTTACAACCAGAAAAGATCGACACACTTCTGAACCAGGACGTGGATCTTGACAAACCCGGCTCAGCCCAGCACTACTGTGTGCATTGCGCGCGGTACTTCATTGATGATCACGCTCTTCAAGATCATTTTCGTACCAAGGTTCATAAGCGTCGCATGAAAGCATTAGAAATTGAACCATACACAATAGAAGATTCCGAACGAGCTGCAGGCCAAGGCTCGTATAAAGCTCCGGTAAAACGTAAGATTGAAACCCAAACTGCTGTCACATCAGAATCAGCAGATGCAAAGAAATTAAAAATTGATGAACAATAAATAACAACAGACAGAATGAACATGTTACTCAAGGGTGTGCCACCTATTTTTAAAACTTTAATTAAAACTAAACTAAACCCTAGCATTAATGTCATAAGGAAAGCAAGTTCTGCTTTGTATATAACAGGTGACAAAGCACATAATAATTTTGCTGTGCTCACGCCACACATTGATATCGTTGAACGTTTCGAAAATAGAGATATACTTGAAGACAACATAAAATCCAGAGGGAAATATGTTGATCTTGAAGGTATTTGTAACCGGTGGGCATTTTATCAAGATTTGATGGAAAAAAGAGTAATTCTGGAAGTTACAAAAGCAGAAATTGCTAAACAAATTTCCAAACATATGAAAGATGAGAAGCCTGATGAAGAAGCTATCACACACTTAAAAACACAGATGACAATTGTAAAAGATGAATATTCTACGTTGCGCACATTTCTATATGGCGTTGAAGAATCGGCTGCTCTTAAAGCACTTTCTTTGCCTAATATTATTCACGAGCGCACAAAAACTGAACCAGTTTTAATTTATGAACATTTAACTAAACCCGAAAAAAGAGCTGAAGATATTCCATCACATATTGCCATCGGGACGAAAGAAAACCTGCTGGAAATCCATGATAACACATTTGCCTTCTTGACTAACGATGCGGCTTTGTTTGAAATCGCGGCGTTGAATTATTTTCATGAGAAGTTGACTCAAAGTGGCCTTATTCAATTTTCTAATACAGATTTTGCTAAGAGTATCATAATTGAAGGTTGTGGATCGGATTTCGAGAAGAATGATATCATCACACTTGAAGATGGCGGTGATCATATAATCAATAAATTGCATTTAACTGGCGGTGCTAGTCACTATGCGTTTATGGCACATTTTACCAAATATTTGGTACCAGCGAATCAATTTCCACTGAATTACTTTGCAATCGGACGAAAATATCAACAGACAATCAAAGATGATGAAGCTAGTTTGTTCAATATGGTACAGCAGAGTGCTATAGAGATATTTTCGGCTTGTAAAACATCAGAGGAATTGAATCATTCATTGGATTCAATTGTTAAAAGTATTCAAGAGATTTACAAAGGTTTCGGATGTCATTTTCGGTTGAGTTATGTCAAAGCAAGTGCACTCAAAGATTATGAAAGTTTAAGGGTTGCGATTGAGATGTTTTCGAATAACTACAATGATTACGTTGAGGTTGGAAGTATTTCCGTGGTCGATGAATATTTAAGTAAGCGATTGTTGTTTACCTACAACGAAAACAAGGAAAAACGGTTTGCTAAAGTCATTGTTGGTAATATTTTAAATGTTCAAAAGGTACTGGCGTGTATTCTGGAGAATAACTATCAGAATGGACAGCTTGGAAGTATTATTAATGATACTTTGAAGCCTTATATCCCTTGATTTGTATGTCACATGCAACGTTGTGTGAAAATAGTTGTAAACCATGTTGTAGTTGACTTTGAAGACTTTGTTATGGAATAAATAGTTTGTCATAAAAAATATTTATCTAAAATGCAGTATATATGATAAAGTTAATAGTCGAGAGCACAAAACAGAGCGACTCCTCTCTGAATCCAATGTTTTTCGGGTTTATCAGTTGGTATTTCACAAGCGATGACATAGTTTGTGGAATGGCCGGTAGTCGACAGAACTCCGGCTCTTTTCAATGTTTTATATACGGGGCATTCATAAACGCCCGTTGGTTTCTTGTGATTTTCTTCTGGTACCATTAAAATAGGTACCATTTCTACCAAAAATGTAAAAAGTTAGAATATCTAAGAATAAGTACCTCAATTTTTACCTGTATACAACTCTTTCGGTTTTGATTCACTTAATTCACTGAAGAATGGATCCCATCGACATCCCTCTAGAAACAGCCCAAAAATAGCGCAACCATCTTTAGGTTTAGTCATTGGATTTGATTTGAGAATTTGAAAGCCAAATCCAATTGTATCAATAGACACTACATACTTTCTTGCAAAATTTTGTAAAGTTCCCGTTAGAAACGCCTGGGGAAAGTAAAAACCTGAAATCCAGAAGGAAAATGGTATTCCTCTCCGGACCCATTGATTTAAGAACTCCACACGTTTATTAAGGTCCTCTACCCATGCACCTAAGGGTTTTAAAGAGGGATATGCTTTGCCTGCCCAAATATCAGGCACTATGTTGGTGAATAGTGAGATTGCCATTTTCTCTAAAGCTTCTGACATGACAACCAAACCTTTCAAAGCTTTCAAAAGGTCTTTTAAAGATGTACTTATAACATTCAGTAATCTATTGTATCGGATTGCCTCTTGGACAATGACAGTATTCAAAGATTCTTCATATAATACAGGATAAGTTTCTAGGATGGCAGCTACATCAAACATTTCAGGTACTTGGGATAAAATTGTGTTTGCCATGTTTGCGGTTTGTTCCTCTTGATTGGTTGCAGTTGCTCCGACTTCTTTCGGCTGTAGAGTTAAAAGAGTGGCTAATGTACCGTATGCTGTTGCTTGAGCACACGTGATATCAGCATTATCATGCAAACCAAACAAAGAAGGATCATCGTTCAAAGGGAATGTCTTCAAATAATCCATGTAGTCTAATAATGTTGTATCACCAGGTAGCTGATGATAATATTTACCATCATCAAACACATAGCTATCATTTAGAACTTCAGGTTTGTAGTAATCTGCTAGAATGTTCATGAGACATCTTCTATCCCAGTCATCTGTTACACGGCCGCCATAATTAATATGCCCGGCTGTGTATGTCAAAACTTTGAACGGCACCTCTGAATATTCCAATAAGAACATGTACAATTGTGAGATGGAAATTTTTAAATCGCCATCGGTGAATTCATAAGCAATGTTGAATCCTAACGGGCCAAATTTACGTCGTTCTAATAAACATCCATGGAAAACACACAAAGAGAAAAACAGCCACTTAAAGGTATTCACTTTAGGATGCTCTGAATGGAAAAAGTCAGCTAAATCAGTGAGTTGATTGTTGTATGCTCGTAACATGTTAGCTTTCAATCCCCTAGGAGGCTCAACAGTCATTTTGCTGCCATTTTGTAATATGGCCACCGGAAAGTGTGGCGATGGAGTGGAAGTTAACCAAATGCGGAATTCTTTGTGGGCTGCTTCTGGTTCTATTTCATCTACGACGCGTTCCAAGCGAGGCATAAAGCTTGGTGCTAAATGACAATTCTATAAAAACACAACGACGTTAAATATTAAGGTGATAAGATATTTACAAGTAAGCTTACTTGGAAAAATACCCAGTTACCGATCTCAACGCCCTCTTTAATCAAGCGTTCAGCAAGAGGCCCTTGACCTTGCCCCAAAGAAATAGCAAAAGTTCTCTTTGTCATTTTCATTTTATCAGCAAATTTAAACAAATCATACGCAGGATCAGTACCAGTGGATAAAACAAATATAAGGGGAACGGTCGGTGCGGATTCTTTATACATTGCGGATAAATCACTCGTTATAGGCTCAATAAATTGTTGACCCATTTTTTCAATCAAGAAATCCTGCATTGCATTAGTAATCTTATCAGGTCGGAGTGATTTGATGATGATTAGCTTCCTAAACAAGTTCATTTCATCTGCCAGTTCTTCCGGAAGTGGTTCCCTGTGTGTAACAACAAGTTTTAGTATTATTTTTGAGGCTGACGAGGTTATTGAGGTTATTACCTGTGAGGTTGAGGTGATTCAAAAATTGTCTTGTAAGTATCCTCGTACTGTCCAAACGTCTTAACAAATTGTTGGAAGTTTGGTAGTTCTAACAATGACAGAATCTCCTTCCACGCTTTTTCTGTCAACCAACGTTTACATGGATTAGGCATGTCTGATTTGGGCGACGCACCAGCCAAAAACATCATCCACTCTTGCGGATCAATCTGATTCTCGTTCATCATAATCCTCACACATAACAAAAATGCAAAAAGAAGTTTGTCTTTTGCAAATAAACTTCGGCACACATTTGCGTATAGATTATACGTAAAATAATCGTTAATAATTTGCACACGTTCGTTTAAATTCTCCGTCTTTTCTGTCTCCGCCATGCTATTAATAAACGTATTGATGAACCACTCGAGGGAGTATTGATACATTGGATCAACATTGGATAGATCCGCAACACAAAAGAATAGAATCTGCCCGCGGTTAGCTACAGGCACGTATTGCATTCGAGTGTTATCGATGTCAATTTGGGTAATTTCAGCTGCTTCAACTTTGCTCTTAATATCTTCAGATTTGATCTTAGAAGCTTCTAGAGTAGTGATAAAGTCTATATCGTCTAGGGGGGAACCTTCAGAGGAGGAGAGTTTCATTAAGATGCGGTCTTCTATTTCTTTTAGTTCTTGCTTCATCTGGGCGCTGCCGATAACAATTTGACTGCGTTGTTCTTCCAAATCAGGACGTTCTTGCATTACTACAAGTGCCAGTAATTGATCTTGCAAACCCCTTTCAAAACAATTTAATTAAATCAGTGATAATTATTTAAAAAGTTTAAAAAAACTTACGTTGGAACAACTGTAAAGTTAATCAATTGAACTTTGATAGAAACTTCTGGAGTATAATGTGGATTAGTCAACTTTGTTGTGATATACAACTGGAAGTCATCATTATAAGGAACAATTGAATCTCCCAGTTTCAACATCCATTGCCCGCCTTGTTTGAAAAGAGATTTATACAAAACAGGATCTAATGAAGGATCCAACTCGGTTCCAACATTTTCAATTAAAACTGGTTTACCAAATCTGATTGCCAATTCTAAAGTTCTGACTAGATCCTTATCGGCAAGTTTACAAATTGTCAAACCTCTTGGTTTCTCCTAATTAATAAAAAAACACATTAATATTATGTTCATTTAAATAGTATTTGTTTAAAAAATACCATATTTCTAATCCATTTATTAGCTTGACTTTGTGGATCAATAAACAGCGGCCATCTTGATGAACAAGACACCAACACAGCATTCTCCGTGCTTAAAGCATCCCTAGGCAACCCGTCAATCTGCCATGATCTAATTACAACTGGTTCACCAAGTATAGAAACCGGATCACACTTTTCCGAGTGTGGAACTTTCACAACCGTCAATAAATTCAACCATTTTTTAAATAAGTCTTTTCTATAGCTGTCTGTAAACGGTGTAAGGTAGGCAACCGCTCCGGAACAAATCAAAATGTCACCGGTGGCATTAACCGTATTTGCCTCAATGCTTGCAATTGTTTTAATCCATCTGACGCGTTCATCGGCTAAACCTGAAATTAATCTAACAGCGCGATTCATCCTCTCTTGACACATATTAATACTGGCTTCCTTTTCGGCTTTAAACTCCATCTTGCTTCTTAGTTTCTCATTGAGAACTTCTAACCCATCGAGGATTTCTTTCATTTGAGCGTTTGCTTTTGCAAGAGCTGCTTCGGTAATAGCCAATTCTTCATTTGCTTTCTTCAGCGCGGCCTTTTTAGGTGCAACTTGCAGATTAACAAAATAATATTTATACATTGCGTGAACCCACATACAGAGTGATGTGCAAGCTTTCGACACTTTGATAATTTTAGCTGGTAAAAAGTTAGGATCATTCACGTATTTAGCAAGTTTTTGTATCATTTCCTCCGTGATACTATCCTTGTCAAAGTTCATTAGTGACGTAAGAAACGCACCAGGATCTGATAGCATTGCGCGCCCTGGTTCCCAATAATCCAACAATTTCTCACCGGGTTTTAGCCCTGGGACCTTGTTCGGTTTCACCCTTTGACAATGCAGATACTCTCGATGACAAAAATCACACCAACAGGTGGTCGCTTCATGGCCCTGACCTCAGTAATATCATTTTTATTCAAAGCCTGTAGACTTCTTTCAGCTGCAAGTAAAGCAGGCATAGCTTCCTCTAAATCTCTCGCTGCATCATCTGCAATCGATTGAGTCTCCATAGCTTTCTTCGTTGCTTCTTCCTCTTCTTTCTCAACAATCACACGTGTCTCCTCGGCGACTTTTGTATCTGCTGCAATTTTCGTAATCATTACTTCTGCATCAGCAGCGGCAATCTCCAAAGCAGGTTTCATTAATTTTAACTGCAACTGTAAGTCTTTCACCTCCTCTGAGGTAGATTGTAGTTTATGTAATCCAGTTTTAAGTCGGCCGATGCCTTCGGTGAGACCGCCTTTCTTTCGCTTCATCAGATTGGTATAGCTGGAGAGGAGCTGCAGGTAGGAGGTGGGTGTGACGTAGTTGTGACGCGATAATTCCGCAAGAAACTGCTCACTGGCGGTGACGACGCTGGCGTGCATAAACTGACACACTTGCACAATTCCTCTCAACACCAAGTCGGATACTTGAAGTTCAGGAATATCGAGCAGATATTGTTTCGCCACGGACTTAAAATAAATTATTTATTAACAAGCTTGCGGATATTGCGCAAATTGATATTATTACTTGTAAAGCGGTGTTGGGCCAAGGTGAAAACCAATCGATTGTGCAGCAATTAACAAGCGCAGGGAATTGTCGTAAACGCGCTCGGAATATTTCACCAATTGGGCTGGAAATCATTAAAATAATTCGATTATGTTCCGGGTATGGATTAGATTGCAGATAAAAGTTTGTGTTTGTTTATGTTTTATTTTAAAGCTGTTTGGATTGAACGAGTTAAGCTGAGAAAAAGGATATTGTTACCAGGCGAGCATAACTTGCTGTAGCTGGTTGCGTATATTGTAAAGGAGCTGGAGTTAAGCCAACGCTCACGCACTCCGATTGTTTGTACTAAACGAAAACTCAACTCGTTACTTAACTCGCTTGCTTACTAAACGGAATTGACAGTTACCTTTTTTATGATGAACTTTAACGAACTTAACAGAAAGTTAACTTAATTTTCAATGTTGTTAAACGCTTGTTTCCACCAGGAGCGCATGAGATGCATTGGATGTACTGGTGGGTACGACTCAGTGCAGTTGGAAACTTTTTCCACGTTACCTACGGCTGTCTGCTGACTCCCCAATAGAAAAACATAAAATGCCAACATAAATTGCCAACTTGCAAGCGTTTACAGTGTCGGGTGTGCGCAGTATACGACGATGGGCGTTAACTTAAAGTAACAACTGATAGATTTTTTTGTAGTTATTATTTATTTATTAATATGCGCCGAGGCGCGCAAAAGGGCGTTCGTTGTGCGCGTATTAATAGCGCTTTTGGTCGGTAAAATAGATTTGAATATTAGGAGATCAGAAACACGTCAAGAAACTTTAAAACTTTTGTTTTGCGCGTTTCTCAGTCACTCGCGCATGAGTATACTGTGCGCGTCACATTTACTACACGAACCGGTACGAACACAAACGAAAACATTTAAACTCACTTCGCGCGCACGTTTAAAGTAACTCCCCAGTTATTCTCAACTCCGTTATGTTCTCCTGGTGGGAGCAACACGTTTAGAAGCCCAAAAGAGACATCGTCACATTGTATACCTATACGATTTTTTTAGTTTGTTTTATTTCGTTTCCCACTACTTCTCTACTTCTCACTCCATCACTACCATCACTACCACTCCACCTCGAAAGTAAACTCCGGCGTCCGTTTACCAGCTCGCTGTGCTGCGAGCCTGGTCGAAAATTTATAATTTGCCAATGTAAATTTAAATGTCATTCTACTAACGTGCCGGCTTATGGCGGCAAGTGCCCATTGTGCCTTGATTCAAGGCAAGTACGGCTATTCCAACGCATTTGCGCAATGTTATTAAACTTATTCGAAAAGATGTCGACCGAAAATTGCGCTTAAATTTGCGAAGATGACGTGTGTTCGCGGGATTTCGGCAGGACCTCGAATCGCTCGACATATTTTTCGTGCGTCACTTTTTTTTAAACCGTTATCTGGATGAATAAATAAGTAACGCTAATGATGAATGAAACCCACAACTCATACTTACACATAAAGTGACCATGAGCTATTATTTATTATTACTTTATGTGGCTAAGTGTGTGTCTGTGTGTGTGTTTGAGACATCAATGTAATAAAAACACGGAAGTTGTTAAACATTTGAACTTCTCAGCGTTTTTACGTCCGATGACCGCCATTTTAAAATCAATAAAACTTCTACATTTACTTACCTCATAGAAATAACAGTATGCAAATTCATCCGTACTTGTTTTTGATAAATAGCAAACAGATTACTCTTGGTTGCAACAATACCCAATTCGGTTAAGATTCCTTTCATTCCTTGATATATTTTATCCATATCCTCAGGCGGATAGCAATTTGGCACGTCACCCGAATTCAAAATATTGTTCAAGTCCTCCAAAAATAAATCATTCTTGATCTGTGTGTCAGAGAACAAGAAAACTGTTTCGCGTTTTTGAAGACCAGACTTAAGCATCAAGTTTTTGACGTCTTCGCGCCATTCCGTCACGCCATATGCTTTCGACAATTCGATTTGGAAGCAAGAGAATTCAGAAATGTGAGAGGAAAGACGTGTTAAACTTTGGCGACCTAAATAAACAGTTTTTGTTTATTTTTAAAGTTTGATTGGTGAAGTTAAATTTTACCTGATCCACCCATGCCTAATAAAAGTGCATTGCCCATTGGTTGTCGAATTATACGACAAATTCGGCAGACATGTTGAATTGCATCCATGAATAAAACTAATTTCATTGGTGATGTTGTTTGGGTGTTATAATCGTTAAGGAAGTTGTTCAAAACGTTTGCAAGCTAAAATAACAAATATATTAATAAATGATTAAATGTTGAATATTTTGAGGCTTAAAATTACTTGTTGTTGGTTGGTAATCTGTACATAAGGACGCAGATCGGATTGATCCATAAAGTCGCCATAAAACAAAACATCACTTCCTAGACAATCCTCAACAGTATATTTAAACTCGACAATTTTATTCTCCAAGAGATCGTCAAACCAATGTCGATCCTCATCGTTTACTAAACGATCTTGGTATACACGACAGTTTTCATGATACCAGAGTCTTATTATTTCTTCAACAGACTAATAAATAAAACTATAGATTAAATATTTATTAAATAAGCAGACCGTTTTACCTGTATTGTTTCAGGATCAAACATCAACATTCCTTGAAAAATCTTACTCAAATCTCGCAAATTAAATGTGTAATGAGTCTTTGCAGGAGTCGGCAGTAATTCCTCGCAAATTGTGCGGTAAACTTTAAGTGAAGCTGTTAAAATAGGTTGGAAAAAGTCAGGGAATTCTGTACGGTTTATCCAGAATCCAAAAATTTTCCCAAAAATCTCCTTCTTCACCGCATCTTCAAACTCCAAGAAAGTGAGATAATGAAAATGTCGTAGAAGACGCGGGGTAATTGGATTTCTACCGCCACCAGGTGGACCCATAGCGGCGGCAAAATTTACATCGATAATCTGTCGGAAGTCGCCAATGTTTTTGCGATCATACCATCCAGAAAAGTCCATCCACTGGCGGATGAGTTCAATTGGTGGCTGCGCACCGTACACTTCTAATGCAGGCATGTTAAAGTCGTCAATGAAAAATACTTGTCTTTTGAGTACAGGTGGACCGTAGACACCTTTGCGTCGACGATCAAGTTTTGAATCAATCAAATCCTAAAAATATGAACATTATGCGGAAAATTAAGAATTGTATAAAGAAAATTGAAACCTGAGTTTGATTTGATGAAGTCCTCGCTGAAAAGTTGATGAAATCACAGATAAATTTTTTGTGCATGTTTTGCGATAGTTTTCGTATGATTGTTAATGTTTTTCCGGTGCCGGTTGGGCCTACACATAAAACGTTCTTTTCGTTGAGCAGAATCATACCAATAAGTTCAGAGTTTCGAACATTGTCAATTGTAGGTATTTCAATATCTAAAAATTAAGTTTATTGTTTGATTAGAAGTAGTTAATTAAGTTATTTTTATAAGCGCTTAATACCTGAGTATTTCATATCAACTGTTATCTTAAACTCTTCATTTTCTTCCATCCAATGATGCCAAGATGGCGGCTTGGCATTGCCATCAACTGTAGCATCCGTAAAACCGCCATCATGCAATCTAAAAGAAAACAAAACAAAATTTCCAAATTTGAGTTTAAATAGGTTTAAAAAACTTTACTTGTAATCGTAAACTAATCCCTGTTCAGGAAATAGTGGTTTGTGTTTATGCTCCACCATTCTCTGTCGCAACCAATCATTAAACTTGATCCGTCCTTCATTGTCACACGTGCAGCCTATACTCCACACCAACGAAAACATTACCCATGGTACCATCAACTCAGCTAAACCCAAAAATAGAATAAACTCAAAAACATATAATATATATATAATAAAATTTGTATCTTACGCATGAGTTTCAAAAACTGCGGTGCCGGAGGTGGTCGATTATCCTTCCCGGTCAACGGAGTCATCCGATAGTCCATCATATGTAAGAAAGTGGTAACCATCGCTGAATCTATCGAAGTCAGAATTTCCCGGAGACTTGTCCGTACAAAATCCAACGCAGGATATAAATAAGTATTGATTAAATCACGCAACACATCCGTGAAGTCGACAGCCAACTGTGGAATGCGTTTCAACCAGCAATTGACATACGGCTCAAGCCCAAGAACACCAGGTTCCAGAAACACCATCCCGCATCTGCTTACAGTAGCCGGAGAAGCAACTGCCAAGTCAGCCACTTCAAAAATCATAGTTTGAGTATCGCGGAGTTTAATAATTTCACCACTGCTGAGACACAGTTTTTTATTGTCATCCAGCACGGAATTCATGTTTTCAATCCATACAGCATCCACAGGACCATCAAAGATGTACCAACATTTGTCATCAGTTGTAGAAGCAACTCCAATACGAACAAGGGATGGCAGAATACCATCAGTCCTATTAATCATGGTAAAATTACAAAATTTGTTTTATGGATATGTAGCATTTACCATTCATGTGTTTGAAGATCAAATTCTCCGTATAGTTGACCCATTGTAATAGATTTCGGATTGAGGACGAAGGAAAACACTTTACAAAATGGCAACCCAGCTGGTGTAATTTTTCCTTTTTCCGATAACATCGTCATTGCTTTTTTCAATATTTCATAACACTAGAAATAAGTTAAAAGTATTATTATATTATACTTAAAGAAATATCAAAGTTTAGATTATGTTTAACTTTGCTTGGCTATGAATACATTCAGTATTGACACAGAAATAGTATAAAAGCACGCTGCGTCCGTAGACCACCCCTTAGTCTGATTCAATACAGATCGGAGTAAGAAACTCACTTTATAAACGTGACAACCGTAAAACACAAAAAATACAAAATGGACACAAATTATACAACTCCAGTCATAGACAGCCTCAACGTGTATGTTACACCATTCATCATAGTTTTTGGTCTTCCTGGAAACCTCCTTACCGCTTTGATTTTCTTCCGAACTGATTTAAAGAAACATTCATCAAGTTTTTACCTTGGAAGCTTAGCAATTGCCGATGCTTGCTACCTCATCATTCTACTAACATCAGTACTGGAATTCCACTCGCAGATTGCCATCTACAACGCTGACAATGTTGTTTGTCAGTTGGTGAATTACGCGGGCAGCGTTTTCAGCAACTGGAGCGTCTGGTTGATTGTGGCGTTTACCAGCGAACGATACATTGCCTTGGCGTATCCTTTACATCGTCCTGTGTTGTGTACGGTGAGCAAAGCAAGAATCATTACGTTCTGTTTATTTTTCGCGGCGTGCGTGGCAAATTTACACATCATTTGGGTGAGCGGCGTGGACGTGCAAGGATGGTGTACGGTGAGACAGGAGTTGATTAAATTCAGCCAAGTTGTGAATTATTTCGATACGCTGTTAACGTCTATTTTGCCAACAATCACAATTATGGTTTTGAATACGTTGATTGGGAGAATTGTTAGTCGATATAGGGAGAATTTCTTTGCGCATCAAATGGATGATGAGAGTGTTAGTGTTTCGACGAGAAGTTTTGAAAATAGGGTAATTATATTCAGAAAATCAATGTTATAAAGTTATAATAAGTATATTTTTATAGAGTGAACGTCAAAGTCGTAGAATTGGAAGTGGAGTATCACATCAAAGTGATAATAAACGGACTGGTAAGCTTTTATAAAAATTATGAAGCATAAAATTTATCAAAGATAAATATTGTTTAGCATTTCGTGAGAAGAGAACAATGATGGCTCATTCACAATGCAGCATTACAAAGTTGATTCTTTTAACGTCAACAGCATTTTTAGTTTTGAACATACCAAGGTAATTTAAATTTTATTTAGATTCTCGGTGATTTTCAATAATTAAAATCTTTCTATTTTGTTGATTATTCTAGTTATATCATAAGATTAGTAATGTTCACTTACTATTCTTTGGAACTTGATTACCCGCTGGAATTAATTTATGCTCAGCGCATCGTCAACGTTCTCTATCAAGCCAATTTTAGTGTTAATTTCCTACTGTACGCAATGTGCGGCACAACATTTCGGAAAGCACTTAAAGCATTTCTTTGTCAAAACGTCAATATCATCAAAAAATGTCTGCGAATATCAACGCAATAAATGCGAATCACTCGTAAAATTATATCGTCTAGCTAATAAATTGAAAGAGAGCATAAAATGAGAATGATCTTCAACAAACACGTGGAAATTGCAGACCGCGCCTTGTAGTTTGCACTTTTACGACGCAAATACATTTATGTAAATGTGTAGATCTTGAACTTGATGATAGAAAATGCTTGAGCACCCTTGAGGTGGCATTTTGCTATTGACCTTATAATCAACTTTTTTACTGTTACATTCCTAGTTACACTCAAACAATTGCGAGGCAAGCAACGGCTAAAAATAGTGCATCTGTAGAAATGCACTTGGAATTAATTCAGATGCTTGTAGAATCGAGAGATAAACTTATGACGCAGGTTGCTTGGAGATAAAAATGGAAATTACAGACGAGAATAGACACACGCAAGAGGATTAATTGATTCAACAGTGTTACAGACGTAAATTTTGCATTGACACAAATATAAACTTAATTCAACTTTACACTTAAACATAAGTGACATGAAATAATATTTTAAGCAACTTACACAAGTTTTGCCTGATCCAGTAGGTCCAACCAACATCAAACCATGTCGCACGACTGTTGTTTCATATAATTGTATTACTTTCTTGACATAGTCTACAAAGATAAACAAAAAGGTAAATATTAAAAAGCTTACCAAATAAAAATTTAAAATATCACCGTTGACGTCTTCTAAACCACTTTCAATCAAACAAGTACGAATACTCGTTTCTAAAGCACCATAATCAACAGCTTCCTCAACCATTTTTGGAAACAAATCGGATACTATACCATTAAATAGTTTTAAATCATCTTTTAAAAACTTTGGCACATTTACATCTCGTATAGCCCTCAAAACAATCTGTCGTTCATCCATCTCCGGTTTCTCACGTTTTAAATTACCCGCAACTGCAATAACAGTCTTCACCGCTCTCATTCCGAAATCATAATGATCTTGAGTACTCAACTGCTCGGAACTTAGCTTAAAAGTCGTCGTAATCTTATTTGCCAAAGGTTTTGCATTACCAAAACCAAACGAGAATAAAGATATTTCTGCAATCAGTGTATAATTTGGCACCATCATAGCCACAGGTCTAAACAAAGCCTTTAAATTATCAGGAAGTTCTGTCCTTCCAGCATAACCAGGGTTCATTGTAATAAATACTGCTGCAGTGTCCTTTAAGGCAATTTCACAGCCTTCAAATAAGAAGCGATCAAGTCGTGCTTGTTGAGCCTTTTGAATCGTCATGATCTGTTGAGCAATTACTGACAAGACTTCTATGTCAATACGATTGAATTCATCAAAGCACGCCCATGCTCCTGAACTTGCTAAACCCTTAAAGAACTTGCCCATGTAGATAAAATCTAATTGATCTGAACAGTTGAAGACAACGCATTGAATCGCCATTGCCTTAGCGAGATCTTTAGTGGTTTCGGTTTTACCAGTTCCAGCGGGTCCGGCTGGGGCCCCGCCGAATTTTAAGTGCAGGGCACCAGTGAGTGTGAGGTAACAACGATCTGTCAATGGGGTAATTACAAGTCGACCGGAATTGCCTAGATATTCGTAACCATATGGAAATTCAGCGTTTACCGCACGTACTTTCATTTCACCCTCAACCCAGTAATATCTGTAATAAATATATTTTGTTTTAATATATTAACAAATATTTTGGTTAAAATTACCTCAATTGGCTAATCCAATCAAAATCATTAACATTGGCTACTTCGTTATCTACCAATGTTTGAGTGACATCTCGTGCGTGAACCTCAATCACAATCAAAGCTGACAAAACTTCTCTTTGAAGAAAAGTCAAACCACCTTTTACCAAACTCCTTAGAGAATCCAACTAAACAAAAATAACATTAGCAAAATAACAATTTTTGATTATTTTGATGATCCACTTACATTTGCTAAAACAAGTTGGAAGAACCTTTTCAAAGAATTTGTATTGATACCGTGCTCAACACCAGTTGTCCAATATGTCTGACAACCGGCAATGACCACCTGACCAGGCCATTCTAAAACCCATTCTTTTCTATCTGTGTTTGAGATAGTCTTTAATGAAGCTCCCAGAATAGACCGCACGGTATCTTTCATAATCTTCTCGACTTGCAACAACCAAAACTCAACATTTCCAGTTGGATACATAGTGGTTACCAAGTCAACGCATTCTCCTTCACCGGAGAACATTTGAGTGATTTTCAAATCTGCCTCGAAATTTAACTTGGCAATATTCTCGAAACATTTTCTAAGATGCGGTTGCACCGCCAGTGGATTTCTAGCCTGTGATAGAATCTCCAATAACTCGTCATCGCTGAGGAAGTATAATCTTGGAAACACGCTCCGCTTCATCTCCAGATATTCAGCTAAGCCCTTCTGGACTACTTCCAAAATATGATTAGCATCTTTCAAGGACTCCAAAAGTTTCTTGTCTGCACAAAAGTCGATGATTTTTGGTTTCTGGTAAGCTGCCCGCATAATCCTCTTCCAGGTCCTTTCCATGGATAAATATTTCTTGGTTTCAAGAGGTAGCTGTTTACTGATGTCATCACTACTGAAAATAGGTTCCAAATACATCCACTGCCGTTGCACATCAATCCATTCTTCGATTACATCATAAGTAACTTTCAAAGCTGCTTCCCAATTTTCAATGCGTTCCGAGAGTGCTGCTTTGAATGGACTGAAAGACAACTGCTGTGCCAACACAATGTGGTCATCCAACATCTGTTGAATATCATCGGAAACTTTCATTATAAATGTTCCAGTTTGTTTATACAGAGTCAGCTCAAGCATGCAATCATCCCATTCACTCTCCATTTTGTCCAGGGCCTGCTCAATTGAGAATTCTTTCGTTGCATATTCCGAAATGCGTACAATATTATCTGCGACTTTTGCAATGCCGTATTCGAGGCATTGTTTGAATGTAATTGCCGGTCCCCATGGAATATTTAAACCAGTATCTTTGAAGAACTGCTCCCAATGACGGTCTCGCATACCAGGATTACGCAAACTCTGTATTATGGGTATCAAAGGTTTGAACAGTTCAATTTGATCTTTGATATTTGCAGCAACAGCTTGAACTTTTGGGAAATCAGAGAAGATCCGAATTGATTTCACCATTGTTTTATACATGTCCGAAACCAGGACATCGATACCTTCTCCATCAATTTGAGAGAGTGGATTATCCATCCATATTTCATACCAGGATAACCAATCTTTAAAAAGCAAAATTAGTGTTACTAAATCTAATTATAGATAAAACAGTACCTGCGGCAGTTGTCCACATGTTTTTATAAGGTTCAAACTCTTTGATCAACTTGGTTAAAGCTTCGAATGGTACAACTGGTGATAGGTAAAGTTTTTGACGAGAGTTTAGTAGTTGCCCTTGTTCTTGTGCTTCTTTTATTTGCCTCCACACTCTTCTCATCTCAATTGCAATATCAGCACATTTGGACGCGTCACTATATTGGTACATTCCGGAAACTTGCACAATTAGCGCCTCGATCTTTTCCTGTAAATTCGCCTCATCCTGAATCTGTATCTTCATAAATTTCTCAGTCTCTTCAATTAGCACTTCGTTTGTGTCATCGATATAGCGCGTTATTTTGTTAGGCCACCCAATGGCGTCCCACTTTTGATCAAAGTCCTCCTGCGGTAAATTATACCAAAAGAGATCGAGAATTTCATACTCTAAATTGAGGCGTTTTGTGGTTTCGTCCAATTGACGCACTGTCATTGGAATTGTTTCAATCCAGTCACGCATATCATAAATCGATTCGATTGAGATTGGTTTTTCAGCTAATTTTGTTTGAATTAGTTTGTATTCTTCAATTACCTGAAGAAGAATGTTTAAATTTTTTACGTTAATTTTTTTGTTGAATTATATTTATACCTCAGCAAATAACGCTTTCATTCTCTCAGCAAACTGGTCCAGTAGTTTCTTGATAACATCTAGTCGTTTAGCAATCAATAACTGTTTAACGTTATCAGTGTTGACGAAAAACGGTCCAATTATAATTGAAGCTGGAATTGTAGCTTCTAGGTTTTCTTTCATGCGTACATGATAATTAACTTCTTCTTTTACTTCAGGTGCTGAATGATTTTCGTCTTTATATTGTCTGCAAAACATTATAAAGTATAAAAATATTTTACACTTCAATAGCTCTTACTGAAGATAATTCACAATGTTCATATTCCAGAAATCTAAATAAATTTCATATCTCTTCGCATATGCTTTTAATGGAATAATAGATTTCCGATAACCATAAAGAAAATTATCTCGTAATAAACAGATATTTTCGTCGAGCAGCCCCACCGATGTAAGGTACAAATCATTTGCAAATCTAAGTTTTATCAGCACGTTTGGATGGATTTGTTTGATGGAATGTGTGCTAACAATCGCCTGATCGTATAGCTTTAACAAAGTTTTTTCATAAACGTCTGGATCTGTCGAATAATAGGCCGAAACTTCGGATAATCTTAAAACAAGCGTAAAAATTGGTGGAACTCGAGGAAGGAAAGGAGTATTTATCAAATCAATAGTCCATTCGAAATCTTCCGTTATGTCATTGCAAATATTGCATGGAGTTGCAAGAAGCGTCGAATATTGGTGAACAGAGTTTTCAATAATCACACGCAAAGCGTACTATGAAACAAATTAAATTATTAAAACTAAATCTTATTATAATTTAGTTGATTTTAATTATACCTGCATGCGATATTTGACACACTCGAACAACCTGCTCAACTTGGCAATATCATAAATTTGATGTACTCCCTCGTTGATATCAAACCATCCCTTTCCACAGTCGCTGATGCACATTCGTAGGTTGAAGGCAGTGGTATCAATCCAAGTGTACTTTAAATATTTCATCACCTGTGCGGTGAATTTATTCTGGATTGTTTCAAATTCATCCAGGGTGACCAGTTTACCGTAGCTCATGGTGAATAGTGTCATTTGCTCGACTTTGAGGCACTCGGCAATGACCTGCTGCATTGCACAAAGAGAGTTTGGAAGAACATAGATTGTATACCAAGCAAAATATTTGCTTTTTTCCTCGAAATGCTCAATGATTGCATCTACACGACCTTTATCAGGGATTTTCTCTTCCACAATCGGAGGTACAACAATAAATTTGTATTGATCCGGAGTGTTGGTTACACTCCAACGAAATTCTAACTCACCGAGCGTTCGTTTGTGGTTTAATTGAATTTCTTCGACTAACTAAAAATATAATTAGGTATTAAGTGATTTTAAATTGTATTTATGTACTTTACCTCATCTACGCTAAGATTCATAATGTTTTTATGTACTTTTCCTACAATTGCAAGCGATTTCATCTTTTTTATCCACGCGGGTGGAATTTCATAAATTCCTGTTAAGACTTGTGAATCCAAAACATACTGCCACCTTAAAAGATAAAAATTTATTAGAATCAAGTGAATTTATAGTTTTTATTAATACCTTATCATTTTTTCTGCATCATTTCGAAGATTAACAGAAGCTTTTATCCGTTTTGCACTCCTCATGGGTTCTTCAGCTCCAAATAGAATGTATATCTCCGGCAAATACATCGTTCTTTTAAACCCATCCAAAGTGAGAATCCTATATCTTTTAGTAGTGTCATCCCATGATAAAACAGCAACATTGATCCAATCATAAAGAAGATTTAACCGATCTGCGAGAGGAATTAATTCTGGCTGAGGTACAGGGATAAACGCAATAGCTGGGACTGGATGCGCAATTCCATCTATAAGACCATGATCCAGCCAACCTTGAGGTGACCTAGTAGACATTTCAATTAAAATTTGTTAAGTTAATAAATTTTAATACACCAACTTTGAACTATATTCTTCATCATCAAACCATTCCAGGGGCAACCAGTGTATCATTGTGTACAATCCAAATTTAACACGGGTCCACTCACGATCCAATACGTCAACTGGTAAAATTTCTTCTGGTGTTATATTCATGTCTTTGAGACATTCAGACCAGTTTTGAGTTTCGTACAATCGTCGTTTTTGTTCAATAGCGACACTTCGCGGAACCTTATAAGGTTCCATGTTGTATTGAAGTTGGACTTTTGGTTTGAAAACATCCACGGGAAAACTCTGTAACATGCAGGTGTTAAGCATTGAACGTGGTAAGTAAAAATTTGATGTGATGTGATATACAATAGTTTTTTCTTCTTCAAAGCACATCCATCGTTCGGCAGGTGCCAGAATCTTGTGGATAAAATCAGGCTTCCATTTTCGAATGGTTGGCGAATGACGAAAGGTGGCTACTTCCCAGATAAATGCCGGTTTGCGATCACCAGCTTTCGCCTTCTCAGTCATTGAAAGATCTAAGTCTGTGGCTAATTCCGAGTAGAATCCTCGATCGTAAATCGGCCCTTTGCCAATCTCCTCAGGCACTGTGCGCGGCTTCATTGAAAATTGGCTTTTGCTCATGTCCATGCGACTATTCTGAATGCGGCTTAGCCTGCTTCGGAGCAGACTAGTATCAGAAGCACGCGTTGTGTCAGTACTTTTGTATCGCATGGTGAAACTCTTGCGCGACATTCTTGAGTAAATTCTGTGTATACAACGAATCAAGAAATGAATATATTTGCATGTGTCAATAAAATATAAATGGATATATGACACGTGCCATTAGTGTTGATTATGATTTTGTTATTTTAGAAGTGATGCCGCTAAAAAATGTCGGAAAAATGAGTAGGCTAAAGTGTTCACATTATTTTATACTTTCGCCGTAGTAAAAAAATTGGTTTTCGCTGTTAGTTTATTAACTATGTTAGTCACTGTTTTAATCAAATAATATCTGCCTAGTTGTCGATGATATGCATGATTAAATAACTGATAAGATACGCAATTTAATAACTATTAAGTGTAATATTTTTAAATGAATTTCGTAGTACACAATTTTCTGTTGCTGCTATCGTTGCAATGCCGAACAAAAGCGATATCACTCAATTGAAACAAAAGGTTAAGGAAGTTCAGAGACAAGCTCGCAAAGAAAAGGAAGCGCAGAAAAGGGAACGCGCACGGCAAATTAAACAAGTGAAGCTGCAGGCCCAAAAAGCTCGTAAGGCAAAAGCTAAACAAGTAAAGCAACTAAAGGAGAAGGCTCGGAAGGAGAAAATTAAACAACGGAAGGAGGACCGTACCAGGCGAGCTATGGAGAATAAGCTACTGAAAGAATTAACCAAATTGCGCAAGGTCCATATGGGGTAGAATGGAAATTCTACACAATATATCTAACTTCCTTCTACTTTGAATAAATCAATTTATGGTTTGAGACTAACAATTTGTATTTATTATTTTATTTATATGTCACAACAATCTCACATATTTTTTTGTAAGTATCCCAGCATTTCCATTATAATTTTACGGAGGATTAACTCGGATTACTCAGCATCTAAGTGGTGTTTCGTTCTTATTTTCCTATTTTTTCTTGTATTTTTTAAACTGACGATGGATTTTCAACAATAAAAGACGAGTGTGTGCGTGTGGGTGTGCGGCTTGCGCGATACGCGTATTGTGCGTCCTGCGCGCACGCGATTTTGGGCATCCTGCGCGCACTCGTTGTTGACAGTTGGTGTTCAAGTTAAGTCGGGATATCATCTATGGTTTTGTGAAATTTGCCGAAGTGTGGTAAAGAGTGCTTGATGTTATTCTACAAATTCAAATAAGGAACTAAATCATTACGATCCTTATGATTTGTTTAATTTCTGGACAATGTTTACAGTTTGTAGTTATATTGGATTGACTTAAGGCGGCGTGCTGCCTGGATGACTTCAAGCAAGGTCACTCTCAGATCCTCCTGTGGTTGACACTGCTGAGCATGTTTATATTTCATCTCGTTATTGTCCTGGCTAAATAACATCCGCGTATGGACAGGTATACGGAGTGCCGAACAACTTTTTAGACTGTCAGAAGACCGCCCGGAATCCCTATCGTCAGGGGGACCGGACAAGGCGTTTGAAAGAAGAAAATGACGAAAATTTGGTGGTGTTCCTGTAGAAGTTATACGTCTAATGTAGGGTATGAAACACAAACACAACAAAATCATTCCTCTGATAATCGCTGTTCTATTTTGATATATTATTTTAGATAAATTGGTTAATGGTATTGAGCTAATAATTGCCATTCCTGAAACAGGGATTTGATGTGAAGTGGGAAGTGAGTAATCCAAGTTGCCACTGCTGGATATTTTTGACCAGTCTAGACAGTCATAGGTAAGGTTGCACTTGGTTGCACCTGGTTGCACCCCTTATTGGGGAGGGTGGAAAATTTACTGATCTGCATAACCACAGTAACCAGATCAGTTGTTAGCACGTACACAGGGCAAAATTTGATACGAACACGTACTTTCAGATATGTGCTCCTACGACCATAATGGTGGACGCACGGAAGAGCTACCAGAACATCAGCGTGCAGAATGGCGGGACCTAAGGGAGCACCTCCAGGGGTTGGCCTCGTTTTTGGTAATAAAGAGATAGAAACAAGGTTTTCTAATACGGAAGAACCGACTGCACTGGACCCCAACAAGCGCACAAAAGACATCTCGAGAAAAACATCGACTTACCCATGTTTCATGACTAATAGCATTGCGCAGCGATTCCAGCACTGAATACTCGTACTATTGTCAAAATATTTCATTCCATTTCTGAAATATTGTATCAATTTCCAAAAAAATGTCAATTTTAAATTATTAATTAGTATATTTATTCTAAATTAATATTTGAAATGGAATGAAAATGCTCAAAAAGTATCATGTGCAGCATTGTATTATGTGTCAATACGCAATGAAAACTCACTTAGTAACGAGCACTCAACTGTCTCATGATGGCCGCTACAGCAAGGCACTTTTACTCACAAACCGTAAAAGTAGCTTTAGCCCCATTTTTGTAATTCCATAGTGAAAAGAGTTGAGCTTCCTTGTGGAAAAGAACACTCCTGTATTATAGGCGCTAAATATTTACTCTGTACTATGTTATCTCAACAATCAAATTGTAATTTTGTAAAAAACGCGCCGTGGAAAGCGGGTTACAAATTGTATATTGTAAGCGTAGCTTTTAATTTTTCTATATATTATGTCAATTAAAAGACTTTTATATCTTGTATAAATTTTTCACTGCTATGAACATTTTTTTGTCATAATAAACAGTATTTTTGAAATAGCTTTAATTTAAATTTGCCTCTCAAACTTCCACTAGGGTCCTCTATCTATGAGAAACAGAATCACAACTAATATTACACTTCAATACGCCACCACTAGATGGCGCTGCAAAATCCACCGCCTTTACCTCCTAATACATTCTGTGATCCTAATATCAAAATCTTATTTGCAACAATTTCGAGCCGCGAAACGACGAATTTTGATCGTCGAATGAGTGAGAAATTGCTTTATGACATTAGGAACCCAGAACGTGTAAGGAGGTAAAACCGCCAATGGATTATGACGTATTTCGAATTTGAACTTACTCCGATTTAAACTGAACCGACAAACGGGACATTTTTGTATCAATCGTCCCCTACCAAGGATAGTGGAAATAAATAAACATTGACTGGAGTCAGTTGAAACTTATTTTATTACGGATATCATCGAATTATTGCTGGTAAATGTACAACAGGGATAAATAGAATTTAAAACATTTGAACATGAACTGAATTTTTATATTTTTGTCTTACCTTTCAACCTAACTTACCTTTTGAAGAAGTTTCACCGTCATTGTCACACATTGTTTTTATACTTCTGTGCTAAATTTTCTCTAGCCACAATAAGTCAAAACTAGGTAATTAAAATAATACTTACCTTATGCCAAATAAACGTCAACTACAATATCACACATCCAAAGGGTTGTCCACAGTATACAGGTCATGCAAACGAAAGCAAAATGAAATTCCTTCGTTGAATTTTATATTTTCATATTACTTATTATGTACGACGTGTGGCCGCAGCATTTTCGATAAGCATAGATATTAGATATTACAGTTACAGGTTCATGTAGTTGCTTTAAATCTGTTTTAAAAGTGCGCCTCGCTAATAATTTTTGCAAATATATTATCATAACATTATATATCTTAACATCAAAGTACATACATGAAATATATACATATACCATATTTTTCGCTTTTCTCGCAACTTTATTCAATCTTCATTTCATAATATTCATGTTATACCATAACTTATCATAACTAATCATAGATAAAGCATCAGAATTCGAAGTGATTTAAAATGTGTCTAACGTAAAAAATACCCCAAAGTATAATAAACGACGAGAACAAAATATTCACCCAAAAAAAAAACATGAAAACTGCGCAAGCTTATACCTTGCACATATCAATCTCCTACCAATCGCTCATAAATGTATATATTTATCATTAGAATTTGTTTGCGCTACTTATCAATGTAATAATTTCGGAAATATGCTAACAACAACAATCACAAGTTACTGAAAATCACCTAAAATGTAAAAAATGAAAACACATTTGGGTCGATAATTAACGAAATCGTGGCTTGACTATGCAGTGTGTTTCGTCCGCGAACAGTTGATGAAAACAGTTTGGAACGCATCCTTTCATCAAAATTACATTATTCCAAAGCGTGCGTACCTTTATCGCTCTCTTTCATTCAGTGTCATCATCGATATGTACGCCAACATACATTTGAATTTGCCTAGAGATATATCATATCGAGTGTTTGAAGGTTTCAACTTGCTCAACACACTATGTTTACAGGTTACAGAGAATGAATCAAATAGTGAATCAAATCACAATGCTTCAAATTACACCTTGCATCTACAGTTTAGAATTGAAAAATCAGAACCTAAAGTGTATTCTTATTTTACATGTTTTTCATCTTCTTCGCAATAATGTTTATATTATGTATATGTAATTGTAATATAAGTTACATGAAAATACTTAAATCGTATTCACTATAGATTCGTTTTCTCCTTTTCTTCCTTTATTCTTAATAATATTTAATTTGCTTTGTTTTTTGTTTTTAATTCAAATGGAAACCTTTTTCCTTAGTGGCGGCAAGCAGTCTTTCACGTAAAATATCCTCGGTAGGGTAATCAGGTAGTTTCAGATAATGCACGCATGTGTTGACCGACGGATACGAACCCTCTCCGGCATCCACCTTCCGCACAACGGTCAAGCGAGGGTAGAGATTCGCAAGACCACCAGGGGGCAACGAGCTGCATCCGGTGGTAAATTGCAGGAACGCCTTTCTTTCCTCTGGCGACATCTCTAACAGTACATTCACGAAACGCAAAAAACCAGGACTAAAAGAAAACCACCAATAAGTAAATGTTGTTAAAGTAAAGCAAATTTTTAAAAACATACCTATCTTTATTGTAGCCCAGCTTGGGTTCAGTGTAGTTCAGCAGATCGTCCCTTGTCCATTGTGGATTTTGATCACCGCACAACATCACCCGCATCTCGTCAGGACTGAACGCCGAGAGCTTCTCCATTGGGAACACCATGTTGAAACCTTTGTGGAATGCTTCCAGCTGTCGACTAATGCCCTTATCCAAACAGAACGCAAGAGTGAGATCCACATACTCTTCAACATTCTCAATGTTGACCTCTATATCCGCACCGTTCGGCACCAAATCAACTGAAGAGAAACCAAACACGCTCGAGCTAGGCGCGTACGTGAATGTCAAAGCAAGATCTTCGAGCATTACAGGCCCGGACGGATGATTCAAACAAAGATTTTGGATCTGGTGTGCTTTGGTCTCCGCCGTCAAAGTATGGTCCTGCATAATCAACTGTTTCTGTTTGATTAACTCCTGAATCTGTTTGAGGAAGTTGGCGCGGATGGTATCGATGTTCGTCAAATCTTCATGACCCAAAATGGACGCATACCATGCACGTTTTTCTTCAAATGTAAGCTTCGGCGGATCCAACTCCAGTTCTTTCTCGCTTTCCTCTGAGATTAGACTGGACGTCATGATGTCATCGTCCACCTGGCGTTTGGTGTAAGTTGGGAACCCAATGCGTTCGTTGACAGTATTCTGGATTTCACCGTGGCACATCAGCTTGAGGAAGCTTTGCGACAGCGGTAGATCCACCAGCCGGTTGTCCTGCAGTACCTTGGCGAGAAACACGCCGAGGAACCAGAAGTATTTCACCGCTTTATCACAGACGTCCGATGATTGCGGCAGCGGTGCCGGGAAGAGCCCGTCCGTTCGCTGCACATAATACCCGGGCGGTTTCGCTCCTTCGCCGAGATCTATACTAGACTCCGAAGCGGTCGGGTCATCGTCGCAGATCCACATGCGTAGGTCGCGGCGCTGCAGCTCGGCAGCAATGAGCGCGTAGAATTCAAGCGTCGGCCCGAGCCCGGTGCCCTCTTCGCCTTGGAATTCCACTTCTAGAATTGATTTACGATCACAGTGTAGTTTCATTACTTGCATGCCCCATTCAAGCAAAGATTCCCCTCTGGGAACCTTCACACGTTCATGTTTCAGCCTGCCAACACGGAATTCATGCGGATCGTCTCTCCTCGGAGACAGTCCAGGTGCCCTCTGCCTCTCAATGGTAACATCCCTCTGTGTCTGCAGCCATACAATGCTCCGTGATGCGCCGAACGCCGTGCAATTGAAGTACAGCTGACGAGTTTCAAACGGAAACAGGAACGGACAAGAATGATTCAACTCCTCACACCATACCGGCAGACTTGCGCTCGACAAAACCAACGGATCCTGAATCTGCTGCAGCAGTTTATTCGTTATCTTTTTACTGCTGAACTCTTCAGCTCCAATCTCCATTCGATCAAACAAATTTGTAGCCTGCTCGTCTCCCGAAGTCGTTATGACAAACAAATGTCGCAATAATTGTAACACATCCTCCACAGTGCAGCTGGACACTGAAGGAGTACCCGGAATTGGTGTACTCGGAGACAACGTCGTACCAGCTACCGAACTACTACCACTCCTTGAATATAACGTTACCACCGGAGTAGTACGACCATCTTCTTCTGAAGAAGAATCCTCCTTCACTTCTTTGTACACAATCACATAAGATGGCTCCCAGATGCGGCGCAGTTTCTCCTGCCGCGAGCCCAGCTCGGTGAGCTGCACCAGCTCCTGCACAGCCTTAAATATTGTCCACGAGGAATCGTTCAATTCCACTTCCACATCAGGAATACCAGGTAAATTTGGACCTCTGAGGACCAGCTGCAGTCGTGGTTGAGGCAGCAAGTCAAACTCAGTGGAACATAAACTTTCAGCCTGTCCCGGTGGTGGAACTTCTAAATCAGTAGTCTGATTCACATTTGTCCTGCCCGGTCGTGGATCAAACGCAGGTATAAGCGCAGTAAATTGGCGCTTGAGCACAAACTCATCATCCCAAGAGCGTCTCTTGCTCGGGCGTGCTTCGTACCCGGCATCTTCTTCCATAAACGCCAGCAAATTTCGCGAAACCATGACCTCTTCATAGTCCGCATCATCTTCATTCTCTTCGTCGTCGTTCTCGTCGTCTTCGGCCATATCCTCGTCATCGTCTAACTCTGCCAATAACGTAGGAGCTTTGCAAGATTCAAGGAAATCTTCAAGCGACACTTGTTCACTGTCACTGCTTGTAGAAGTTAAACTCATTGTCAATGCTTGACTCAATCCTTGTGCTGCGGCGGTTGTTGTGGGAATACCGCATGGAGCTGGGTTGTTACTAGACGACAAGCTGGGATAGCTTTGTGCTGTGCTCAGCAATCCACTGGGGAAATTACTAGACAATGCCAAGCGGACCAAACTAGTCACCGAATTAGGCCCCGTGGATAGATGTTAGCATTTGCGTTGTTCTGCGCATTAGTTGTAATCCCAGTGGCGTTGTTCGGATTAGCATTCGAGTTTGATGTTGTCGATACTGAACCCAAAGTCCTTCTGCGTGCGAGTGCCGCAAATGTTTCCAACAAGCTGGCTGTAGATGACGGTTCGATTTGATTTCCTGCGTCAGTGGTCAAGTTAGGTACACTAACACTCATGGGGTTGGTAACAACAATTGGGCAATTAGATGAATTTCTCGCGTTGTTGGAACTTGTCACTGAAGATTCCTCTGAAGGTTCGTCCACTTTGCGTTTGGTGCCCTCTTGCTCAACGGCGATTTTAACACCGGGTGCGTTTTGATTCTGCGGGGCAAGATTACCAATTGGGTTCTGAGCGGTCCCAACGCCCAAATTCAATAGTTCACCAGATAAAAAGTTGTTCGTATTGTTTCTAAATATATCAGTACCCTCGCGGATCTTGTCTAATGCTTCAACAAAGCTTTGGGCTGTAGCTGCCACAACCTGACTTGTCTTTGACCTTGCCTTGTTTAAATTAGATGAATTTGGTTTTGACTCCGTGCTCTGACCGGAAGCCTGCTCCTCGCAGAACTTTTTAGGTACGTTGCTAGGCTTTGAGTCGGAAAGAGTTAAACTTTCAACGATTGTAGCCAAATCACTAGAAACTGAGTTATTGATTGCAGATAAGTCATGGTGGGGGTCTCTCAGAGGATGTACAACTACAGATAGTTCAGAGTCGTTGCTAGCTGCCTGACTCTCAGATGTAACAGCAACAATCGCTTTAGCTTCGGCGCGTGCCACAGACAACACGCTCTCAGCTATCGTCTCAGCTGCTTGTTTGGCCGCTAAATTATCAGCAGAAGCTGCTTGCTCAGTGGAAGCCACCGATTTGACATCGGTAGCTTCGGGTAGACTAGGGGTGGAACTACTCTTTCGGCTAGTGAGGACGCTTTGTTTGTCTTTATCCTTCTTACCAATTGGAACTTTGTTTTGGGAGAGAACTTCGGCTTCATACGTGTTCGACAAACGCAGATCATATTTACCTTCGGCACCCATACGATAGGAATTCGACCCACCATGATCCCAAGTCACATCAATCCATCCACTATGAATCTCACCAGTAACAGTGCCTTCTCCCTGAGGAGTGCCATCCTGATCGCGCCATTTCCAATCCATACCACGAATGACACGCGCGCCGACTGTAATATGCTTTAACATTTGCGTCTTTAAAATCTTGCGTTGTTTCTTTAAGTGAGCATCAGCTTCCTTTGCCGCCTTTCCTAAATCCTCACAAACCTGCGTTACTTGACCGTATATCTCAAAACCAGATAGAGAGAGGTAGTGTGTTTGTCCCGACGCGTTCTTGCCGGCCTGTTGAATACGAACATGGCGCCATCCTTGGTATTCATCCACTGGCACAGTAATCGGCCAAGTCCAAGTAGATCCAGGTTCGTTCAACATAGTATCGTCAGTGTGGCTCGACAGCGAAGTCCAGGTAATACCGTCCCTAGACATTTGGAATAGCCAATTTCTCAGCGCCGAGCGGCCGTATCCGCGTGCATGTCGCAGAGTGTAACTCGTGGGAATCACGTACAAGCCCAAATCAATACTAAACCATGACTTTTTGTCGTCGTTTGTGTGACAATTCAATGCCGATGAATCCCTAGAGAGAATATCCTCAACGCGACCGTACGGTAAATTTCTTCCGTCCGAGCTAGTCACTGTTACCAGTCCGTACTGTGCCGGATTCACCCATTCGGGGCTCGTCCGTCCGTTTGTTCCCACAAAGAAAATAATGCCGTTCTCATCAAAATCATGCGAGTGTTTAAAAATCTGATATTTCGGATCCTTCACCTTCTTGAGAAATTGGAACGTGCTGCGATCAAAGTCATACCACTGCTTAGCGACCATCTTCAACAGATATCGCTCCAACTGCGCCACGGTGCTGAGTGGCTCCATCTTGAGCCCTCTTCCAGTTCGATCAATTAACGTACTATCACCGGGAGCCTTCTCCAAACGGAATCGCAAACGTCTAGTCAAAATCTGCAGCCCATAACCGCTACCGGGCGTGTCGTATAAATAAACTGGCAATTTTTCAATACTCTCCAACACCGAGATTAACTTATGCACAAGAATAAGAATAGAATTTTGTCCCTCATTGATTTGTTCCTCAAAACACTTCTTGAAAACCTGCACCCTTTGCTTTTGATACTTGTTACTCTTCGATGACTTCAATCCCTGATCCCAGTAACTCGTAGACAAGAGTGAAAGAAGTGCTTGTACTAAACCAGAACTATGCAATTCGTAAGCGCTGACCACTCCATCCTCTTTAAGAATCTGCGTGAGTTCGTCCAGGGCATTACGGAGAATCTCACGCCAAGAGTTACCGCCGTCGCGGTTGTTCCCATAGGTACACTGTTTCTGGCAGGCGCGCTCGATGTGTGCCACAATGTTTCCCAACTTAGCGACGACGCCGCGCGGCTGTGCCTGTGCTGCTTTGAAGTACTGATCGTAAAGGGACTGCGCCAAGTTCTTCACCTTTTGCTTGGTGGCTTCTGTCTTTGAACGCAATCGCTTGCCGCGTTTGCTCGCCCATCCCGCAGCGAATTCGGGACCTGTGACCAAAACTTACATAAAGTAAGTATACAACATTAATTTTGTTAGTAAATAATAACAAACAATAGAAGGAAACCGACTAGAAGAAGCTACACAAAAAGAAATTTAGTTTTGTTATCACACATGAAACCTACCCAAACTTGTTTCGGCGGTGAACGAATGTTTTGTTCCTCGGTTCGATTCAAAAATAAAACCAGGGAGATCTTCTCGCAGGATGGTCGCTTGTTGTTGGCCATCAGAGTTGTGAATATGAAGTTCTGCTTCTTTCCGGGACGTCAAACTCCAGTTGCCAATAACGAGTCGCGTAGCGCCCGGCTTCGAAAGAATTGGTTGCGAATTCGTGGTGTTTTTCACCGCGGCCCTGGCACGCTGCAATTTCTCCAGAAATTCGCCACGATTTTCTAAACATAAAAGTCATTTCTATATTGTTATTTCACATCTTACGTCGCCGAAATCAAGCTCAGTAACTCGTTCTGTATAACTGTGTTTAGATCAACTCTGATGATAAATTAAAAACCAAAAACAAACTAAAGAAAGGTAAGCTCCGAGAGACAAAGCCTCTAAAATAAAAATTTAAAGCACTTACCTTCGGTAGCGTGGGAATCGGCCGCACGACCCTTGCCTATCGGAACAAAAGAAACAAAAACGACAATCACTTGTGTTACGACACAATGATGAAGAGAGAAGGGAGGATGCAAATCAACAAAACTAGCCCGTTATATATCAAATCCGTATCAGAATCAAAAACGATGTATGCAAAACTATGTAGCTAAATATAGTTTACTTACAGGACTGTAACAATATTAACAGAACCAAGAACAGGCCAGAAGAATGTAATAATTCATGCGGATGATAAAAAAAATTAATTAGATAAGAAAGCAAACGCTAACGTTTATTATCTGATCGATGTTGATGTAGACTAGAATCGAAACTAGTTCTTGTACGAAATTGTCAATGAATGAAAGTCATGCTTTCGACTACAGCGTACAGTTTGACTAATTGCACACTCACCAGAAGTGTCAGCTCCACCTTCAGGTGATCCGCTCGAGTACATGGTGGCCAGTTTGCCGTCCAAGATAAATCGGAACCAGCCATTGGAACCGTTGGAGAGCTCCAACGCGGCCGCATCGGACCAGATGTATAAACAATCGCGACCACGACAGATGCACCAATCGCGCCAATTGTACGCCTTGCCTGCCAAGACTTCTTTGGCGTCTTCGACTTGTACGACTTCCAGAGATTCTAACAATTTTCATCAAATATTTATTGAAATTTGAATTATAATAAAGAATATAATTGTTTACCTTGTTCAGTAACCGGTTCTGCTTCTTCAGCACTGCCAGTAGGCTCCGGTGACCCAGCCAAGGCCTGAACTTTTGAGAAAATCCCCAAACGAGCAAAATGGTCCAGGAAAATATCCTGTGCCTTGTTCATAAGATCCTGAATAATGCCCAATACAACTAGATGTCCATCTTCGTCCTCCTATCAAGACAAAAATAAACAAAATGTAGGGACAATTGACACGAATATGGTTCGAGCTTGCGAGGCACGTGAATAATAAATGATACGGATAATCAAACAAATTATACAGACACATCCTGGCGAGCATTGTTACAATTTGAGGGCGACAAGAAACAAGCGGAGTTCGTTAATTCAAACAATTCGGTTAAGATATGAATGTTTAGTTTAGTAGCAATATCGACATGGATCCGCACTGATGAAGCGTAATGATGAACGCTCGGCGGGAGGGGGTAAGCAACAACTAACCATGGATTGTGACTGTATAATGTGCTTGTCATTAACCAAAGAAGCTCGCACGTGTCGCACCAACACCCCCAAGGGGGTGCATCGAATGCTCGGCCAGCTATACACAATCTGGAACATCGATGCTTTTAGATTTGTTTAAAGTTTCAGTTCTCTCCAAATCAACCACCAACCACCCAAAAAGCTGACGGAATGTTAAATGCCACAAGTGTGTTCGCAAAACAAGCCAAATGTAAAGCCTTACCTCATTGTCAAGCACGACACCGATGACTTCGACCAACTGTGTGCCGAAATGATGCGTGAAAGCCTCCGGATGGCACAGTTCCACGAGCAGCGAAGGCTGTATGTAGTGGATCATTTTCTTGATCAAGCCAAGGCTAGCACGCCGTACAGACGGCAGCATAGTGGCTTGAAACGTCGAGCAAAACACGGGCAACAGCCGGCTGAGGTACACTGGTGCCATTTCCGGATCACCACGGGGTTCAACATTCTCCTCACCGTCCTGTTCAGTTTTACGTTGTTTGTCCTTATCCAGAGGAATCATCCACTCGCCGGGAGACTGTAGTATAGCAGCCACCTCCCGATGACCTTCATCAATACGTTCCCGAGCTTTATCCAAAGGTGTTTTACCGTCTTCGTCCCGCAGGTCCGGGTTGGCACCATAACGCAATAAAACTTTCGCGATTGCTGGCCGGCCGAAACAAGCAGCATAATGCAATGACGAGCTGCGCTGGCCCTTGTTGACATCCGCGCCCTTTTCGCAGAGATACTCAACCATTTCCTGTGTGCCGAAAGCGGAAGCCCAGTTGAGCAGCGTCTGACCCACATCGTCCATAAAATTCACCTCAACACCACCATTTTCAATCGCTTCAATAAGCGCGTCCGTATCCTTCGAACGAATGCAGTCGATCAACTGACGGTGAGACTTTTCCGCAGCTGAGTCCATACGCCGAATGCGCGGCATCAATTGGCCGGTACTCGATGGACCCGCTTTACCAAGAGCTCGCCGCCCTTCAAACAGCAGGACTAGAAGCAGGTCGACGAGTCGCATCGAGTCGAGGGCGCAGCGCTCATCGCCTTTGAGTGACTTTTCGATCGCGTCTGGTAACTCTGACCGAAGCAAATCCTGATAGACAATAATTATTAAGCAACCGAATACAAACTGAAAGCTTAAGTAAACTTACGTGTGTGATGGTGGGTGATCCTCGACATAATGTAGAGAGTAGACTGATGATAGTAGAAACTGAAGCGGCTGTAGCTTTCGGATCAGGATTAGCAGCCGGAGTATTAGTGGTAGCCGAAGCTTTGCCAGGAGTGCCCTGGCTACCAGTGGCCAGAGCAGGACCAGCGGCATTTGATAATCTATGCAGTAATTCACTAACTAGACCTAGAAATCAATAAACATCATTAAATTAAAACCATTTCCACTCAATTTTCTATCAAAATTCTTACCATGTTGAGCCAACGGTGCAGGATCAATTCCCCTACGTGTAAATCTATCAGCAACCGATGCAAAACACCTCAACGCGCCATCGGCGACCAACGCATCTTCATGTCGCAGCAAAGTGCTCAGCGCTTGTACGCACGAAGGTAACTGTGCATCGGCCGGTTCCATCTTGGTGCACAACCGCGAGACGACCGCCATTGCCGAATGCAGCGTATCCTTGTGAACGCGATTGCCATTGTCACGGATGAAGGGCAGAATGTTACTCAGCCCATTCGCATCAAATACCGCGCCTGCTTCACGTGTGCAAATCAACTCGAGGACTTTAACACACTGCTCGGCAAGATCTTTGCTCGTGCGCGAGGACAATTCGCACACCGTCAGCCGATTGCAGATGGCTTTGACGGCGCCGTCCATCGAGACAATCCGGCGGGTACATTCTGCAGAGACGTCCAGGTAATAGGTAATGGCGCGCGCTGTCACTTCCAAAACATTTTCGGGTGCTTGCTCGTCGAGAAAGATGCGGCATAGCGCTGGCAGGAATGTGCGCGGCGGGCAACTGAATAACAAAATTCCATTACAATTATGTCGCAATGTTATTATATTGCAGGTGTTTGTGTATCTAGATAAAGGCAATTACCTCTCAAAGCAACGATCCACATTGTCAGACATCAGCAGCAGCATGCAAAGCTGTTCGAGTGCAATCAGCTGCATGTCGCGCTCGTCGCCCAGTCCGCTGCTCAGCCATTCGAGCAGCGTTTCTGGATCCGGATCCGCCATCTGCAACCGAAAAACATTTATTATTCAAGTGAGTTTTACGGCCCGAAAGCTGCAATAAGACAAAACGCATCCGTAATAAAACACACTGGCTAGAAACTAAAGCAGCTACCGTCGAAATCAACAATTCATCGTCAAGGACGTACGTCGATATCGCGTGCGTTGTCATACGTTCGACAAACGCTCCAAATCGTTTGTTGTTATTGTCGTCCTGCGGGCAACAACTAACTAAATGTATACGAATCAACAATTGGTAATACTTTATTTAAGCTGTGCGTCAGTTTGTTCACACATTGCACTCGTATTTGAATATTATCATGAGCAGTATTGTTCATCCATGTTCGACGGGTTTTACGGCCGTGACGAGCACCTTGCACTCCTCCGATAAGTCGATAATTAATTGTTTTACGCAGCGTTTCATTGAAATTGCCATAACGAGCACTCTGCGAGCCACATTTCCACATGTGGGTGGCACGAAAATAAATTTTTATGCAAATAACCAACTAGATATTAAATTAGCCGGTAAAAAGATTTAATAATAATTTCGAATGTTTATGCGTAAAAGCAAAATTATGCAAATGGTATCTATTAAAATTAATTCCTTTGTTTTGACATGCTATTTATATCCCTCAACTACCTGCGAGTTTGAATCATAATATATACCAAACCCAAATATGAATCATCGCAAGGTGATCAAATCGTAAATATAGTAAGTAACTTGGCTGTTTGAAGTTTGAAAACTGCGACCGCAAAGTGAACGCATCGCGCCTGGATGACGAGCGCACGCAAAAATATCTACGCCAACAAAGAAAGAGTTCGAGCACGTGCCACCACAACTTCTAAGTAAGTAAGTAAGTAGGTACATTTCGTTTGCCAGAAACGCACGCAAAACGCGCAAACATGCGATTCGCAAATCTCGTTGGCGAGCCAAAAATCAATTTGTCGACGTTTCAACTCACTCACAAAGCTTCGAACAAAACTACATTTCGATTTTAACCGCAAATCGAAAGCAAAAGCAACATTTAATGTCAGTTGGTGTTGTTGCCCGATGTTGAGTTTGTTTATGTTTAAATGCATTGCGCACGCTCAAAGCTCAAAATTTCGACACTCGGTAAAGTCGAATTTCATTGCTGAAGAAGTTTAACACTAATAAACTCGTTGCGTGCGACACAATGCGCAGGATGTTTGCGTTTTTAATTCTCTGCTCGTGGATTGAGGCCAAGCAACACACAACACACCTCAAAGTAAAGTTTGAAACACGCGCGGAGCGCATGCGCAACGCGCGTAACTTCTTTCGAGCGTTTTAAACTACCAACACGCGCATTGCGTCTACGAAAACAAACTAAAAATAAGTGGGAAACACATACAAGTAGGCTAAGTTTAAGCGTCTCAACTGATTAATCTCGGAGATGAAAATTAACGGCAAAATAAATAATAACGCAAGTTAGGCAGGCGCACACAGGCAACAGAAAACAATGAGCAATGAGCGCAATGAATGGTTAACTGGCGTTCAATTAGTCGTAACGTTTTTTAATTCAGTTTAATTCAAAAACACAGATCATTAGATTAACTCCGGACGAAGTAATATGCTCTACAATGATTTATACTCGTATGTTTCAATGTTAACGGCCTTTTGTCAACATTTCAAACTTGACTTGATAAATCTACAGACATTTGAAGATCGTTGAGAAAACGTGCTTGAAATTATTAAATTCAGGCGCTCCTCGAGTGAGAAAATCACAAAAACAAAGTGTGTTCTTGTAGCGAGTCATAGTCGTGATTTTTTATTGTTATGCGTCTTGGAAGAACTTTCTACGCACTGGCTGCCTCAAAGTGCGCAGCATATGAATAAACATGACGAAAAAAAAAGGCGCACGGAATCCTTCATGTGTTAATGCCGTGCGCGCGGCTGCTGATGAAAACGTGTAAAAACGTCTTCGCAATCGAAGCTCTCGCACTTTCACTCATTTTATTTCGTTCCGAGCTGCAAAGCGTGCATCGTTTGCGTTTCAAACATTAATAACGTTCGCCATCGATCTCGCCTCACGTTACACGCATTAAAAATTAAAATATCGAACATTAGTGCGGCGCTAATCGAACAAATCGGTTTGATATCCGAGCGTCAGTTGCGCCAATGACGTCTGCACAATCAAACAACATAACAAAGCGATGTTTAACTGCGCAAAACTGCTCAATATTGCGTGAAGCACACTCATACAAGAAAACAACCGCAACATGATGAAAGCTATCATTAAAACTGATGAGAACGTAACGTTATACGACTGTATACTGTACAATCACGCACGCAATAAAATATGATAGAAATACACTCGGTTAAATAGAGATTTTGCGAGAATTTCAGAAGGAATCGAAGACGCGGCCAATTAAAGTCGATGCTTCAAGAATGCGCGCGCGCACGAGGTATTTTTACTAGACTCCGCGCCGAAAAAAGAACGACAGGAACCAAAATAAACGACGGGCAGGATGAGAGACTCGCAGGAATTCAGCGGCGAACCAACATCGTGCTTCGATACACACAGAAGAGACGCAATAATTGTTAAACGATTGCTACTGTGCGACGCGCGACGAAAAGTCACACAGGATGCGCTATAAAGAAGATGAAGGAACTCATTACACATTAAAACAACAAGCAGAGACAAAATAAACAGCAAATTAAACCACAATTTTATTATGGAGTATTATTTTCGGTGTTGAAATAAACAGTGTTGCACGAATTATTTTTTAACCGCAAACGCGTGGCAATAATTCCCCTCGCACAACACACTAGTCCGGCGCCGATCATGCACACACGATCAGCTGTAATATGGCCTCCGAAAAATTTCACAAGCGACATTCGCCGCACGAATCACGCACGAATTCCCAAACCCGATATGTAACACAACTGGCGCGGCTGCTGGCGCTCGTTTATTATTTGCTTACGAACGAACGCGAGCCATTTCATTTCGACATCACAATAGCTCGCTCGGTCGCTCGCTGGTTTGTGAAATGTAATCACAGCCCAGCCTACAAGTTTAACATTACGCACACAACCCGCTGAAAGAGGTAAGGCTTTACATAAACCAATTTAAAATGATTTCATTAGAAATTTGTATTATTTTTTTAAACGCGTGCAACAAACAGTTGTGACCCGAAGAAGTTCAGGGATTACATGGCTCGTCATTAATTCACTACAACGTGAAATGAAACTTGGAAAAGTCTCAAGGTTCTTGTATAATGTCTCTATTTTCTGGGTTAGTTTCAAAATACAAAATAAAAAACAAAAACATCGAAATTTAAAAATAAACGCGACGCGCATATTTCGTGTAATTTAATTAATGATTGTGGAGCATAAGCTGCCAGCGGTAATTGGAGAAAAAGTTTCGTTTCGTTCATCCTTGAAACGTTTCCTTCTAAACTTCCAAACAAATTGGCAATTAGAATTCAATGACGTCAAATCAATGATGACCAAATTATTAATTTTGGTTGTTTTGCACAGAAGCTACAATTTTTTCACGTCTTACAACGTTTTCTCTTTAATCATGCTTTAAAATTGTTTTGTTTGTTCATTTTGGTCTTAATTTTTAGTGTAAAAAATCCACCTGCTCATAATACAGTACAAAATAACAAAAACTTTATAGCTTGTAAATATTATTCGGTTTCTAGTTATAAATTTTAGAATTCCATTTCGTATGAAGTCATAACATTCATAGTTTGACTTAATAAGCGCTCTCATAATGCAATACACCGTGCGCAAACAATGAATGAATCGTAATGGTAATCGTAACGCGACTCTTAATTAACGATGAAATTTAATGATCGCCGGAACACATTTTGCTGTTGGAAGCAAGCAGCGTTCGCCGCCAGTGCTGGTTTTTACTGGTCGTTTTTACACGACTTACGAAAACATCGTTAAAACTCTTTCCGTGCCGCGCCGGCTCACTATCATTCGCCGTGTACAACAGAAACTCGCACTCGGACTGTTGGTAAATAAAGCATGAGTAAGTAAGTACATAGTATAGTGATAGACACTATAGTGTATAGCAGAGCACCAACTCGCAAGTATCTGCGTGAAGTGAAACTTGCTGCAAAACACTAAACACAGCGACAATAAAAATAAGCACGAAAGTATGAGCTATTACTACGCTCGGGTAGAACGTAGGACATGGGACATCCTTTCTGAAAGTCATTTTGCGTCCAAGATATTAGATATTTTATATCAAATCATAAAAATATTTTAAACATTATTTTCTTAAAAAAAGGAAAAACTATAGCAGCGAGCACAGCTCTGTGTGATTTTATTGGATATTAAACCGTCTGATAATAATTCTCACTTCCCACCAGTTGCGATGCGATGATTGCATTATTTACGCTATGCAAGAGTATGTTAATACCATCGCGACGTTGCACTCGCGCACGGAATCTTCATAAATATTGAATCAAACAACTGTTCGATATATGAACTGACCTGTAACAGGTCAGTATTTCCTATTATAATACATTCGCAAACTGAAATAAAATATCACAATCTTCAAAACACAGTTTTAAACAAAGTAATATCAACAATTGAAAACAGTAAAATGTTAATAACTACTTTTAAAAAACATGTCCTAAAGCCTACTCTGTGTTGACTTTATAAGGTAGCTGGTTCGGCTTTTACCTTTCAGATAGTCATGAAAGAAAATTCGTGTTATTACAAGAACGAAATGATTACAGTAAGATATCGAATGTCACTCAGCGAGGACACAAATTCTTTGTCAGGATTCAAGTTGCGGTCGTGTGGTCGTCGTTGTCGTTGGCGTACCTGATGCACTCCGCAATAAATCGATACATAAAGTCGGGAATTCAACACAAATAACAAAAAATATTGCAGTGATACTAACAAGACTTTTTCATGACTCAAAACACAAATATTCTACTGATTAATAAATAAATAAATCACAAAACAAACGTAAAACTACTACCAGCATGATACAACTAAAATAATATTTGAAAGTTTAATGTAAATTGTAGTGCAAGATTAATAATATAATTGCCGTAACAAATTAGTACAGTGTCGAGTTTAATTTTCACATGGTTCACACAATTCTTCTAACACGACGTAAATTTTAGACTCCTTTATTTAGTGCTAATTTTTGCTGGAAATTTAGATTTACAAAATTCGGTGTAAACGTACTCGGCTATTACTCATGCCATTGTTCTTCCACCTGTGTGCTACATACATGCGTATTAAATTTAAAAAAAACATCAACAATGCATGTGTAGTTTAACACACTCAAAGGCGAACAATGTCTCAGAGTGCGGATTACGCATTTGCTTAAAAATAAAAGCTCAACAATCGCAGAATTGACGCGACATGCAAAAATTGAGGTAAGCTTCCAATGAAATAAAAAAAAGCGAAAATAAATAATTTATGACGACTTATGAGTGTGCCATTGTAATTCGTGCGAAACGGCAGCAAACGAGTCGAGTAAATAAAACAGAAAATTGAATAAACAGAACACACGCTGTGGCGTTTCGCAAAAATTACGACGGACACTGGCTGCTGTTGCGTTGCATCGACTTGCAAATTATTAGTACAATTGATTGCACAAGGTGCGCCGCGAGCAATGTTTAGCACCACTCTGCTCTAATTTCCAATTGTGCACGAAATCATTAGCATATGGATTATGAAGATTATCATATATGCTGGAATCCACACAAATCACACACTTGGTGTGATTGAATTTCTATGTACAAAATGATAAACATTCATTTTTATTGATTACCAGTACATCTAATCAGTAATTAATATTAGACATAGCTCATGACTAACAGCGCGTGCGGATCATACGATCGATTGTTTCGTCTGCATTGTAATCGACACGAAATTGCTAAAAGTAAATATAAATGGACTATTGTATTTCGCTTCGAATATAATGAGCAATTAATCCAAAATTGTTAAGCACGAAATACAAACAGGAGTAATTCGAACAATCAACGAGACTAATTTTAAATTAATTGATTGTTGAAGAGTTTATGGAATTAAATTACGCGGACAAGTTGATGTAGTTTGCATGGGCAAAACCATTACTAAGAGGTGAACGCCTTGAGGTAGGGTCTAAAAATTCGTCGGCCATGCAAAAAAGTTCATTGCCCAGACGGGTTCATCAAGTAGAATGTTTCAAAATGTTCTTGAACAAATGGTTGGCAACATGTTGGAATTTTTTTGTAAAACCAAAACTTTGTAAAATATTGCAAACAAACACTTGCTCAACAGGTCGTTCGCGTAGATTTAAGTAAAAATGTAATTCATTTTTATTTTTTTATTTCGTGGATCTTCCATCAATAAGATGTACTATAAAAAGCACTTTAGTCACGGTTTTACCCGTCCGTGTTTAAAGTACCACTTTTTGTGTCTAAAAACCGTAGAAAAACTGACGCTAAATAGGTGGAAGAAAAACAAATAATACTGCAATATTTCACTCATTGTAATTAAAAAAAAAAGCGCATTGTAATATTGTGAAGTTTTCCTGATTGCTGTCCTCCTGGAAATTGTTTGCACCTTTTAGCACATCTCTGCATAAAAGGGGGTGGCAAATGCGAATCCAACTGACCTTTACACTCCTTTGTCGAACGCTGTACAGCTTTATGGGCCGAACTCGCGTCGCGACTAATGCGCATTATGCGCCGGATACATAATAGAGAGCAGCGCAACAAACGAGCATAAAGCAGCAAATGCACTGCTCGGACTCGCCGAGTCATAATCATAATAGCACGCGAACAAAAGCGCGCATTGCGCACACCGCGCCGACGGAGAGTTCGCTTCGTTAGACTTCCTAGAATCGTCGCACATCGCCGCCAACAGCGCAAAATACACGTACATTCGAGTAGAGAAGTGTCGTCGGCAGGTAGTACACGCGACACAATGCATCGCGGAAAAAGCCCAATCATTTCGCAATAAATGCAGGAAAGAGGAAAGCAAAGAAGCGAACCGGCAACCGACAATGCGCGCAGAGATAGCAAGATAAATGTCAAGCGTGTGTTGGTAGCGGGCGCGCGCGCGCGCTAGAAAACTAACCGCAACGGTAAATTTACAGCTCGGCCATCGCGACCGCGAGGAGTTGTAGGCCGACGACGTCGCGCACCGCTTTCAAAGAAGCAGCTCGAAAATACACGGCAGTCTATCAGAAAAACGTAAACATGAACCATAATGAACACAGAGACACGAACCATCGCGTATCGTGTGGATGAAAATAAAATTTAAAGAAAAGAAAAAATCATTCATAGCTATTCCTTTTTCTAGTGGTCGTTGTCTGTTGTCTGTTGGTACTTCCTTTCTTCTTCCTCCTCCGCCAAGACAAGACAAGTCAACAGCGTAAAAATGATAACGTTCTAGTAGGGTAAACACGAGCGCATGCACAACGAGGCGAACGAACCAAAAACACTTTTTGTGCGCGCGGTGCTCTTACTGTTTGTCGTTGTGCTTCACACACTTGGTTTGGTTGTTTGGTGTTGCGGCTGCTCTTGGTGCGATCGCACAAAGAACTCTTAGCGTCTTCGGCGCACCTCACGACTTTGCCAACTCTTCAAAGGCATTCAAAAGCACAAACGGAACTAAATATGGCCGCCATCACGGATGCGGTAAATGAACACAAGTGCAAGCGCGTAATTTTTTTCATTTTTTTTGTAATTTATTATTTAGATTACTTTCCTTTATCTAAATCCTTATTAAACCAAAAGATAAAAATTTATATATCGCAAAGTGGGCGTGTGATTTTATATCAATACCAAAACTAGCAAAATCTCATTTCATCTTAAATAAATTAAACTTATTTTATAAAAAAAGTAAATAATATGATCATTACCTTAAAGTTGTATGTGTCTTGCGACACTCAGGCTCGATTGGGGCTTGTTAAATCCTGCAAAAGAAAACACATCCGTTAATAACATAATCACAACAATCTAAAAATCACGAATCGATTCACGATTCATCCGACAGTAACCATGAAACGTCAGCTGCGTAAAAAGTTTTTCAAGTACTAGACAATTCACACAGGTGTGTAGTTGAGGTTGAGGTAATAACTTGTAATAAGTTCCTCATCTGCCATATGCGATGTGATGCTGGATTTGGTGATTCATCAAATCTCGACAGCTCAAAATTGAGATTTATTCATTACGTACGCATTGAAAACAATCATAAAAAGCGCGCAAAACTTGTTGGATTTCATACAATCGCGTCGAGTGGGCGGTTTGTTTTCTTTGTGCATCGCATCACGTGCCGGGATTATGCCAAGCTGCGATTATCAACCACGTAGCGCGTGAATGAATAAATAACCAACGCAAAAGTGCAAAAAAAAAATTAAAAGCACTGCGAATTTTATGCGTATACGATCATCGTCACTGTCGACAAATTCTCAAACATCTCAAAGGTATGCAATGCTATACTTGTTGTTGATGTGAGCGAGTTCAAGGTTCAATCCATATAATAAATAAACAATATTCTAGAAGCGTTAAATAACAGCGCTAAATGCTAGTGGAATTAGAAATCACGTGCAAAATGTAAATGTTGTTTAAATTCCACGAGCAATTTATAACATAACAACAATACAAGTCGATAGACACCATAAGCGAAACATAAATTCTACCTAATTATAATTAACAATAAATATTAGTTATTACGCGATTTAATAGGGAATCATTCCAAGCGGACGCGCACGCGATTGTCGCGAAACCAACTACCACCAGTAGTAGAGGTAATAATTAATTTCTTCACTCGCGTCGTAATTACGCTTGACAATATTTCATTGTTGGCGGAAATTAATTACCCGCCTACATTTACACGTTGTGGACAGCTGATGTTAATATAAACGAGTGCAGATGTATGGTAATTAACAAATGTAATTAATCGCTAGTGCTGTTGATCAACAAACAGCCATCAAGCCATAACAATTACCTGATACAGTAATCATCACCTAGGGGATTAAAATAAAATCATCCAGACTTATTGTAAAAGTTATTGTAAAATTAATCGTCAATGACTTCTGGTTAATTGACGTAAACTAAGAACATAAAACAATGTTATTGCTGTTTGTTGATAGTCTCACGACGCAATTGAAAATTTATATAATCCTCAGATTATGGAGTCGAAGTTGGAGTCACCTTTAAAGGTTTATTATCCTTTTACATCCTATTAGCGGGCAGCTTGCTCGTGAAATCGATAAATTCCCTCATCATTTACAGTCTACTGCTGTAGACTTATGACTTGTTAGTCATACCGTCCAAAAATTGCACAACATGTAGAAATATATCACAGCCAAACTAATCAAACGGAAGTGGAAATATGTATTTGCAATGATTGCAATATTCACATTCCATGAAATATTTGATTAATCCTTGGAAACACGTTTGAAATTGCAAATATTTTCGACGAAAACAATATGCTATGACAATGACATGTTTTTAATGTTTCTGTTTCAATGCCCGATGATAACTTGATAATAAACATTAGCCAACCGTGTTATTTAGTATTTAGTGGAGCAATATTTGTGAATTTTGGGTTATTTTTAAGTGCAGCACACATAAAAATTTGAATTTGAATATGAAAACTTGACAAAGTTGTAATAAAAGTTTTGTTGCAGTCATAACAAGAAATTCAATATTATCGCGGCTATTTGCGTACCAACAATCGGTAATAACAGCAATCGCACGCATGTCCGAACGAGCTCACCAAGCAACACAACAAAAACAACATTGATAAGTTATTATTTGTACATGTAGTGGAAAAATAGACACAAGCTTATGATTTCTAGAAATTCATTGGTAGATCTTTCATTTCGTGTTTAAAAGTTCAAATTTCTCATATTCTAAATATAGCTGTAGTTAATTTGATCATACATGCTGATAAAGTGCAAGTAAATGCAATCATACATCAAATTTTACTCTGAAATATCACTTTTTAGTGAATGAAACGACAAAATGAATCATTTTGCGCGCGTTTCAATGAAAATCAGCCTAAAATTAGACTAAAAAAGTAAAAATCGTTGATATTTTAAGCACAAAATATACTCAAGCTCACTTTTTACTTATTTACTTAAGTAAAACCTATGAAGCTGTTTCAGGCACGTGACAAGCACAAAAGTGTAAATATTTTGCGAAGTTAGCATAATCTTTACGTATTTATGTGTTTTATAACCTCAAAAATGATTTTTTCGAGAATTTACATCACCCAAAAATAAACTAGGTGTACTGATATGATGTAACTGTTTACAGTGATGATTTGGGTCGCGTTATCAGCGTCTACGGCGTGCAAAACTCACCGTTTTGGCTGTCGACGCGCGTGCCTTACGACACCACCAGGAGGGAAGCAAGCAGCAGCCGCCGCGCCGTCTCTCGCACTCTCCACCACGTTCGCACGCGTATCCTGGAATTGATAACACACGACGGTCATCTCTTCATCGCCAATCCATGTTGTAATCGAGCACCGAAATCGATGAGAGGTTATCCCACCGCGAATGAAAACCGTCGCCCGACTTTCCTATCGATTTATTGATGATGATGTCGTCCTGGCGTTATCAATCGCTGCATAAGCTAAACAACGCGTAATCGGCTCCTCGTGTTAACGTGCCTGTTTCGTTTTTATTTTCTGTGTGCGTCGAGCAGCGCGCGTTATCGACTTCTGCAATGTGCGCGGAGACGTCGACGTCAGTCACAATCGTCACACATGCATTTTCCCAGCCGTACGTGAAAAACACTCTCATATATAGGTAATCAAAAGCACGCAGAGACACGGCGTAAACATGCAGCCCGCTGGTGGTAGGTAGGAATCGCGAGTGCGGACACGAGCACGGAGAATTTGGAAGGGAACGCACGGCACATGTCAAATTACAGTCGTAATCGCAATCACAGCTTCATGAGAGCTTGCAATTTGCTATCCGTATAATCCGCATTGCAACGAATCACACGCACACAATACATTCGCGTGCGGTCGACGCGCGTGTACCTTTTTGTATGTATGTGGAAGGTGTACTTACTTTGGATGTTTCCGTCTGCGGATCTCACATAGCCATTGCTCGCTTCAGTTGGGTATCCGTATCGCCATCGGGAAACGCAGGCACAACACCGCGGGCGCGCACTGCGACAGAGAATCACACGCGCGCGAGGCGAGCGGGCCCCGTTGCGCGCACCGTTCGATAACCGTGCGGAGCGCTCTCGTGGAACGCGGCGGCGGCGGCGACGTTATTTATAAATATGCGCGTTTCACAACACAACACCCGACGACCCGTGCACGACTCGCAACTCGAGAGACTTCGCCAACGCTTGTGCGCCGTGCCATCCGAGTCGTGCTGCGCTCACTCCTTCCACTGATGATTTTTCGCGATGCCAGCGCCATCTGTGCAGTTCACTATGGTATGCTGAACTACGATTGACGTAAAGTTTTCAAATATTCATACAGAGTGTATGTGAATAATTATTATGTTAAATAAAGCCATTTTGGCGCACAAATCATGTTTAGCCAGTTTAATTTATAGAATTTACCAATATATGCATGTCTAGACATTGCTTTTAATTTATTTTTGTTATATTTGATCATTAATCCTCAAATAATATCCACCTACTCAGCTTAAACGTTTTGTCTACCGTCATTACTTAATTACACTTTGATTTAGTTACCTGGCGTGCAGTTATATCTCTAATAGTCTGCTCCTAATCTTTCTCAATACTTGCTACCTGCGTTTAATCACCGTAGGTAGAGTAACCCAAATATTAGCTCAGAAACTTTCCCAAAATTTGTAAATTCCTTGAATTCTGTTATCAAAATTGCCATGAAAACAAATAGAATACACTATAGCAAAATTCCTGACAGATTGTAACTCATCTTTCAAAGAAATACTCGTTATCATCAATAAACATGGATATAAACAGTTTGGTCCATACATTAGATACCTGTGGCCAAATGGGATTAATACTCTCCACTGAAGAGAGTCTAGTCCTCCACAATTCCCTCCTTTTGTTACAAAACGAAAACCATTTCAGAAAAATATTCTTCTGGGGAAAGATTTTCGGTGAAGAGCAAGATTATTACATAGCTTATGGTTACCAGAAAGATGCTCTGTTAGGTAACACTTTTTATTATTCTAAGAACTGTACCGATTGGGGACTGTTACCACCAGCATCTGAAGCAGCTAAACTTCTAACACCTTTCTGCGCAACAAAATTTCAAGGAGATCCATCTGTCGTGGTAGATATCCTCGTCGAAGACGATGAGATTACTATTCCTGAAAAAGAACGCAAACCAAAGATTCGTCCACTCAAAGAAGAAGACCGTCTCGCTGCTACTGTTTATTATATTAACTTCGAAGCAGTTGTAATTCCAAGAGGTGTGTTATTCAAACGAGAAGATGGCGTCGTTGTCGAAAATCTCAGTTTCCAAGGCTTGGATGATCTGGAATCACTTGAAGTGAAAACATTTCTACATTTTCGCAAACCAGAGCAGAAGTGGAATAAGAATTTGTTAACAAGAAATGATTATAATTACGCGATTGACTTTTTGGATTCCGCAGGTGATGATGTACCTGAAGGATGTTTTGCTGTGCAAACATCTCCAGGGGGCACGTATGTTATTGTTAAGTCACTCTATTGGCCAGGGTTTATGCTGTGGCATCGGTTGAAAACTCCTGAATATGGATTTGTTTATTTTGGGCACGGAAAGAAATGTTTTGATGTACCTTTTATGGTACAGGCACTTTAAAATCAAATATGTTACTTTTTACAGCTAAGTTTTAAAATAACGAAGTTATAGGTACAATTTTGTGCAAATATTGCCTATCAAGTTAGGCAACTTTATGTACACTAAACTTTGTTTTCCTCTTATCTCTTCACTTAATCGTGAACTAAAGAAAGAAATCGATGTTCGCTGACATTTTTTATTGTTCAATACTTGTAGATCAACTCCAAACATAATTTAATGACGTGTACAAAATGATACACTCATTGATACCAATAAACTAATAATTTTAATCCAAATTTTGCCGAATACTAATCTAGTCATGTTCTGGTTAATACTGATTATAAATGTTTACCCTTTAGCGACAGAAGTAGGTCGTCTCTGATGTCTTTTGCCTCTTGTTAGAGTTTAACTTCGAGAAGAATTGTTTTACGTCGTCCACAGTCAAAACCTTCTTCTCTTCGGCAAATTGTTTCAAATAATCCGAGAGTTGTTCTTTGAAGTCATTAAAACCTGCAATCGCATTGAGGAGCGGTGCACGTGGCATGGATTTTAACATATTTTGCTCTGCTTCTATAGCTCTCTTCTTTGCATCTTGAAGTCTTTCTTTTCCTTTATTCTCGTAAAACTCCACTGTATCCTCCATATCAAGCAGATATTCGACGTTGTGTTGTTTGTAAAGTGCAAGACATGCATCACACTTACAGAGATTGTTACGCCATTTGAGTTCTTTCATAAAGAGAGTCCTTGGTTGAGATTCTTCCTTTACAATTGGTTTAGTACAATTTGGATCACTTGTTTCCATTGTTTCTGGTTGAATTTCGTGATTTTTTTCTACCTTTTCATCAGTTACTGTTGTTACTTCATCGATTTTTGGTGTAGTTGATGTAACATCTTCAGTCTTTGCAGTTTCATCAGCATTTTCTTTATCTTTCACACTCTCATCACTTGTAGGAATGTTTTTATCATCACCAGTTGATTCTTTTTCTTTCTCCTCGCCATTTTCCACACTTTTAACTTCATGATTACCATTTATTTGCTTTTTATCATTCTCATTATCTGTTGTTACATTAACTTGTTCATCAACTTTGGCATGTTCCACCTTAATCACTGCTAAACCAGCATAACTCATCAGAAACTCATGAGCTGCAACACAAACCTGGCAAATCATCTCAGCAAAATCAACCACTGCAGCTGCATTCAAGTGCCTTGAATGATACCAATCCTCACAGATGACACATTGGATCATATCATCCTCAATGGGATCTTCTGGATCAGGATAAGGTTTATGACATGTGCAATATAACCCAGTGAAGTTCTGATTGTACAGATTCTCAGTATTGAAATCATCTTTGGCTGTATGTAGATTGCAGACCATGTCACCAAATTTCTTATTTCCACAATCACATCTGAAGTGTCTTTTTGTATACAGCTCAACTAAGTTATGTCCATCATGACAGTGATATGAACAAGCCAAGCAGAAACCAGCTGTTTTGGCAAGATCATCCTTAGCTTCAGGAATACAAGTTAGGCATGCATACAATGCTTGTCTCTTCATATAACCCTGAATTAAACATCAATAGAATATTGTTGAGTATAACACAATATTCTGAAATAATTTTTGTGTAACATTACCTGATCATAACTACAGTTCACTTCATCGCCTGCACCCAAGACAGCGGCGACTTCTTCTTCGGTTTCTTCTTGATGTTTGAGCAGGTCTCCAAGCTGGATGACCTCTTCGTCTTCACCGGGTTGTGGCTGGCTGCTGCTTGCTTCGTTTACTTTGTTTTCATCGGCCATTTTTTGTTAGTTTTGTAGGCGTGTAACGATTGTAATGCGTAGTAGTAATAAATAAATAGACAAAATAGAAAATAGAATTTTGAATGCACTTGAAGTACTCGGCAACACAATGATTTTAGATTCAACACTCAGCCAGCGAAATTAACCTGAGCGTTGAAGGAATAACTTCGGCATACTCCACAAACGCCGCTTTAACCAGCGGTGAGAAACCGTTACAAATACAAACGATAGGCAACCAAATATTCACATAATATTTCAAATTTATAAATTAACACATATTTTTTGTTTTGTTTTAAACACAAGATACAATTAATGTTATTGTATTTCAAGAATAATAATTAATTACCTAAATAATATTAATTTTTGTTAATATTTAACAATAATTCAGTATAATATAATAACATTTTTAATTGAATATAAAAATAATATAGTTTTGTTAATTTTTTAACCTCCAAGTCTTTTTTTGTTAAAATAAATATGCTTTGAGTAATTAAAACGCATTATTTCCTCTAATAAAGATAAAATACCAATAAAAAGTACTTTACTTCACCGGAAAACAATGCTTTATTATACGAGATAAAACGAGTTTTTCGCAACTTTACTCGTCGTGTGTTATTCGCGGCTTCATTACGCAAGTATTGATCGTTGTGCTGCGGCACCTGCCAACCGGCGCCTCCACCGACGCGCTTTGTAGTCGCCGCGTCGCCAGATGACGTTCACGTTCTCTGTCGCCGCCGCCGCCGCCGTCGCAGATGCGCAATCGCCACCGATTGATTCGCGTCGCCGTCCCCAAAACGTCGCGTACTCGTGTGAGGCGACCCGAAAGGGTAAGTACCAGCTCCGTAAACATTTAAACATTTTCACCAACAATTCACTCAAAATCACACAAAATCAAACATTACCACACATAACAACATTAAACATACTCATCTTTCTATTCACATTATTGTCATTCGTGTATTTTCAACCGGGTGCTGTTGATAATCGTATCCGTGGTTGATTTTGTGTGTACGTGGAAGTTGTCAACAAGATGTGCAGAAATTGAATTGACAATCTTTAAGATTACACGGTGTGAAAATCAGCTGGTTGGGTAGAAACATCGTCAAAGAATAGGTGAAAAGTGGGTGTAATGTTATCTTGGTTATCGTTATTGTGTGCAAAGTGCGCCGTCGACGATCATCGATTTATAACAGGTGGTTCGCGGTTCATTCATGAAGTCAGCACTAAGGACTACATCCCCACTCATTATTAAAACTGATACAATCAACATACAAAGCACAAACACTTAATTTTACACCAGTATAAATATTTAAAACATTGAAAAATCGTTTTTAGTTGACTATACAAACATTTTTGCATAAATTCCTATTTTTTGTGTAATTTTAAAGTAAAACATATTGTTTGTTAAGTTAAAGTACTGCAAACTGTTATTTTTCATTGTTTTATATTGTTTCTACGTTATTTTCAATCAAATTTCATTTACTCTTTTGGCAATGTAAATAGTACAAGTTAGGTTAAAAAATCAACAACTCCGCCATTGCAATAGAACAATTTTGGTTGCTATTTGTATAAAATAATAGAAAACATACAAAAACACATTTGCCTTATGAATTAATTAACATATTTGATAAATTATTATACAAATTACCTTAGTAGTTCCGAATTAACCTAAAAAATAACCTCAAAATAACATTATGTCAACTAGAACCAATTTAGTAACAAAATGATGTTTTTATGATAATACAAATCTATTTCCTCATTTTCTATCATTAAATATCTATTATTGCAATATCACAACATAAAAATATAACGTTTGACATCTGCGTCACTCCACACAAAACTCCTAACCTATTTTTTCACCTCCCTTTGTAAAGCTAACATAAAGCAAAATATCAACCAAAATTGATCTAACGTCTTATATCCTAAAATAAATATAAAAATAGAAAGTTGAGTTTTATTCCGGAAAAGATGAGCGTTCCTGGAAATTTAAATATATAAAAAAAGCAAATATTTGCTTTTGCGTCAGACATAACTTACGCCCACAAATATCCAAAGTAGATCATGAAAATATGGAAAATTCTCTATTTCGTGGCCATGAAATTTATTCCGTGTCGATTAAGGACGTGATTAATGTCTGCTTTCTATCTATTTTTGGACGTTGTATGTCGCACAATTATAATACGAAGAATATCAACATGTTGAGTTATTTCATTCGTTATTGCTGTATTAATTATTTATTAATTGCTGTAATCCTGCGATGTATTGTGTTTCAGGTCTATTCAGCGAAACAATGAAGACTTTATTCCTGTTTGTCGGTTTGCTGTTCAGCGTCTACGGGTATATACCTGTTGAAAAAGTAAGTTATTTTGATTAATATTTAATTGACAAACATACTAACAAAATTATTATTTATTACATACATTTTTCATGGGTAAATTTAATATTTGGTTAGAAAGTTTATTATTTTTAGAAAAAAGTAAATAATTTTGTTTTTATTTGATTAAATGATTAGAAACTCATTGCTGGTGCATGACAAGTTTATTTTTAACTGTAAACAATGTAAACAATTCCAATTTATTCCCAAATTAATCACCAAAACCTTCAAAAAGTTTTTCTTTTTCTTTAATTCATTATTGTTGCATAGGCAACACCGGCTACACAAACATATGCCGTGCACTGCTGGTTGTCTAATAACGAATGAGTTAACACTTGAAAATATAAATATTTCATGTTTTTTCAATAAAAAAAAATCAACTGGACAAAATTCCTGATTTTAAAAATACTAACAGTGCTCACATTAAAATTTTAAAAGCATAATAATAATTATTTTATTAATATATTATTAATTATTATGCTGAAACAATCACAAATCTCAAAATTCACATTTTCTTAAAATATTTAATTTACTGCCTTTATTTTCACCTCCCCCAAAGAAAAAATGACTCTATTCCTGTTTGTGTTTCTGCTCTTAAATTTATTTTATTATCTCCCTTATCATTTTATTCTCACCGGAGGCATATTGTCCGCTGTATCCTTATTGTCCTTGTCTGGCTCGACGATAGAAATGTCACGTCGTAGGATATTAAATATTCCCTGAGCGCTTTGCGAGATTTGCGTGCACTTAAGCTTTTCCTGCCGCTGCCGGTTCGCGCCTGTTGCTATTTTCTCATCTGTGCCAACGCCGCCAACGTGGCCAAACATGAAGCGAACACAACAAAGTGCCGTCGGAATTAAATTTCATTTGCTGCAAGCTTAGAATTTGCCTTGCGCTACAGCAGGTGTTATTTTATTAATTAAAACATTGTTAGAGGGTGAAAATTACTCGCGAGCTTTGTGCTTTGATTAGCCGCATTAATTATGCAATAGGATGATTATTATTTATTAAACGTGGGCAGAAATACGTATACCACTAAGGAACAAATTATTATTAGTCACAATTAAATATTTGGTTAGGTTATTTGAGGTTAATGGTACATAATTAATGAAAAATCAGTTTAAAATCAGATTTTAATTTAAATTAATTAATAAAAAATGGTTTTATATCAAAAGTGTGTTTTGCGGTTAGATTTGATTAATCTACACGCGTAAAATATATTTTTTACCATTAAAGAAACGAAAAATGTTAATAATGGATTTTAACGCCATCTGGCTTCAAACTTTATAAGTAAAACTATGATTATATCATTGTACCAACTTTAATCGCTTATTTTACACTTTTCCTATTATATTTTGACCACAAAAAGTAGCCTACATGCTTTTTCTTGGTCTAAATTATCTCCCTACCAAAATTTATCAAAATTGGTTGAGTAATTATTGCGTAAAACACTAAAAAACAAACAAAACACACAAAATTTCTTGAATACTTATACTAATTGTAAAAGCATTGTTGGTTGCATACATTGATTCGATTTATTATAACCCAACGTCAACTCTCGCAACAAAAGTTCCTGTCGTTCGATTTAATAAACGTATACTTCTCGTTCATGTCGTATGCTCACGTCGTAAACAGTAAATGTTTGTTTATAGCATAACTTGCGTCGATGACGTTGACGTGGGCGTTGTGCACTGACGTTGGTGGCACTTTGCTGTCTTTTTACTCTTTTGTAACATGACGTTGATGGCGTTGACTGCGTCGATTGCTGTGCGTGGCGAGTTTTCGTCCGCTGTCAACCTCGCGTTCTGTCACGCTTGATTGATCGCAATAATTAGTTAATTAGCTGCAAAGCTGCGAATGTTTGTTTTACGTGCTTGTCCATTTCGTGGGCAGGCTTTTGCATAACGCCAATAATAACCCGTAACTAATGAACGCCATAAATCACAAATCATTCAAATGTAAACCGCTTTTTTTGAGCGTGAATAATCCGCAATTGATCTTTAATGTTTCAAAAGGATATTAAACAGGAGTAATATTGAGTGATTTCCACAATTCCGGGGATTTAGAGGGTTTTCAGGAGATGAATAGGCAAATGTCAAGTGCATTCAGGCTGCAATCGAGCAATCTGCACTTGGAAGCTTTGATAGAGTACTGAACCTTCTGGAAATATGAAATGTCAAAGGTTAAACTGTTCATATTACTTTCGAAATAAAACTCAACATTAGAAATTCCCCAGTGACGATAAAACAAAACATTTAATCAAATTTTATTTTTAAGCACCGAACATAACCTAATTTTATTTCTATTTATTTTTAGGTTATGTTTAAAAATAATTAAAATTGAAGTTTTGATTGTTTCAGGATCATTACTTCCCGGATTTGTTACGCGATGTGGTCAACCGCATGTCGAAAGATTTCGACTCGTCGTACATGGATTTTCCTGACGCCCGCCTCCCACTTGACGCTCGCTCTCTGAACAAGGACCTAGAAGAAGAACAGCTCTATCCGTTGGACTATGATTCGCTTAGTGAAGGGCAACTGCATCCGAGCCTGCGTGATAGTGAATTTCTGCAGCATAGTTCGCTGTGGGGTAGTCAGTATATGTCAGGGGGCGCTGGCGAGGGTGAGCAGCGCTTACAACCGGAGGGTTTGTTGAAAAATCGGCAAGAGGTGAAGACCGATGCGGCATTACCAGCTTATTGCAATCCGCCCAATCCTTGCCCGATTGGATACACAGGTAGTAAAATATTGTATTTCTGATTTTGTTTTATTGAAATTTTAAATATTATCACTTTTAATTGTGGTTTGCATTGATTATTAATTTTAATAATTTTAGAGGGAATATTTTTGTGGTTTTGTGGATGGCATATTCAGTTTATAACTAAATGAAATGAAATTTCAACCATTAATAGTTTAAAATTTAATTTATGTTGTGGTAACATCGTTTTAATATAAATGCAAATGTGATTTTGTTTGTTTGTGACGCTTTCACGTAAAAACCATTCAATCAATTTTGATAAATTTTGGTTTAGAGATATTTTTCACTAAGGAAAAGCAAAATGGCGCTAAAGTGCGTTATTTGCATTTTTATTCCTTTAAATTTAATTTTTTTTCTTTAAAATTTTAGCTGAAAATGGATGTTTGGAGGAATTCAAGAACACTGCGGCTTTCAGTCGTCGTTATCAGGCCGAACAGGATTGCATGTGTGACACAGAACACATGTTCGACTGTCCTAGCCCGATGATCTCTCAGTTATCCAACGGAAACATGGATTCGCCACTAAATGATTTAGAATTCAATCGATTTTTCCAGCAGGCACTGCAGGTACTATACAAATATTTATTTATCCTTTAAAAAATTGCATTTGCAATCAATTTGAATTCATCTTAGGATACCTCAGGCATACAACACAAAGGTTTAGTGGCCAAGAAGTTCAACAATGATAAGAAGGTTTGTAAAATTAAAATTATTACAAATTTTAAGATTTAATTTAAATGTTACGGGGATATTTTGAATTTTAGAGCGTCAGGACAAATCCATTTTTGATCGGCGAGCGTTTACCAGTTGCAGCAAAGAAAGGCTTCAACGCAAAAGAATTTTATTAAGCAAAACCACATGCGATTTGTTTTTCAATAATTCAAGCATTATTTTTGCTTAAAAAGCAAAATTATAAAGAAAATGTAAAACCACCACATCAAAATACGTATTTTATTTTACTTACAACCAAAAAGACGTCAAAATGTTAAAAACATTACAATTTAATTGAAATTTTCTCAAGCAAACCAAAAGCAAAAAAAATTGAAAAATATTCTTATTCTTGTTGACAATAATTGCTAATATTTTTATAATGCAAATAGATAAAGCCGTTATTGTCGATAGGAGAGAGAAAGAAACATAAACGTATTAACTTTAAGAATAAACAAAAATCTAAGCAAAACCCACGAAAGCATGCGAAACCATTGAAAGTAAAAAAATCAAAAACGTCAACAAAGCTAAACTGAATTTCCGGAAATTGACCCTTAGCTATGAACACGGATTTGCGAAACGATTTAAATTCTTAGCATGTAATCTATATTAAATTAATTAACTTATATATCATATGCTACACGTAAAGAATAATATATTCGACGTTATCTAAATCCAATATATATTCGAATGTTATGTGTCCCGATTTAGTGCTATAAATGGTGCACCTCGCTTCTTAGGTCCCGATAATTGCATTGATTGCATTACAAGTATATAAACGCGTTTATTTGTTGATAAAACGATTGAAAAAATCAAAATATTTGCTGTTGTGTGTTTGTAATTCTAAGAAAAGCGAGGAGAAAGAAATGTAATCATCACAAAGAAAACATCCATGAAAAGAATTAATTAATTAATTAAATAAGATCAACGAAGAGAAGAGAATACCCCATACTTTTAATTAACTCAACAATTCTCTGAATAAAACATCCGAGAAATGACAAAGGAACATCCTGTCGCATCTAAATTTAAGAAAAAACATGAAACAAACTAGATATTGACGAATTTGATTGAATGCGACGAGACCCCTCTGAAATATTAAATAATTATTAACATATTTAATATTTCAGAGTGTTGACAACGGTCTGAATAACATATCATAGCTTAAAACAAGCTAAAATAGTTTTTAAACATCAATCTTCTAAAAAACGTTGAAAATGTTTTGATTTCTTATTGTAAAACATTTTAAACGTTTTGAGATTGTATTGACATTGAAAATTGCAATTTTCACTTCATGTAATCAAGGCCCTACTGATTTTTCAGTCGAAACTCGATAAACACTTTAATTTGCATCACCAAACATCAAAACAATAAAAATTATTGATGTAAAATTACAGAAAAAACTTTCAATCAATATATTGTGCGTTCCAAGATGCATTGGTAATACAAACGAGTGTTTTCTGTGTTTGACGATTGAAAAATCATTACGTGAATTGAAGATTAATATTTTGCATGAATTACTTAATCAGTCGAATACGTATGACTTAACTACGAACAAAAGTAACATCTGGAAATGAATTAATCTAATTAAATGTAAGATTTTTGTTATTTTTATCGATAATTTCAACTTATCACTGTGGGTTTGTCAGACGGATACTAATTATTATGATTAATCATTAGTGTGTATAGAAAACAAAGAAGTCATCACTCTCTGACATGTGTTTGACGTTCGTCGATGATATTTTTGCGATCAACTCTCGATGTCACACACTACGATAATGTTAATCTAGAGGAAACATTATGCAACCATCCACACTTGAGATTATTGATGATTATGTGTAGTGTAATAAATTATAAACGTAAAACACACTGGAAATAATAACTAAAACGTACATCTTATGCGTTGAAGTGGTTAACCATTACAACTGAAGAATTATCTTCGAATAAATCAATATATGAGATTATATCTATAATATATATTATGAGATAACGTTTAAACAATCTGTAATTCCGTATGATGTATGTTTAATTCATGAATATGACTATTACCTACCTGCTACGAAAGAAAACAAAGAGATACAGTCGAATGGTAGATACTGATAGAAATTAATTATGATAATATTATGAGTACGCTTTGCGCAGCGAAGCACTGATAAAACGTGCGCGCAAAGCTGCGGAGAGAGAAATTTGTGCGTTTGAGTGCTGCTGAAGTGCAAGGAAACTCTATATATGAAGCTTTTAGATATATTATATTCATGTGTTTACGTAAAATAATAAATAATGATATAAATGCATGTTGATTTTATTTCTCAGACATTTTTAATCACAAATACGGTAATATATATGATCCCTAAGTTGTAAGCTACAGTTTGAGAACTTCTGATCATGTTATTCTGTGTTTTCATTAGAAAACTCGACAGGATATTGCATAGTGTGGAGATTGTAGTGTGCTATGCACTGTAGGCAACCCAAATAACATTAGTTTTATTCCTACGTGTATAACAAGACATATTTCTGTTGATGTGGTTGCCTAATGAATTATTTTGTTGTTTCTCGGACCTAGTATGTATTGAATCAACCTATAAGATTCTTAATAAACAAATAAACTCACATTTGCATTCATAATACTAATTACCATGATAATTTACAAAGAATTTAAACAAAAAATCAAAAAAAAAATTTTCTCTTTCAATTTCTTTGCATGTTTTATCATTTTGAGCATTGTTACATGAAACTATACTTTATGCTGATTTAAACTATGAATAATTCCCGCTCATAATGCCGCCGAATAAACAACAAACAAAGAAATAATTCACACCGCTTTCCAGTCCGGTCCTCCGGCGGCCACTCATTTATCAGTCGTTTTTCCGCCATTTTCGCGCGCAGAAAAACATCTTTACGATTGTCCTCGGCTCGTATGCTCACATATCCTCTCCGGAATGTTTTACATATGGAAATTTAGATTTACATTCAAACGCGCATCGTGAAGAAGTTTTATTTATTATTGCGCTTCATTTTTCCTCATCCTTCCTCAAACGATCGCGTCGTAAAGTTGAGCTGACACCTTTTTGGCAACAACCGAACCAAAAACTGCTAACAGTTGTTATATATTTTAGTATATTTTAAATATATTCAACTGAATTGTATTAAATATACAATAAAAAAAATTCACATGTTGGTGATTTGTCAGCAATTTGTTTTGTTGATATCCCAATTCGGAATAATTTCAAAGATGTAGACTATGCATTAACATGAAAATTTATGGTTTTCCTGTGTGTGTCTGGTTTTTTAAAAGTTGTAGCGGCAATGTTTATTTTATATTCCGCTGTTTCCTTATCGAATAAATCTCGGCGGCTGGATTGGGAAAAATCTCGTAACGCATCGTCGTCGCACATCCGTTCAAGCCTTTTGCGGGCTCTTCGCGCCGCTGTAAATGTCCATCGAGTGGGTCGTGCGATGGGCGATTATCTTGTATTTTCATCAGTTTAATTAGCCGGCACGCGGGCAATTACTTCAAGTTTGTATTTTTATTGTCGCATGAGCCAATGACCGACATTAACATCTTTCTAAACTTTAAGACATTCATTTCTCTTTGTTCTAATATTATTTCGAATGATTTTTGGACAAAAAACACAATTTTATGTAAAAATCGTGTTTGAAGTAAAAATAACGTGCCTAGAAATATTATTTCACTACCTAGGCATTAAATATAGCTTCATGGACAACATATATATTGTTATCAATTTTCAATTAAATATTATAAGGACAATTTGACCTTTTATCCTTATAATAACTTCAAAAAATCAAAATTTAATGAACACATACAAAAACTTCAGATTAACTCATCATAACCTTAAAAATACATAAAATAATAAAACTACTTGCAAGTATAAACAATAAACCGTGTTTATTTAACTTTAAACCATTGAACAATCAAAAATTTGTCCGCGAAACCCACGCTTTCAACCATCCAAAAAAACCAACAATACAAAACCAAACAAAAACAAAGTTCAATACAAAAATATTATTATCATACTCACCATGATGATTATTTGTCACAACACAATAACCGCCTCAAATAAAATTAGCAGCTTTTCAACTTTGGTCGTCACTCACACAAACCCACCACCACCGCCCGTAATAATCGCAATAATTACGTAATGACTAATCCACTCCAGACTGCCGGCCGCGATCGCCAAAAAAGCGCGCGCGCGCGCCAATTTTATTGGTAATAAAGCAATAAACAATAAAATAAACATTCGCAAACCAGCGCGGCGATAATAATTAAATTAACGTTTTTGGCACACGCGTACCCACGTCCCGTCGCGTTTTATTGACGCTTGACGAATTAGTTTTGATTAAAATCACGCCGATTTTATTGTTTTCGTGCGCATAAACAAATTCTTTTCGATTCTCACAAAATGTGAAAGGCATGCATCGACAGACACAATATTTATTTATATTATATATATTTAAAATAACATTACAATGTGCTTACAATCTAATTAATCACTTTTGTATAGCTTAATCGAATAATTCTATAGTCCGGACATCAAGATAAGATTATTCAACTCTCAACTGCTCAAGATGACTTTACTATAGCCTACCGAGCGTTTTCAAAATATTTGCAACGCGTTGTACTCGCTAATTTAATAAATTAATACTTTTTTAACATATTTTATCATAACAATCATCCGCTTGACTTTTTTCATTTGTGTTACTATCAGTTCAAATCAGTTGCAAGGCACCTACACTGCTTAATCCGCTGAATTCGCTTCTTCCGGAACTGCGGCGTTGAATTTGGACAGGTGAGCGTTACCGTGATCCACGTATACTTCTTCGGCTTGCAAAATGCACAGCTTTTGAACGCTGGACCATTCACGTCTTCGTCCTCGCTCTCATGATAAAACCTCCTTCGTTTTTTAAACTTTTTCGGATTCTTCGGAATGTAAAACGAGTTGCATTGCCCGTAACAGAATTTATTTATAATCGTACGGGTTAAACATCCTTGCTCTTTGATTTTTTGTATCAAAGGTTCAGTTTTACACCAATCCCGTTGTAAATATTCCAGTTTTGTGACCATTAGAGCGTTTTTTGATGATTTTAAAATTTTGCTTCCGTGATATCCATGCAGATCTGAGATTAAATCAATGGTTTTATAAGGTTCGGATAAGTTTTGTCGGCGATAGAGTAAATCTACTTCAATACGCGGTGATTTATTCGTCGATGCATAGATGTCGTGCGGTTTAGACAAGATGGCGTCGTTGTCGAGTAGTTTAACGCGTTCGTGTTCGTATTCAATGTCGTATTCATTCGGGGCATAGGTGTCATCCAGTTCGTTTTCTAAAAGAAAACGTTTTTCGGAGGATTTTGAAGCGCGATGGCGTTCAGCGATGATTTTTTCCACTTCCTTGGTGTTTATTATATCCAGAATAGAATCTGAACGTGATTCACTGCTTGTAATTTCCATCAACAGGAGGAAGAAGAGTGTGAAAACCGATGAGAACATTTCTGAAAGGAAAATATTTTATTTTATAATTTTTTTTAATGTTTTACGATGCGTGTAGTATGCGAGAGTTGTAAACGCATGAATGAAATACTACGCAGCAAAAGAAATAACCAGCGATGAATGAACTTAAAGACTTGGATGGCGTGATGGCACGATGGTGAGCCGCCCACGATTCTATCTTCTAAGACCCATGCGTGGGGCGGCCTCGATGCACTCAACCTGTTGTCAACCGGCAAGGCGACAAGGAATCTTCACGCACAGAAATGGATTTTCACAACGCACACGAATTAATCGCTTTTTACCATAACAATATCATATTGTCCTAAATATTTTTTCTAAAACGTTTTTAATTAATTATCCTACTAAAGCTAGTAAAATGTAAATTTGATGATTTGATGCTCGCCGAATGATGATGTGATGATTGCGATGTTCTCATTTCGTTTAGCCATTTATGGCTGAGGCAAGTACGTCCCTGATGTCGCTCGAAAAGTCTGCTGGAGTTTTCCTGGCGGCTCAAGAAGTCGCGTCGGCCGTCCGAAGCGTTTAATGTCGCGCATTGTGAAAGGTGAGCTTGTAGGCGGGCGAGCGAACCGCTCGAAAAGGCAATACGAAATCCACAAGTGAAGTGAAGCAAGTGAACCAACACACATCAAGCAAACTAAACAGACTCTAGGCAAAGAGATAGGCTTTTATGACACGCGCGCGCACGGCGATTAGATAGCGATGAATGGAGCAAAATTTCATTCATTGCGTTGTGAAAAAAATTATTTTATGAATGAAACAAGAGGATGTGAGCTAGGCGAATGCCCTTTTCGAAAACTAATTTGCAAATACTTTCGTTTCGCAGGCCGGGCACCCACCAGAAATCAGCAATGCGCGTTTTATGCGAATTTTAATAGTGTATGAAACAAATAAAAAAATTTACATTCACAAAAATTATTCCAATAAATAAAAAATATTTTAAAATTAAATTAAAATATTTTCTTGCAATTTTTACAAAAAAAAATTTTAAAAATAAATTTTTATCACCCTGTATATGAAATTGTACGATTGTGTCTACACGTCGTATTATGTATGTCGTACGTCTATTAAAATGCCATATCCGGTGCGAGACTAATAATATCTTGCGCATGGAAAAACAAATATTCGCGAAACGGCGCACTTTTGCCGCTTTGCGCCGAAGAAAATCGAAAAGCCCACACGATGTATCCGTCGTACACATCCACCCAAGACGCTCGTTTTGCGTAATCGTAAATCAGACGCGCGTGTGTCGCCTGCCCGATAAATTATGACAATCATTATGTCTAATCGTACGTTACGCGCGATTTGCATAAAAAGCACATTTTTCACGCGCATTATTATTATTAAATCAAACAGAGAATTACCAATGCCAATAATAAACGTACAAATGCATAGGTTAGTATTGTTATGAATGTGACTATTTATCTCAGTTATCTACGCGTTGATTTCGAGCAAGTGGAAATGGAAAATATCACCAACGTCTTTTTGTCGAAGAATATGTTCGTTGTGGTTGGTTTCTACGGCCTACGAATGAATGACACGATTTGTAGTCTTCACTTCTTTGAAATCATTGATTTAAATTTAAGAAAATGTTGTTTCTGTATAAATGAATTAAAGAAATCGCAGCGTGCGCGCGTAATTTCCATTTTCGTGCGCGTATAATTTGTATTCGCGGTATAATAACAATTAAGAATGCGGACACCTGACTTAATTTCAGTGAACACCAACAATTACATCAGCTACTAACCGGATATGTTAATAATTTTCTACCAACATAATAAAATAATATTTTATCTTACCGTGTTTTATTTATTTCTTGCGCCTGATGCCAATTTAATTTTCTGTTTTTTGATGTTTTTGCGTTTTTAGTTCACATATTGAACAAGTACACGAATGCAAGTTTTGATTTGTTTTGATTTGATTTGTAGTCGCATCGATGGTGAACAGTACCGTCACGTGTGGCGCGTCCGTGTGAACTGTTTAAAATCGGCGTTTGCGTCGGGCGACGGCGATTCGAAAACCGCGCACAGGGGGCTCCCCCGCAAATCCTAATCCTACACATGTGTATGCAGGTAAGATGAAATCACACACGAGCGCAAACCGTCCGCGAGCAAACTATTTAGACTGAAAGTCTAGACGCGCGACTAAGTGCTCCGGAGTCACTGATATTGGACAAACATGTCGGGCGAAACTAGCTATTAGCGTTCAAATTTTTTAAACTTCTGAGGATTTTACTTCAAGCAACGGAAAATGCTGCCAAGTATTATTATCTTCTATGATCTACAGCATTTTCAACATTTTTTAGCTTTATTTTTTTGTATTTTCAAAGTGAAAAAATCTAATATTTTATGATTTTTGTTAAAAATTGGAAATAAAAATGTTATTTATGCATTGTAGCGCCATCTTGATGTGAAATTTGAACTATAACCATTAATTAATCTCAATATTAACTTTCAGGACATGTTTTACACTCTTTTAGTTATATTTTTGTGACAGAAGTTGCCTATTTGCTTTTTTTTTGGTAAAAAATAAAAAATAAACATACAATAACGGTTTCGAAATTTATTCCTAACAACGAAAACATTTTCAGTGACATGACACATTGACGGAGGTTTTTTAATCGACGGTCTCAATATTTCAAACACTGTGTATTTATTGTATCTTGTGACAATTGTGGTTGCATAACCAACTTCAACTGGATGTGCACCCAATCCGCAGGTATCTAAAATATTTCCATTTTTTAATACATTTATAAACATAGTTATTATAACTTACGTGAATCACATGCAAACCCAGGTTTAACAACATGTCGATGATGTTGTTGTGCACCACCATTTTCACCTCCCTCCCCATCTCCTGCAGGTTTACTTTCTTTAATACCCCTCCCCGTACCATAATAATATTCTATTCCGCTATAACCTCCTGTACTGTGGGTTGTATGTCCTGTTCCTGTTGCAGTTCCGGTGTAATAATCCGAACTTTTAGGTTTAGAATGATATTTAGAACTAGATCCATAACCAGGTGTACTGTTAGTCGTTGCATATGTCGGTGTGCTATACGATTGACTAGATCTTCCATTTTGGTAGCAAACACAAGGCGCAGCTACATCCGCCGCCATCTGTTTGTCACATTCAAGTTCTGTACAGTCTTTACACGGTGCTACACACGGAGCTACTTCTATAGGTGGAAGACATTGCAGTGTCAAATTTGGTTCCTTTTTTACTTTAGACTTTGACTTAGATTTAGATGGTTTTGATTCAACTTGAGACTGAGATTGACATTTAATCACAGAATCTTCGGTGATTTCAATTTTACACTCAGATTTTTTTTCGATTTGCGTTTGGGATGTTTTTGAGGTTGTGTGTTTCTTCAGAGATAAATATAAATTCCGAAGACTTTTTGGTTTAGAAACTTTCTCAGACTTCTTCTTTAGATTTGGACATTCTTTCTTACAAACTCCTTCAGAACACTTTTTATCATTCAAGGATGACATGTCCTGAGTGGATAAATGATATGTAGGTGCTCGAGATGATTCCGATTCTGGTTTAGGTATTTCTTTATTCCCTTCCGGAGGTTTATTATCTCGACTTGTCGCAGAATCTGTACTTTTTGTACAACATATCGGCCGTCTCTTCTTTGATTTCGAAGAACTCTTCTGATTCAACTGCACTGAATTTAATTCTTGTTCATTATAACCATCAGCATCATCAATCGGCGGACATCTTCTTAAGTCATCGTAAGCTTTTAGATGTTTCTTAACTTTTGATAATTTTTCTTTGAGGCAACATTCAGTTTCCGGTGGTTTTGATTCATTTTTACTAAAAGATACACGTGCGCTACTTTTTGGTTCCTTTTCGTAGACTACTTCGGTTCTTGGAGAATCTCTGTATAATACTCCTGGTGTTTCTTCAGTTGGGACATTTTCCGAGGCGCAATCTGGAGGACAAGCACCCGGGTTCATTTTGCATTTATAAATACGCCGTGATGCTTTAGGAAGGTATTTATTTCTCTTGTCATAATGTTCATAGAGGTAAATTGGTATTCTTTGCATGAAAGGATTGTCTTTGATGCTTGGAACTGGTATTGAACCAGCGGAATCTGAGTCTGAACCCGGGTAGTAAATTTTATTTTGAATGGCTTTCTCTCTTTTGCGTTTTAATTTTGAGCAGTCTAGGCGGGAAGTTTTTCGGGAGGAATAAGCATATCGGATTTTTGATGCTGGTGCAACAATAACCTATAAATATTTGTTATATAAATTATTCAATTTGTCAAATTTTACATTAGATACATTTCTGTCGTAGAATCGTTCCTGTTTTTCTATTCCTCGTCGACTGGAGATGTCAAGAGAAGAACACAAGCGAGAAGCATCGATAAAACCTTGAAATAAAAATAATTATTTCCTTAAAAATATTAAATTAAATATAATAATATTTTACCATCAAATAAATCGTTATTAAAATTCATTTTGTTACTCTTAATGAAATGAAAATCTTCAGGGTCACAAAGATACAAAAATGTTTTAAATTTATTAAGAAATCATGGTATAAATTTGGATTATATTGAATGTTGAGTTAAAAACAATGAATTTACACGCATTATGCGAAGGAACAACGAAAATGTAATTTGTTTGATAAAGATTTAGAAGTCAACAAAATTGTGACACTGTCATGAAATCTATGATCAGTCAAATCAGTTCAGAATCATGGAGAAATAAATATATAGTAGAAATCGTTGTGTGAAAGTTTGTGTGAGGCTTATTTACTAGTGAAGTTAGTTATTCTATGGTTCGATAGGTGGCAATACAATCCACAGTTTGGCTTATAAATTACAACAGGACGAAGAAGATTGAATACATTCGCTTACAAAACAATTTCAACTAATTATATATTGATTTCAATTGTTTATATATATTTTACATAATGTTATATAAACCAAAAGTTTAAAATTTAATTATAATTATATAACATTTAACCATTTTCGATAATAGGAACCTTCAACCTTAGGTAATCCCTAAATCCTTATTGATTTTCCATGCAAAAACAGTAAACTATCCTTTTGTTCATGTAAAGGCTTTTGTTACCTATCCCCGGCGTTTTCGTCTGCTTGCCAAAATCGTCCTTGATGCTTTGCGTTGGCGAAACTTTGCTTCCGACAAACACAAACACCGAACCGCTCCAAACTCCAAAATTTATTCGAGTTTACGCTGAATTTCGTTATAAATGTTCGCTCGTTGAGATTGGGCGAGGTGGCAGAGAGAGCACAAGGTGAAAGCAGTCCTGCAATGGGCGGGCTCGACTCGCGTAACCTTCGGTGGAGGTGCAGAAGTAGGTGGTAACGCCGAGCTCTGGGTCTGCATGAGTGGGAGGACTGAAGGACATCAGGAGGATACCAGGACGAAACAGTTAAATTGTTACAATACAATCATACAAATTTATATATTTTAAAGTAAAGAATAAGTTCTAAAAAGGTAAAAATAGAAATAAAAAAGAAATCGAATAAAATATGCAATATTGAATTATATTTTGGTTGCAATTTGATAATAGGTGGTTATTTATTTGATTAAATTATTTTATAACTGCTTAAGCTGGATTATAAGTCCACTGCAGACTGGAACTCTGAACAATCAACTGTTTTATCGATTCGAATTTATTGTGCAGTCGAGCGCGATAGATTCATTTCATGCTGGCGCTACCCGTGAAATGGAAATGCTAGCCAAGCGCGGGAACAGGGGGCGGCAGACGGGTTTCATCCCCGTTGCCCAAAGTTACTCCCGGGGTTTCAACAAATATTTAGCTGAAACTGCATAAAACCACAAAAATGTAAAATCACTAAATTTTTACGTTTCTACATCAAACATAGGCAACCAAACATTCAATCAGTCATTAAACATCTATATTAAAAAATATGCATTAAAAACACGCTGATTATTAATTGATTAGTTGAGAATTACCTAATTTTTATAAATTAATAAAGTAGTTTGTAGTGTTAGTAGTCTATATTTGCTTTCCTAACCTTAAATTTCCTCTACCAACATTACATCACTTTTCATCAATGTTTTACACAGTGCATGACGGGTTGCCATGTAGATACAAAACTTTTGATGTACCCGTCGTGCTGTTTTATGTTTTTGACGTTTATTTGACGTCTTCACAGCGAAAACTCGTAACATACGTTTGCATACATTGCGCCCTATTTGTGTTTGTTTGCATTCCGCGAGTGTGTGCGTGTGTGCGGGGAGATTTCGCCACAAAGCGATGGTGAAACTGATGCCGCTGCAGCGGCGGTTGGCAGCCGTCGGCGGGCGGCAGGAAGCCCGCTCCCGAGGGATCAATATAGGTCCGGCGATACTCCGACCTATTTTGCGTCCCATACCGCCCCCGCTTGTACAATATATAGAAAGTTGTTTCATATTTACATATTTACATGTTTTCTCAAATTTAATATCACCGGAAACAAACCTAACCTCAACATAAAACTATTTTAATGTCCACAAGATTAATTACTATATAATTTTACTCTGGTTTTTCTAATAAGTCAGAAGTCATCGGAATTTCAAACCATCGAGTTAGTTGCATTAATACAAGTCGGAAATAAGAATGACACAAACTCGTGGCATGCGTCGAGGAACGCACACAGCACTGCTAGGAACTCGCAGGATGGGAATGGGTATGATTCGGGCCGGAACGCGCGGAATGAAGTCATCTTTTGTTGGAAGTCGTCGGCCAGGGCGACGGTGACGCTGACTTTTATCGTCGCGATGATTTCCACACGGTTACACAACAAACGCCCCATCGCACGCGCTCGCAGACACTTTATTCACGCTCACTTTCCGCATGAGTGATGGCGTGGCGGTGCACACGCGCCAGCAATGTGCGAAATACACGTGAGGGATACCCAGTCGCAATCACAATTGTCATCATCGATTAAATTTAATCTTCATTTAGTTATCATTTATATTATAGATGATTTTAGAGATTCTATAGAATAGATTTTGACTTGCTTTTAATTTTTCGACACAAATATTCTTAAATTTGAGATTCTGGAGTGTAAAAAGTGAATTTCTGTTTTTAATTTGTTCAGAAATTGTTTAAATTTAATATTATGTTAAGTATCAAGTGGCTAAACAGGAGTTTTTGTCACGGGGTTGATTAAGAGTGAGTGTAGCAAGCGTTTAATCAACCGAGTGTTTAATAAAGTTTAACCACGATGTTTACGCTATTTTTTCTGCTTCCACTTTATTTCTACGTTGAGATTTTTGTATTTAAACTTTTGTATTTAAAATCTTCGAAATTCGCTCGCACATTACTGACCTCCATGACTAAAGTCTGTGACTAAACTACTTTAGTCACGGCAAGCTCCACCCCGTTAAAGTCCGTGACTAAAGTACTTTTTAACTAAATTATTTCTTATTTCTCGTAATTTTGTTTTTTTCCATGTCTGAAAACAAGAAACCAATCAAAGCATAAAAAAAACTAGAATGTATTCGGTTCCGGACAGTTTGCCTTTGAGATTAACTCTTGAAAAATGCACCCCTTCACTAAGTGCCACCGATGAGTAGCGGAGGTGAAAGATATTACGGTTTAAAGTTGCCTCGGATTACACTCGGTGGCATTTTTATGCAGCCAGCAAACCATTTTGTTACGCTTCCTGCTCTTCACCCTCCAAAAACCCGAAGCAATCTAATAACCTAAGAAAAAAATTTAAACACAAAAATTATACTTCCTTATAACTTATACATTCTTCTGTTAATACCACATCGATTTTTCTTCTTTTCGCCTCTCCTCTCAGCGCTCATTTATTAACACTCACGACGTGACCGCCCCTCTCCCTGCGCGCGCCAACAAAATTAAATTCACTAAATGGGACTTAAGGAGTCAGCGGAAAATCAGTTAATAAGATCTTGGAAAACAATCGCATTTCCAAAATGGCCGCCGTGCGCACGTAGCCATGGTGGTGGGTGGCAGTCGCGCAGCGCGTTGAAACAATTGCGAGCACGGTGCGCCGGCGGTGGGCGACGGCGGCAACCGCGGCAAGCGCCGCCTCCGCGCTTGCTGCGCTGTTGGTTGGCGGCGGCCGCCCGCCGGGCAACTGTATCAGTTGTAGAAGGGCGCCAATGGCGGCCGGGGACGGGCGGCGGCGCCCGCAGCTGCCGCCGCTCTCTCCGGGCAGCATTACGGTCGCCCGCATCGTGCCCTACATCCGACCGACCCCGGCCTGCTGCGTCTATACGGTTAGTACAATTTATATTTTAAAATAACTAAAAATAAAATTTAATAAATTTTGCTTTATTAAGCATTATATTGAATTTTTTTAATATTTATTTATTAATTATTATAAATATTGATTTTTTATGTAGATGTCGGGTGGCTGGCACAAAAATCGTCCCCCGTGCGCAGTAAACACCAAAACCTAGGAAAACTCGACGGAAAACGGCTGAGTGAAACATTTTTGACGTGATTCCGGATCGAGGAGAGTTACGTAAGACTAGCCCGCGCACACGCCAAGCCCAAGGACGCGCGCGACGCTGAAAGAAATTGCGCGGCGCGGACAGCGCGTCGGATACGCCAAAAGTAGCGCCGCGAACGAGTAAAAAGGACGTCGGTCGCGTTCCCAGCGAGGATGCCAGCATTCGACCACTTTGATGCGCTCAAATCCAAAGCCGGGGGTGCTTTCAGCGGATGGTAAGTACAATTACATCATTTTTTAATCAATTTTCACAAAAAATTAATTTTATTACGATAAATGACGTAAAATATAATATTTTGTGTAATATGGAGGGTAGTGATGTTAGAATGTGTGAAATACAAGGACAGGAGAGGTAATGACGAGCTGAAAAAGGTTCAAGCGTCAGATTGCTGTGTGATCTGCGATTAAGTGCATGGGGATGCTTGACACGTTCGCAAGCTCATACAAAAAGGGCAGAACACGACCTCGTTTTGTTCGATAGGTCACACAACTTTTTTTTTGTTTTTCGTATATGTATTAATCGTTAATCACATTTATAACATGAATTTGACTATATATAAAAGTAAAATTGATTTTTTCGTGTTTTTTGATGAGAAAATAAAAATAGAATTGAAAAGAAGAGAAAAAAGTTAAAGAAAGAAGCAAAAACACATTACGAATATGGGTCTGTTTGGGGGTATATTTCGCGGCGATGTAATGGGGTGTTTACGACCCAACCGAGCTCAACAAATTGCCCCGCTGGGATATGAATTAAATCTCGAAGCCGCCGCCGACGCCGTCGACAAGCGCCAAACAGCGCGTTTCGTTTAAATGTGAAGTGCAAAAACGACGAGAAATCCACGATATTGACTCGCAAAACATTCACCAATACACCAATATACTAAAAATAAAATCCAAGACAAATTCACCTACCAAAAAAATCAATTTAATGAAATAATATTAAATTAAACGTATTTAATTAATATTTTCAAACAGAAAATTAAAAAAATAAATAAACCGATTGAAGTTGAATGTATTTTGATGATTATTTATAATACAGGTTCGGACGAAATTCGGACACGAGTCGGTCTGTAAAGCGGATTATAAAGTACTATAAGACCCGTTTAGTGCGAGCACAATCGCGGGAGCGGTTGCTAGCGGAGATTCATCCCGATGTAGGGATGCAAAGCTACAAAACTCACTACACAACTCAACTAGACTTTGCCAAATTCCTCTCGAAGCGGATTTGTGCAATTATATTCGTATTATCAATTTACGCAAGAAATGAATTTAAAATCTAAGAATTCTTTTGATTTTGATTTGTCACGTCTGTAGACAGGCAGGAAAACAAAACAAGAAATAAATCACAGACAATGTGGAGAAGGAGAAAATATAAAAAGATTTTCTTCAATTGAGTGTTGTGGCTGGTTTCGGCACGCACACGACAAGATTGTTGTTTGCCAAAGCGAGGAAAATATTTAGTTGTGCGCGAGGAGGGATGCGGAGATGTGGAAACGCGGCAGCATAAATCCAGGATTACGTCCCGCTTTCGTCCTTATCGCCGCAAACCAGTGAAGCGTTACAAACCAAAAGTGCGTTTATTTCTTTCTACTGTATCTACTGTATCGAACACAATCATATAATAATCCACTGGGTGTTTCAGAGGGTAAAAATTTAATAAACAATGATTTTTTGGTAAAATCTGTTGATATAGTGCTCAGTTTTGATAAAAAAAAGAGAGAAATTTTCTATTACATATTTTGACATGAAATAAAGGTTATGGAAGCAAATGCGCCATCTGAAGTCAAATTATATAACTATAATAACCATTATTGAAGTTTTTCTCCAACTCTTTTGCATATTTCAACCTTAATTATTTTGTAAGCAAACTTTATAAATTTACTCATTGGTCTATTCTAAAGATTTCCTGAAAATTTCATCAAAACATCCAATAGTTTTTGAAAAAATTGTAAATATTCATCCAAATATTCATTTATAACTCATTTTGAGGTTAGTTTTCAATTGAATAAAATAAAAACACTTTCTAAACTAGTGTTTATGTGATATTATCATATCTTTAATGCTTAGCCATTAAAATACTGAAAATTTTGCAGTTATTTGATGTAATAAAGTTGGAAGGTAATAAAATTTCCGCTTTTGATTGACGGTCATTGGAGAAGATGAAATTTAAGCAACCGTTGCTTTTACTCTAGAAAAAGCAGGGGAAGACGACCGAAAACCGAATGAAGGAAGACATATAAGGATGATAAAGTGCGCGCGAAAAGGAAATAAATGACAAACCTTCTCCCCGCTTCTTTTTTCTTTCTTTTTTTTTACTTCAACATTATGTGCGTGATTTATATTATATTCTGATACAGAGGGGCGTTGGAAAAATACAAATTCATAATACAAAATGCTGAGATAAATTCCATCATCGAAAAGTCAAAATGGCCGAAGGGAGACAAAAAAAAGAAAAAGTTATTAAATATAATTGGCTATCAGGCAGATAATATTTCCTGGGTTTATTGTCCATCGGGGGATTTATATCAATCAGTGTTAGAGGGGCTTAGAAAACATCAAAATGAAAGGAAAACGATGACCAGTCGTACATGACAAAGGTTTTGACAACTGACAGCTCAACATAACCTCTAAATACTTACCTTTAGGTTAAATGTATGAAAAAAACATTAAATACTTAAATACTTACTGGTAGAGAGTAAATATTTGACTATGAAGTGTTGAGAAGGATTCTCTGCTACGCGAACGCAAAGACGACGGCATGGAAATCTCTTAATCAGGCCATTAGTAAGGATCGGCGTCGGTTCGTGCCGTCCGTCCTGATGAATGCCGAATGTCGCCGAAGGGGCGGCAAAGCCCATTATGGTATTAAGCTACCCTTCGTGTCCTCGCGTCCTCGCCGCCTTACAACCACGTTGTCATTGTGTGACGATGTGCTGTGTTCGATGCAAACTTTCTCTCGACGAGGTTTTTGCTAATAGCCCGCCGCTAATTACTCCTCTCGGGGAGAATAATATCATGCGACGCATGCTGAATATTGATATATGAATAATGAAGAGTCGCGCCAACACTCAGATTCAAACAGAATTGATAATATCGTAAATATTTCAAAAATTTTATAATTTTGTATGCAGTTATATAATAATGGGGTTGATGGATTTATAGAAAGGGGTGTGCGGGATACAATTGAGTAAAAAAGCTTTCATACCCATTAATTCCATTGTCTCGGAGTAGAAGCAAGTAAACCCACCCTTTTTGTCTACATCCCTTGTATTTGTTGCGCATTTATTCAAATATTCAAACGTACAACGCAAAAAATAAAATAATTTTTTTAAAAATGAAAATTGTGTCTCAGGTGGTGATTTTTAAGTTTTTAAATTTAAATTTCAATTTCGATAAGTTAGGAGTATTTTTCCACTCTAATTAGCGTAATTAGAGACAAAACGTCATCAATCACATGATGTCACCCGTCGCATCGCTTTACTAATTGTCAGCGAAAGGAAACGCGGCGAAAAGCCTGAAGGCAAGCGACGTAAACCGCCCCTTTGCGCACTTTAACGTCGAAATATCCAACATCAAGATGTCAGCGTCACAAATGCACGGGATGAGTTGGATTTGCACAACTCGATTATCGACTTTCACTATCATTATGAGAGGCATTACTAAAACTTTCTTAATTTAATTCACAACTGAAATCTAAACTTTGTGATGTGTTCAGGAGTTGAAGGAAACACTTTGAAAGATTGTTTAGATTTTAATTTGGAAATAGAAACTGAAAAAGATGAAAATATTACGATAATAGGTATATTTTTTTATCCAGCACTCAAGTATTTATTATTTACATCATTTTAAATAGATTTATACATTTAACTAATGAAAATATTTTAAAGCTATTAAATAAGTTTCTGTATTATTCTTTGATTTAACAGTACTAATATTTTAATTATAAAAATAAATATTTTCATATTTTCATTATTTTTCTTTATTTTTATTTTTTTACTTCTTCTTTTAAAACGGCAGTTTTTGGACACAAAGAGTGGTATTTTAAACACGAACGGTCAATGCCGTGTCTAAAGTACTTTAGTCACGGGTTTTAGTCACGGATTTTAGCTCTCAAACAATCTCGTGACAAAAATTCCTATTTAGCTAGTTCGTACTTAATTGAACACAATAAAAATGTAATATTACTGAAAATCCTTGAAATAGCAACGTTCGGCAATTACCACACAATTTTTAATTGCTACTTCAATGCATCATAAAATCTGTAAAACTCGTTAACATGATAAAAACACACACTCACCGATTGAATTTAAACCACATCATAAAAATACTCAAACATTCACAAAAATTTACATCCTTAATCATTATAAAGAATATTATACTGACATTGCATACTCCAAGCATTATTATTAAAGAAAATTGTCACACAGGGCTCCAAATTAACATCGGAATTATACACAATGGCTTGTGCAGCAGGCAGAGTATTACTCAAAACAGTTCCTAAACAAATATTACCTACTTTTGCTATAACTTTACTATTTTTCATCAAAACAACTTGATATCGATACTTGGCTGCACTCACATTATCTCCATTAATCAATTCAGCACGACATTGTAAAACTAGATCACTATATTTTATCCGTATACAAAATACTTTCGATCGGTATAAAATATATATAGTAGACATGGATTCATTTTGAAATGTCCACGTACAAATCGAATAATTACTTTTAATATCATGATTCTTTTCATAATGCTCACATAATTTATGTGCGGAAAATCCAGTCCTACAATCGGGACAAATGAGTGTCCGGAAAGCACATACTTTATTATGTTCTATTCTATTACTCAATTTAACAAACTCCAAGCATCCGGCGTCTAAATTATCACAAACAAAAAGCGGATCATTTAAAAAATACTTTAAAGTTACATTCACGTCAATTAATCGTTGGGGAATCTTGCATATTGAACACGCTTGGATTCTTGTAGCGCAGGCAACACAACATACATGCGCATTGACACAATGTTTTATATGTCCAAGTAATTGCTTCTGACACACTGTACATTTATTCACTTTGATGCAATATGCGCGTATATTCTCATAATCATAGAAATAAATCGTAATCTTGGCTTCGGGATGCAGTAAAACTGTTTTTTGCAGTAAAGTATTCGTTAATTCCTCATCGAGTACATCCCTAAGAGATATCATATCTCCTTGCAGATATATATACATGTTTTTATATTGATATACAATTGTGAATGTGTTAATCGATGGCGAATAATCCAAGAGTTTTGAAACATTAAACGAAAGAAAGTTGCTTTGTTTAATGACACAAACCAAGAAATAATTATTTTTGTATTCAGCTAAGATTGCTTTGCTTCGACTGGTTTGTAGGTTTAATTTAATCTGCAGTGAGTTAAGCGTTACCTGCTCAACGTGTTCATGCACTGGAATGTGTTTTATAAATGCCTCCACATCCTTGAACGGCAGATTGTCGAAGGGACATGTGATTGGTCGATGAATGCATTCTTTCAAGTGTTCGAGGAAATGCTCACGAGTATTTTGAAGTTGCATTTCTCGTATCTGCATGGAAATTGCGCAGATTTTAAATGTTTCTGGATGAATGGTTGCACACAGTGACAATCACCAAATTTATCACATTTTCGGCAGTAGAGGTCGTTCCAGTTGACAGTTATACGGTTGAGTTTGTTAAATTCTTGAATGTATTTATTTTCCATGCTTTTAACGTCTTTTAACGTCTATAGTATTACATTCAACTGGTTAATGAGGTATCACAATTGAGACTGAGTGAAATAACTGCATTATTGCAGTCGTATGATGCATGTTTGTAGCGGGAGTTACCATGGCAGTGAAACGTTATTATTTATGTATATACGAGGAAGTGCAATATATGTGGATGTCATGCGAAGGTCATATTGATCCCGTGATTCACTGGGAAGTTTTTGACATAAATATTATTTATTATTAACCAGCTGACCAGGCGTAAATTCCTGAAAGAATTGTTTTACTATTGAAACAAAAATTTTGTCAAAAATTTGAGAAGTTCTGATCACGTTTCAATCGCAAGCTATTTGGGAAATATACACTATACGCATGTTGGATATAGACGAAGGCGGCGGAGGTTGCACACGATGACCTGCGGCACGCGATATTGGCGCTCGCCGCTTTCGTCTGTAAATATTTGCGCAGTCAACACGCGCTCGAACCGCGCGCGTACTTCGAATCCATCTGCCAGTGTCAACAAAATCCCTAATATCGGTAGCTTAATATCGACGGCGGGCGTACGTGCGGCCTCATCTCCGCCTCATCTTCATCTTCATCCCGGCTGAAGGCTCATCTGCATTTACATTTGCATTTACATGCGAACATTTAGGGTTCAATATGACAAGTTTCTGGTGATGTTTAACTAACAGTTAGATTTTATTCAATCATTTTAATAATCGAAATAAAATCATACTCATTGTATTGATTAATAAAATTTAGTTTTTCATGGTTTTTAGCCTCAAAAAGTTGATTTTTTTATACAAAAAATCAAAGTCGTGACTAAAGTACTTTTGTTACGAGTTTTAGTCACGGGTTTTTTTAAGTTTTAGTTTTTTTTTTGTTTTTTCGCAATGTGAATTCATCTTCCGTGAAGTATAATCGCAGATTGATCGTAAGCCCTACGATAAAGGGCCGTGCTCAACACTCTGTATAAATTTGAAGAACCCTCGTGTTTGCCAACGCGCTGACGAACACACTACACAGCAAATCTTCTTTATTGCGCTCGTCGGCTTCGACAATCCGCGTTTTCACCCGCTGCAGCAAATCCCGACCAAATCCGCGATGAAAACACAACGTGAAAAATGTCCTGCATTACAAAGAAATATATCATCATCGAAATACTTTATATTAATATATTTTATACTTACTTGCGTTTTGTGAAACAGTTCATCAGCTGAAGAGCTAAAGAGTAGATATATGTGTATGGAATGAAAGCGGGTTATTGTCGACATGATGACTAAGTTATATTAGCAACTGCATGGCTTGCTTCTGGCAGCAATGAAACAAAAAGGGGTCGAGATGTCGCCCCGCGCCGGAACGCCCGAATACATTATCGTCGTTTAACACTCAACGTAATTGTTCTCCCGAACGGCAGACGTTTCAATTAACTAAATGTTCCGGCGTTTAGGCATTCACCTGCTATACGATTCGCATATTCGCCATTTGGTTATCAGCGCCGTACATAAACACCCGGAACTGCGCTGCCATCGACGTTCAACCCCTGCGAGATTTCTATTCAAACAATGCCAAGTGAAAAAAAAGAACGAGCTTTAATCTAAATGCTAATTTAACAATTGTGCCAATGTTCGGGAGACATAGGTTACTGTTAAATCATCAAAAAAACTCTTTTTATTTTTTGAAGTTGTGAACTATTGCAATATAGGCAACTTTTGTTACATTATTAACTTTAATAATGTTTACTCTCAAATCATCAAAAACTTTTTCCATCAAAATTGATTTTTTGAAGTTGTGGCTTTAATTATCTTATAAACTGCAACGCAATAAACTTTTACAATATAGGCAACTATCGTTGCATTAGACGGGTAATAAATTTAATAAATTACTAACTTTACGAGTGCTATCAGTAATATTCAGCGTGTGCAGCCGCATCCACTATTACAGGATCCCATCCTGTCTGGTGCTTGGAATCGTCATCATAACAAACGTTTCCATTCGAAACGAACGGGCGAGTGAGCGCGGTTGCGTCGAGACGACTGGCGCCATGGCGCCCCCGAAAAAAAAACTATTTCCTTTCATCCCCTACTGCAACAACGCGGAGATGGAAACGTTAGTGGCGCCATGAAACTTTGGCGCAGAACGAAAACAAAACTATAGTAACAAGAAAACAAGATAACTTTCTGGTTATTTTGAGTTTATATCAAAAATTTTAAGAAAAGAAGACAAAATTTTGATAATTTTACAATGGATATTTAAGATTTATATCTATTTAATTAATTTTAATGAAATTTGAATAATTTTTCTTTCATTCTGCAGAAATGTTTACGATTTTCTAAATTTTTTGATGAAATAAATAATTTTTCATTCATTTTACTAGTAAATAGTTATATATTATGTTTATATTAATTCAAAAGTTGTAAAAATATTTAAGATCTAGTTTCGAGCTACTTTTAGGCAAGTTTGTTGACTTCTCGCGTTGTATGGACTTCTGTTGTGAGTTCTGTTTGCTGCTCACGTTCTCGCAGTTCCGAAAGCCGACAAAACGCCGCCAACGACTTCAGCAGCAAAAAAAAACACATAAAAGGAAGCAGGCTTATTAGAGCGTGTCCTCGGCGAGGCTTTTATGAATGCGCGTCCTTGCCGTCCCTCGCCCGAAAAGGATGAATGCAAACGAGCCAACTTTTTAAAGGGATTATAACATGAATGGCTTTTAAAAATGATACTCCTACTCACCAAACTCATAAAACATAAAAATTCACACAAAATGACTAACAAAACACCTAATTCTAACATGTATAGATTTTTTAAATACATGAATTGATATTACATGTTTATAATTAGATTTTTTAGAATTGTTTGATTTGATGTTGGAAATTTTAATTACATTCTGCTTTGTTTGCACGCGAGGGTATTCCGTTGCGTCTCGTCGGTTAATTTAAACAAGAATATAATAAGAGTGAAGTTGGGAGTTGATTTGGCTTCGCGTTCTTCATTAGAGGGTCGGTTGGTTGCATCATTGCTCTCGTCGATACAGCGTGCAACTACACTGGTTGTAATACACCAAGGTCGTAAATGTACTCCTGTGGAGTTTACTCCCTCTTTAAATGGAAAATCAATTTGTTGGTTGCTGCTTGAGTGCTTCTTCCCATTTGATTATTTTGCATGCTTTCAACTTTCGAATAAAACAATGCGTTGTTTTGTCCTACTGCGCATGCGCAGTATGTTTTATTTATTCTTATATTTGCAATGCTTGCAATTGACTCAAAACCCCATTACAGCTGTCATTACGATTACGATTGCGATTAGTATTAGTAAAATCTCGATTTCGTGCGTGCATTGAAACGGAACGCTTATAAAAGCGCATAAAAGGCCCCGCTGAACGGAGGGCTATCAACGCCCGACTGAGGTTTTGTTGATTTCCCTTGGGCGCACACACACAGATACATATGTGCGGCGCGAATTCGGCGGTTTCAAGGGGATCAACTCCTTTTTAACGCAGCATCAGCGGCGCGCTATCGGCGGTCACGGTTGAATGGGCGCGCCGATCCGGCGCTCATCTTCCGCAGCCAGCGCGCATAAATGAGACTCTGCGGGGAGCTCACTTTTATATTTCGTCAACACAAGCTAAGAACTACATTTTACGGACGGGAAATGACGCAGATGGATTACAGCTAGATTTTTGTCAGAAAAAAATAGGAAAAATTGACAGAAAAGTAAAAAAAGTTATATTTTTGCAACTAAAAGTGAAAAAATTAATTTTACAATTTATTTTAATTAGTTTGCTTGCAGAATTAATTTTTAAACGCATTCTGTGACAGTTTTTAAGAAAAAATATAAAATTGTTATTTTTACAACTTTCCTTGCAATTTCTTCACATTTTCCCAACTTTTTATCATTCCTTGAACTTCTACAAACATTTTAAAGTCAAAATTAGCAAAATCCGTTCAGCCGTTTTCGAGTTATAGCAAAACATACAAACGTCAATCGATTTTCGTTGATATTTATTACAAAAAATACTAAATCAAACAAATTTCCACAATATTCTCAACAAAATATAAATGTATTTCTTATTTTTCACAAATTTTAGACTCTATTCATGATATCCTTCCGGTTGTGTAGATGGACCGTACGTAATTGGACACAATGGCTGCCCTCGCGTCGATAGCGCATCCTTGGATCCTCACATTTACGCTCGATTGTTGACGGTTTCCTAATCTGATAACTCCACACCCGGCTGTCCGCTCGCGCGCAGATGGACCGATGATTGGGACGGAAATTCAATAAATCATCCCTCGCCCGATTGGATTTTTTGATATAATGCATTGCAAAACGTCCAGCAGCGCAAATCGACTGACACAAATGCAATTTGTTAATTGCGCTTGACTTTTATTGCTTTTTCCCGAGAGGAAATAATTCCGTAATTCCGTAATTTGGTCACAACAAAAACACACATCGACTTCTCAACTTCCAACTTTGAAACTGTTTTAATTCGGCATTGATTGCAATTTATTCGAAATTAAATCAGAACGCGCTTCAAGTTTTAATCATTACTTCCTTCATTACTTTGTTTCTTTGTCCGTTGGATTACTGCTGTCGAAGGAAAAAAATCTTAAGATTTACGTTTTTCATTGAGGCATCGTCGGGAATTGTTTGAAAGCGGTACGGCGCTTTTTTTCGATTCAGAGGGTGTTAATTGAAACCCGTGCTGCTCACGCTCATTGCTTTCCATGGTTTCGGCGTTTTCTTGCCACGGCGAAGACGCGTGCAGACAGGAAACGTTTAAATGAGGGTTAACGCTATCCGACGCTTATCTAAAGCTGCAGTCCTGGCTCTGTCGTGATTACGATTACGATTGCCATGGCTTTCGAGGAGTTTTCCACGCGGGGTTTAAATCCCCGGCAAGAAAATGAGTGTTAAACACTCTAAGCAAAGCTTTTAAATCTCAAAAATAAAGATTTAACATTTTTCCAAATCAGAAATATATTATAACTTCAATATAGGCAAAACAATATACAATTAAATCTGTCTGCTCTAAAGAATCATTGTTTGTTTGTACCT